AAGTTATAGCAAAGGCTACTGGGACAAACAATGGCTTTTCCGTTATGTAGCAGCTCAAGTCCTTAAAGGACCTGAAATCATATATTACTTTGGTTTCATAATACCTTTAATAGCTCAGGAATAATAAAACTTTCTTCACTAAAACAGAAATAAATCTGTCATTGGGTTTAACAAGGTACTTCTTGATGAAAGGTAACAATATAGCTTTGAAAAGATCCCAGAGTGATTATAAACCTCTGGTCAGAACATCAAGCTGATGAAAACCAAGGCGTAGAAACTGACTTCAATAAAAACTGTAGTCAGTTTATGCGTATGGATTCATTATAACTACAGTGATCCAGCATACTATAGAAATGAATGAAAAGGCTGTGTGGCATATTGCATTATCCTTTTTGGAGGTGAATCCATGTGCTACATGCTAAATCTGTAATGTTAGCATTTGGAAAAATATGTGCTTGATATTTTAATCCCCCAGTTTCTCCACGTAGATGAGGGCAGCATTTATGCCTCCTCCACCCACACTAACAACCCTGTGATAGTGAGGCTGAGAGAGAATGGCTGGTCTAAGGACACTGAATAAGTTTCACATATGAACAGAAATTTGAACCCCAGTCTAACTGCAACAGCTTAAAATAATAATAATAAAAAATTCCATCCAGTAGCACCTTAGAGACCAACCAAGTTGGTATGAGCTTTCGTGTGCATGCACACTTCTTCAGATACACTGAAACAGAAGTCACCAGACCCTTATATATAGCGAGAGGGTGGGGAGGGGTATTACTCAGAAGAGTGGTGGGAATGGGTGATTGGATGATAGGTGTGGTAAACCTATCACAACAGCTTAGCCTCTACCTCACACTGGCTCTTAATGTATACAGTTCCCTTCAATTGGCTGAGGCCCTTTGCCGCAAGGATGGAAACCTATGGAGCCCAGATATTGTTGACCTCCATCACTCAGCTACCATGGATAATAGTCAGGGATAATGATACTCCTACAGGGCACAGGTTTCCTTTCATTACTCTACCTCGTGCTCCTCTCCTGGAATCTATAGGGGCATTTAGTCAAAGTGCAGGTTAGATAGCCAAGGGCCAGGACCATGGAGAGCTCCATACCAGATACAGAGACTCACTACCAGGTATTAAGGAGTTTGTTGCCTTAGCACTGCTTGGGGTAGTGTGGTGGTGACTGAAGCTTCAGATAGTTCAGCAGGGAAACATGTGTGTGAAACCCTGCTTTCATGGAGGGAGCCTGCATGGTAGCTATAGGGGCTGTATTTGAATAAGATGCAGATAGTTCAGGGGAAGAGCCTGAATCCAAGGTAGGAAGTAAAGTGACCTTTTCACTGTCTGCTAGGGTGGCTCCTCCAATGAGGCCTCTAGTGGCATGACTGCTTAGGGGACTGCCTCCTGGCAAACTTCAGGAACCCAGTTGCCTTTGTCCTTGGAGTCATGATACCATTTGGGGAAAGTGTTTTCCAGCTGTAATGTGAAAAGTACAGCTGTGATATCAGTTGATTATTCTCAGATGTGAACAGCAAAGGACCAGGGAAATCTTCCAAAGACACCTAGGTGCAGAACATGAGCCCTTACCTGCCAACATTGAAGAAGCCCCCAATCCTGGTGCTCTCTTGTGCCAGGCTGATCATGGACAGACTCCTGCATACCCATTTACCCTTCAGACAGAGAACCAGCAAAGCCAAAGTGCTTGAGCTGAGCCAACCTCCAGGAAAACCCTCAAGGGGGAGACAACCCCAAAACAGCCCCATCAGAACTTAATGATATGAAATATTGAGATATTTAACCAGGTGGTAGGTATGGATGGCACTGAGTGGCTTGAAAGGGAGCACTAAGAGGAACAAAGACAAAGACCTATATGCCATGTTCAGACTAAGAAACTGTGTTAAAATGTTCCCATGATCAGAAGATAGAACTGCCCATTGACACCAGCAGACACTTTCAAGGCTCTAATGGGGAAATTGGGTGGGGCCCAAAATGAAAAACAACACCCCCCCCCAAGCAGCCCAATGAGGACATAGCATGTACCATGGGCATGGAATGCTGACTGACTGGAGGAGGAAAGGGGAAGGAATGGAGTAGCTGGATGCCAAATTAAAAAAGCTCATTGTAATGCCACCAAGGCATGGGAAACGACATACATAAAAGCAGCTCTACAAGATTGGTACCAAGGTCCTCTAGCTCAGCATCCTGTTTTAAACAGGGGCAGCCAGATTCCTTCCAAGAAGGCCACAAGTAGAGCATGAAAGTAACAGCCTTCCCCCATTGTTCATTTTCTAAATCTGGCATTTGGAGGTACACTGCATCTGAATATGGAGCTTCTGTTCAGCTATCACGGGTGACAGCTGGCATGTTGAACTGGAAGCTAAGGAGAACAGAGCGGGGGACTCTGCATGGGCTACAGTTCTCAGTGGTAGTCCGATGTTAAAATGCATCTTTCTTCTTCTGTTCTAGTAAGTAGGGGAAAACACATATTTTGTGGCTTTTGTGACAGGATCCTCAACGTTATTGAAACTTATTAGTTATATATTGCTGCGGGGTGGGGGAGGTGTGACATCTTATGAAATCATATCTTGGCTTAACACATCTGGAAGGAACCTCATGCTCCTCTGTTTACCTTAAAATTTACATGTGATAAAAGAGGAAAGCAAAGATTTACAAGGAAGGAGACAGCAATCAATTATCAGAATGTCCCCTGCCCAAGTTACTATAATGGAGGCTCTCTTCTTGCCCCGGCAAGCCAAAACAGAACTTCCCTTCTGAGGGACAGGCTACCATAGCAGAAGCTGGGGTACTTTGTAAGAAATATCTCATAGATTTGACATTTTCTAAGGGCCTCTCCCCCCACCCCCCAAATCTTCTTTTGCAGGTTTCAACCAATCCTGGGGAAAAGATAAAATCAGTGTGCTACTGCAGATCATAGAATCAAAGAATCTTGGAGCTGGAAGGGACCCAAGAGTCTTCTAGTCCACCTCCCCCCCCCCCAATGCAGGAATCTCAGCTAAGCACCCATGATAGGATGTAAGGATGTTTTGGTGCTGACTAAATGGTACCTACGTTCTTCTCCACAGCACTGTACCCAGAAACTTGTCTTACTGAAAGGCTACAGTGCAATCCTATTCAGAAACAACCCCAGTTCAAAGGGACGTATTCCCAAGTGTGAATGCCTCCCTGAGTCAGTACTGGGTACTCTACACGGACTGGTGGTGTCTCTCCAGGGTCTCATGGAGAGGTACTTTTATGCACATGAGCCCATCTGCATGCAAAGCATATACTCTACCTCTGGTGATGCTTGCAGAATCCTTAGAATCATTTCAAATGCTTTTGTAAAACAAAACAAAACCCAGCTACCTTAAGCATATGAAAATATGGCCACTTGTCCACATATCTGCACACATAGCACTTGTAAAGACACCGCACCTCCCTAGCAATGCCTTCTGCACATTTCCCAGCTAGCCATTCATGTGCATGCGCTGCCTTGCTCACCAAGTCATACTTATGGCATGCTGCTGGAAGTGTCCCTCTTTTGGGCGACATGGCAAAAGTGGGACACTGCATATGGTGATGCCTCTACAGGTCTGGCTGGCAGTGGGCTGCCAGGGAACTGCAATGTGCAGATGTGTCAAGCCCAGCATATGTAACTGTGTGAATAGGACCTGCAGCTGACCTCTTATGTGGGTTGGGTCTACACTATATTTGTCTTTAATGAAAAATATGATATACTGCTGTCGCTGCCTGAAAGAGGAAGAGGTCCACATGTGGTTGTCCTCTGATGATCTGGTCGGTATCTTCCCTCTGTGTCCATCTCTCCTCCCCCTGCTCCCTGGCCCTCACTTGCTTCTAGGCATTTCTGCCACTTGAGCATTTCATTCATGTTTTCCCTCTCCCCCCCCCTTCCCCATGTCTCTCTCTTTCAGAGAAATATATATGTCTGTGTGCGAGTGTGTGCGTGGGCGGCCTTTGAAAGGCTTTCTGTCAGTCAAGCCACTGAGCTGAAAAGAGACGAGAGGTATGGGGGAGAGCGGTTTTAATGGGGGATGTGGGCGGCTGTTGTTGCTACCGCAGCCAGCCAGCCATGCAGCCCTTCCCTGTGGGGGGAGCATCTGCATAAAGCATGGGGACGGAGGCTTTCCGCCACTCAAAATGACCCTCCCCAAACACATGAAGTCTCTTCACCTGCCACAGTGCCTGAAGCAACACAAAGGAGGAGGCGAGGGCTGTGACTGCAGACTGCCTTTGACATCTGCTGGGCTCAGTTTCCCTGTAAGCCACGCATTTCTGTTACACCTTGAGGAAGGCAGGTTGCATCCTGAAAAACAGGGGAATGGTTTAGAGAGCTTTATTAGCCAGGGGTTTTGTCTAACAGCTGGAAGGACCCAGCATTGTGGAAAGCAGATGGGGACCCTTCACAGCTGTAAGGTTTTCACTTCCTAAAATATAGGGGCAAGCAATAGCAGAATTTGGGAACATATTGTGGGGAGGTGGAGCAGGTATACTATGTAGAATCGAGCTGTACATCATTATTGGGCTGGCGCTCTGCAGTGTGTGGCGGCAGCCTGTGTAGCAAGAAATAGGTGGGGGTTTAATAAAAGGGGAGGGGGCTTTTCCACAAATGAACTGAGGGTTGGAGCCGGCCAGCCCAGGGCTTAGCCCCCAAACCTATCTCCAAGTGTCACAACTCAAGCCTGGTCTGCACGAAGAAGAGAGCGCTCCTGTGCATGTGCAGAGAGCCTCTCCCCGCACCGCCGGAAAAAACACAGCGAACACCTCCATCCGGGAGACGGAGGCCGGCTTCCTCTGTGGAGGTGAGTCAGGTTTGAAGCTCTGCAGAGAGTGTAGGGGCGTCGGGACGGCGCGCGAAGCGTTTTGGTTTTTTGTTTTAGTGGGGGGCGGGAGACGGCTTTGAATTGTGCCGTGGGGTGGAGCTCTGCAGCGTGGAGTTGGGGTGGGTGGGTTTGCAGACCAGACTGCCTGAGCGACGAAGAGGAGGGGGCCTTTGCAGTGGGTCGAAGGAGAGGGAGAGAGCGCGCACCCACCACACGCACGCACGCGCGCGCAAACACCTCTCTCCCGGCCTTGCCTCTGGTGGTCTCTTCCGCAGCGTGAGTCTCCCGCCTCTCTCCGCTTCCTTTCCATATACCTGAGGCGCGGCGAGATTGAGCAGGTGGGGGCGTGAGGGGGGGCAGGGAGAACGCGGGTGTGGGTGCTGCTGTTGCCGTGGGAGGGGGGAAGGAAAGGCGGCTGGGAGAGCGCGCGCAGCCCCGCCGGAGCGGTGGGCGGGAAGCCCCTGGAAGGGAAGCGGGCGCGGGGGGGGGGGGCGGAAGGCGCCAAGGCAGGGAGTCCAAGGCGCCTGCTTCGCGCGCGCCGGCTGCGGCTCCTGAGGCGAGGTGAGGGCTCTTTCCCGCGCGGGGTTCTTGCGGGTGTTTTTCGCGTGCAGCTGTTGCTCCAGCTCTGCTTTTCGCTTCCGGAGGGGTCCCCCGCCGCCTCCTCCCCGCTGGTCAGCGTCGGCGTCCAGGAGAGGAGGTGGCGAGCGGGCGCCAAGCCGCGCGGATGCCGAAGTGGGTGCGCGGTGGCGCGCTCGGCGTGGGCTGAGGAGGGCGATGGATGAACAGTCGCCCCTCCAGGCACACCGGCACTGCCTGGAAACGAAATAGGCGCAGGCAGCCCGGCACCAAGCGGTCAATATTAGCGGGCTGTGTTTTTTTTTTAAAATTATTATTTCGAGTCTGTTTACGTCGCTCCTTAGCGCGCGCGCTCACACACACGAGCAAAGCCCACAGTGGCGTCCTGTTGTCCTTCGTGCGTGTGGTTAATACTAAAAAGGAGTACCTAATGCATATGTGTACGTGTGAAAGATTCCTCCTGTGTTGGTTGGGCAATGTAGGGAGCGCGCTCCAGCTGGGGAAGCGAGGTGCTGTTTGTGTGTTTCAGTTCTTGTCACTGCACTGAGTAGCTAAAACCTGATCTCCCAATTCCGGACTGCAGTAGAATATTAACAACGGCCAGCCGGGCTTCTCCCCCTTTCCCCTTCAATGTTCTCCTGGGATAACACTTGACTAAAGCCGACCTGATGAGACAACCCGGAGTCGCAGTGGTAGCCCATCACTTTCTGACCAGGCTAGGTGCTGAGAAAGCCCTACTGGGTCGGTAGCGCGCAGGTAGTGGAAAGCCCACTGCTTCGGAGTGCTGTTTGCTTGCGACCTTTGTGCGGCAGCCCGGCCACATCGCGGGAAAGGCTGGATGGTTGGAGGGGGGCGGGGGGAGGCTGCTGCGGCGGGTGCAAAGTGAATAGTCTTATAAGAAGGGACTTTTTTTTGTTAGCCAACAGGTAAAATTATTATTTTGTTTCTGATTAAATCGCCTAAGTTTCATATTAGAGGGAAACCAGCAACGTGATCCTATTTCCCCAACTTTTCCTTTCATGATAATCTATCTAATTAAAACGTTCCAAAGTTAGGCACACGTTTATTTATGGCTGAAGAAGACCTGGGTTTTTGGAATAGGTATTAGACATTAAAAGCCTGCCAGCTGATTTTTTTTTTTTTTTCTGAGGGGTTGATAACTTGCTGCTCTGGATTTTTAATTTTTAAATCTGTTTTGTTATGTTTCTGCTATTCCCGTAAAGCTTTTTTCTTATTGTATAAGAAGAGGTGTGTGTGTATTAGAGTCATAGGTCTCTGAGGGATGCATGCAGAACTCCAGTAGAATTTCACCTTGTTAATTAAAAGTCAGCACTTAAAAAAAAATGCTGCTTGTTGCATGTCTTTGGCATCTCATGATCTAGAGAAGCACAACTCCAGTAGAATCAATGGGGACAAAAAGCAACCTTTTTGTAATGTCCTTTGTACAGGTTATATGGAAGCTGTTGTCAAAAAAGGAGAGCTTCTCCCTTGTCTGGTACCTGTTTGTGAGAGATCAAGGCTTGCAGTTGGTCTAAGAGGTTTTCTATTAGACCACTAAAACAAATAACCTGCAAGTGAGAGCCTGTTTGAACCCAGATGCTTTGGAAAGGGTTACTTGCCTGCATGTCTGAAGACAGGGGTTCTATCCAAGTGAGCAGTGTATGTTATATATATGGCGAAGGGCTGCAATTCTGGGCCCACCTCAAATTGGTTGCAAGAAATATGCATCTGTGAATATGGTGGAAATGGAAGGCGAGTGAGACCTTAATTAACCTTAATTAGTTTGACTATGCTTTTCCATTATTGTCTACTTTTGTATGTTATCTGCCTGTCTGTTATGTGGTTCCAGTATTCTAGACAATCCTTGAAGGCAGTCCCCACATCTTGAGAGATCCTTGAGAGATGGGGGTGGGGAGAAGGCAGAGGAAAAGGAAAGCATCTGCTGAAATATGTGCAGTGCTAGGTTTATTGGTTGATTATGGGTCTTTTTTAAAATGTGGAATTGTTTTTGGTAATTAAGATGTTTAAACCTCATCCATTATGTTTTTGCAATAGGAGCTGCAATATGGACATAGTGCTTGATGGAACAGGGAAGTCTGGTAGCCTTTTGTTTTATACAGCAATCACATATGTTCCTGTGACAGACTAAAAATTTGGTCATTAAAAAACCCCTACTTTAATCAGAACCATATTTACTCTGATGGCAATCCTATATTCATCTGTTATGGTTATGTTTTCAGAGCCATGTAGGCTTTTATGAGACAATTGTATACTGTATAATGAGCAAATATTCTTTTAATAAAAAAAATCCTTGAAGTGAGACTATTTCCTGGCTTTACGTTTTGCCATACCATAATATACTTCTCAAGCTCAGTCTAAGCATTAATGTTAATCTGTGGAAGTTGCTTGAAGTATAGTCGTACATTGGAGCTTGAACACCTTGCAAGTCAAATGTTTTGGCTCCAAACGCCGCTAGTGAGTGTTCCAGTTTGCGAATGTTCTTTGGAACCTGAACGTCTGATGCGGTTTCCGCAGCTTCCGATTGGCTGCAGGAGCTTCCTGCAGCCAATCAGAAGCCATGTCTTGGTTTCTGAACATTTTGGAAGTCGAATGGATTACGTTTGACTTCTGAGGTACCACTGCACTTCCTTTGTGGTGATGTATTCCTGCCTCCACCATACTGTGTTGCACTCCCACATTCTATGTGATTTTTCTACCTAGTCGAGGTAACTTCTGTGGCAGTAGGAACATAAGAAGAACAGGTCAACATCACTTCTTGTCCAGCATTCCACTCTGAGTGGCTGCTTAATGGGAGCCCCCAAGTAGGGATCTAAGCAGAACACCACTCTCCCCACTTGTGATTCCCAGCAATGGTCATTCAGAGGCATATACTGCCTCCAACAATAGTGGTAGAACATAGCCATCATGTCAGCTGGGATAGGTCAGTTGGTAGAGGATGAGACTCTTAATCTCAGGGTTGTGGGTTCAACCCTGAACCCACAAATGTTTCCTGCATTGCAGGGGTTTGGACTAGATGACCCTTGAGGTCACTTCCAGTTCTACAGTTCTATGATTCTATATGGCTTGTAGTTACTGTTAGCATTTTTTTTGCCATAAATTTGTCTAATTTTCTTTTAAGGCCACCCAGTGTGGCTTGTTCTGGCAGTGGCTACAAAAATAATGTGGGTGGCAGCACTACATGTTGGTGTAATAACAGGTGTAAAGTGCCACTTGAAGACATAGCCTTACTCTGAGTTCTGCTTAGATCAGTATTGATACTCTTGTTGATAGTAATAGTCGAAAATCTCAAGCACAGAAGCATTTCCCAGCCTTGCTACTTAAAAATCCTTTTGAAGATTCCAGGGATTATATGGGCCTTTGGTCTGATCCAACAGGACTTTTCTGAGCATGATAATTGTATCCCAGCAACGGTATTGGCTACCCCAGTTTGGGGGAAACTACACTGTATCTAGCCCTGAAGAATATGGAACTGCAGGGACTCCACTACAGCAATAGTCTCCCAGATTTGGAACGGCTGAGCTAAGTACAATTATCATTGCATAGTACACCATGTCATTTCTTTACTTTCTCACTGCTTAGACTGCCAATGGAAGAAACTTGCTGTCTTGGACTAGTCAACCTGCTTGCTTGCCTTTCAACCCTTCCACTGCAATTTATTTTCCTCTTTCATCTTGCCCTTACCAGTGGCTGTACCCAGTTCTGACACAATGCTGGCCTTGAATGCCCAAGTGTTCTATACTGCAAATAAGTACAGATTCTCTGGTGAGTCTGGCTTAGATGGCAGATTCATGTTTCTGGTGTCCACTTCTAAAAAACAGATATGCACCTAAAACCATTAGAAAAATCCTTATGTCCATAATAAGGCTGCTGAGACCAGAAGCTCCAGGATTCCATGCAGAGGAAGGAGGAGACACCAAATCTAGATTTTTCACTAGGAAGCTCAAAGGTCCGATAATAGATTTGCATAAAATTCCATTAAAAGCACCTGATGTGAAGAACTCATAGTCTACTCTATAAAGAAACTTGGAGAACTTGGACTAACATTTTAGTAAGTAATTTTGTGCCTTACTGTTATTTGTAATTAATGGTCACCCTTCATTCCATGATGGGGTCCCATGATGAAGTATAAATGACAAAAACTAAAGAACACTATAAATGTTAAATTAAATAAGATTAAAAACACAGCTTCCAGCCATTAAAACAGTTCAGCGAGCCATAAAAATAACCATGCCTTTGCTTACACTCCTTCCAATGCCCATGAAAAGATACTGTAAACAGTGACGCAGAGATCAAAGCATTGTACTGCATTAGCAAATGCACCCCACACCTGGCCACTACCACATAAACACATTATGCAGAAGCAGGATGTGTATTTTTAAGAAACTGGTATGGTGGTTATCTTCATTTTTCCAAGCTGGGATCAAGTGGTAGTGGTTCCATGTGCTGCCTTGTGGTATTTTCACTATTACTTCCCAAATCTGAACCCCGCCTGTGTGCAATTCCAGAAGAGTATTTCACCTTCTGCATGTTAGTGGTTGATAATTTGGTAGCCACAATAAGATGTAGCACAATTTTTTCCCTACCATTTAGTAAGTGGGCTCTCTCTGTCACTGAGCAAAGTACGTTGGCACACCATAACACTTGCCAATAAGCGCTCTAGTATTGCGCTTTCTCCTCCAGATGTTTTCAGGTGGAAAGTGGGGGTGGGGGGAGGAGGGAGCAGAGAAACAATAGATGCCAAATCTGCATCTGTGTTAGACTCAAAATTCTGCTTGCCAAAATTGCAGCCGAGTTCCTTAAATAACAAAATTAGCTTTTCTAATTCCCGTTGACTTTTTTTAACCTCCACAGACTTTTGCATAAAAGGCACAAGCATGAGCATTTATTCTTTTTAACACAAGGGGAATCCCAGGCAATAGGAAGTCTTGATTCATATATTTAAGCAATTTTACTCCACACACTTGCAGTTCAGAACTACAGTACTGAGAAAATGCATTACATGCTATCAGCGCAGTTGATACAATACAAGCAGAGACTTATTATGTAGCAGCTACCTACTGCTTAGTGTATTGGGAAATGTGTTACATAGTTGTGCTATTAAATTCTCATCTCAAGAGCTGTATGCTATACATTACTATGAAGAATGAAATTAAGGAACTAACTGCCATCACATAGACTGACTGCATATGTCTTCCAGCCTCAACAAAGCAGTAAAATTTCTTGATACCCTAAATGACTGTGCCCTAGAGCAGTTGGTCATGTAACAGACTAGAGAGATGGCAACTCTGGGCCCTAATCTTTAAGTAGCACCCAAGCCCTGGTGCAATATGCAAGTGTTGCTGAAACTGTGCAGGGAGCAGTGACCATAATGCTATTAAATTAAATATACAGTGGTACCTCTGGTTACGAACTTAATTCGCTCCGGAGGTCTGTTCTTAACCTGAAACCGTGCTTAACCTGAGATATCACTTTAGCTAATGGGGCCTCCCGCTACCGCTGCACGATTTCTGTTCTCTTTTTTTTTATATAAGATATTTATTAAGGTTTTCAGAATATTACAAGACAAAAAAAGAAGAAAAAAAGAAAAATACAAAATAAAAACAGTTAAAAACAATTCCTTCCTTCCGTTACTTAGCCTTCATTTGCTTATTTCCAGGACCTCCTCACACCTCCCTTTTTTGTATTCCAATTCAGTTATTAGTTCAACAAATCCCTCCCCTCTTTATGTATCCTAATCGTTAATCATAAAGTATTTGTAATTTTAAATTTTTACCTATTAATAAACCATTTTTTTTTCATATTCCCTTATAACATTTCGGCTAAAGACCACTTAGTTTCTATCCGACATCATTCTGACATTCATTAATTTTGCAATATTTCTGTAAATAGTCTTTAAACTTTTTCCAATCTTCTTCCATCGACTCTTCTCCCTGGTCTCGGATTCTGCCAGTCATTTCCGCCAATTCCATATAGTCCATCACCTTCATCTGCCATTCTTCCAAGGTGGGTAGATCTTATGTCTTCCAATACTTTGCAATGAGAATTCTTGCTGCTGTAGTAGCATACATAAAAAAAGTTCTGTCCTTCTTTGGCACCAATTGGCCGACTATGCCCAGGAGAAAGGCCTCTGGTTTCTTCAAGAAGGTATATTTAAATACCTTTTTCAATTCGTTATATATCATCTCCCAGAAAGCCTTGATCCTTGGGCACGTCCACCAAAGGTGAAAGAATGTACCTTCATTTTCTTTACATTTCCAACATTTATTATCGGACAAATGGTAGATTTTTGCAAGCTTGACTGGTGTCATGTACCACCTGTATATCATTTTCATAATATTCTCTCTTAAGGCATTACATGCCGTAAATTTCATACCTGTGGTCCACAACTGTTCTCAGTCACCAAACATAATAATATGTCCAAGATCTTGTGCCCATTTAATCATAGCAGATTTCACCATTTCATCCTGAGTATTCCATTTCAACAGCAAGTCACGATTTCTGTTCTCATCCTGGGGCAAGGTTCTTAACCTGAGGTACTACTTCCGGGTTAGTGGAGTCTGTAACCCAAGGTGTTTGTAACCCGAGGTACCACTGTACATTTAAATGTACATTTTAATCACCAATTGCCAAGTAAATCCAACATGGTAGCCTGTGATATCAAAAGAGGAAACTGCCCAGAAATGAAGGGATGGGGGGGTGGTATTTAAAAAGGTGAAAGGCAAAGCCAAGAGGGTCAAATTAATTCAAAACATCTTCACTGAGCTATGAGTCCAAGGTCTCATTCCTTGCCAGACTTTGCCAGTTCAGACCCCATGAGTATATATGCAACATTATTTTTTTTAAAAAATTTGCCCCAACGTGCATGACTTTACACTTGTTTATATTGAATTGAATTTGCCATTTTACCACCCATTCACTCAGTTTGGAGAGGTTATTTTGGAGCTCTTCCCAACCTTTTTGTTTTAAGAACCTTGAACAATTTAGTATCATCAGCACACATGGCCATTTCACAGCTCAGTCCTAACTCTAGATAATTTATGAACAAGTTACAAAGGACATCCAGCAGGGACTTCACTTTCTCTATTCCTCCATTGGGAGAACTGTCCATTTATTCCAGTTATTCTTCTTGTTAACCAGTTCCTGACCCACAAGAGGAACTCTCCTCTTATTCCCTGACTGCCAAGCTTACTCAGGAGTCTTTGTATACCATCCCTGTTTCACTGTACGTATGGAAGCCAGACAGCTGTGGCCATTCATGCTACTAGTTTCTAAACCTAAACACACCAGTGAATAAGCCCCATTGATCATAGTAGAATTTACTTCCAAGTGAACATGTGTAGGATTAGTTATGGCTATTAATCTTTAACGTGTGATGCATTCCTAAATCTTATGAATAAATATGAGAAATGCAGAGTTTTAAAACATTTTCAGCATGTTGCAGATGATTTCACGTACAATTACTTTGGGGATTTTTCCCCCTCACCATTTTTTATTAACCCTGCTCCCATTCCAGACCTGTTTTGGAGAGGGAGGGGAGTTCTATGTTACAATGCATAGCTATGTAAGTCTACTCAGAAATAAAACCCATTTAGTTCAATCAAACATACACGTATCTAGGAGTATAGGATTGCAGTCCGAATCCATGTCTGATAAGTGGCACTACTTTTAAAATATCACATGTTTCTCTGCTTCTACACTGAGCTAAATATGAAGCATCTAAGGACTGACTTGTTTTTCTGTTACCTTTGCTAGCTGTTATTGGCTTCACTAACACAAGTGATACAGTGCTTCTCTATTGGTCAGGATTCAACTAGCCCTGCGCTGTGCTAGTGGAAGCTTATGCAAGGACTACCATTGGGGGTTTTCCCCTTCCCACCCCATGGTCTCTGTACACTTCTCCCAAATCCACCCGGGGTGTGTGTGTGTGTGTGTGTGTGTGTGTGTGTGTCAGAAGAACCTCCAAAGCAGCACAGATAGGAAGGAGAATGGGAATCACTTTGTGTGGCAAGCTGAAATATTGTCCTGATGGACCAGTGATGTTGAACTTGAATTCCTCCATAAGGTCCCAATGGATGGCTTCTGTTCTGAAGAATAAAAATGATGAGGCAGAGTTTATGTTAATATTTGAATTTTGATAAGTCCTTAAAAATAAAAGCCTACTTTTTTTTTTTAGTTTGTACAGCCTGCACAACTTCTGTAAAACTTAAGGTGACCCATTCTTTCCACTGTATAATAGAAATCTACTTTTTCCAGCAAATTAACACTTTGAAAGCTTTTTAGTGGTAAAGCACCCCAGGCAAGTGCATTGCTAGGCAATTATAATATGCTACCACTGATATATAAAAGGTGCAAGGCTGCAGACCAAAATGGCTTTTAGCACCAGAGGGGGAAAAAACACTGTAATTGCCTTAAAATGCAGTGCCTGGAGTGTCTAGCTTCCATTATGAACTGGAATTCATGCATATTACATGTGTGCACATGCACACCACAGAGAGAGCTACCTGAGAAAAAGCAATTTGTGAGTGTGTGTCATCACATAAATAAATGGCACCAATAAACCAACAGAACGTTTAAAAGTAATAGATATAATTTGCATGTATATGCTTGCAAAGCTGTGCACCTGAAATTTAGGGTGGTTCCCACCCCCACCCCCATCCCTTTAGCATGTGAAAGTTTTTGAGAAACGCTGTGGAGTCCCTAAGACAGTTGGATGCCTCCTTCTGGCAACTCCTGCAGCCAAGCTGGTGCCAAATGTATTGCTCTGCTTGCATCTGGCCCATATCAGCGAGGCTGAGAGTGGGGGTCTTCTCATCTGGGCAGCCCAAGGTTCATGCACACTGCCTAGGTTTGTGCCCTGAGGAGGTCACTTCAGTGCTGTTAACGTATCAGTTAGACTTCACCCCCAGAGGTGAATTCCATTGTCTCTCGAGGCAGATAGATGCCAGCTATCTGTGCAAGCTTTTCTACTTGCCAAGTGGAACAAACCCTCTTTCCTCCCTCTGAGTGCTGTTCTGGGGGTTCTCTTGTACCCCTCAGAGCTGATTGAGGGGTACAGGGGAAGAAATCTGGCTCTATGTGTGGGGTAGCATTTCCTTGCCACTAGTCTCCTACATCACTGGGCTTGGGGTAACATTTCAAGACCAGATACCATTTTGTTGAGACTGCGTCATGAAACACAGGCAAGCTTATGTACTGTTTGTCACCTGGAATATATTAAACATTCCCGAACCTTTGTGTGATCAGATGCAGCATGCAGGTTTCAAAGATTTCTCTTGCAATCTCACCTAGACCCTTGGCACTGAAAAAAGCTGCAGTTCGCAAGAGTGTTGCATTTTAGTAAGCCTGGAGGCGTGTAGAATGCTCAGTGACTTAGAGAACAAAAACAGTGGCCTAGCAGAATTAGGTAAATTTTTGAAAATATTTTCTGTTCATATATTGGTTGACTCTGCAGAGTTTACTGCAAACACAAGCAACTTCTTCTTCTTCTTCTTTATTGATTTTATATACCGCCCTATACCCAGAGATCTCAGGGCAGTTCACAGAAGAAAATCAAAATACAGAACCACAGAATACACAGTCAAAACAAAAACCCACCACATTTTGAAAGGGCATAGGATATCAGTCAAATCAACCAAAGTTCTGGTTAAAAAGGAACTTTTTTGCCTGGCACCTAAAGGTGTATCATGAAGGAGCCAGGTGAACTTCCCTGGGGTGAGCATTCCACAGATGGGGAGCCACTTCAGAGAAGGCCCATTCCCATGTTGCTACCTTCCGGACCTTTCGAGGAGGAGGCACACGAAGAAGGGCCTCAGAAGATGATCTCAGGGTCCGGGTGGAAAGAGGTGGTTCTTGAGGTATTGCGGTCCTGAGTCATTTAAGGCTTTATAGCTCAAAACCAGCACTTAGAATTAATAGTGAGCTAGTAGTTAGGGCTGAATGCACTGGACATTTTTGCCTACATAGGTAGCAGTTGCGGAAGAATAACCCTGAGTCAGTAACCATAGGCACACTTGGCTATGTAAACAAGCTGTTTAATATATTTTTGGGGTTCCATTTGTACCAGGGATCTGGTACAGTGGTGCCTCGCAAGACGAAATTAATTCGTTCCGCAAGTCTCTTCGTCTTGCGAGTTTTTCGTCTTGCGATGCACGGTTTCCCATAGGAATGCATTGAAAATCAATTAATGCGTTCCTAGGGAAACCGCCTTCAGACCAGGTCCGGGGACAGTCTGTCCCCGGACCTCTTCTGAAGGCTGAGGGGCAAGGGCTTTTCTTCCTACCCCCAGCATTTTTAAAACCCGGGACAGCGGAGGACTTCTCCGCTGTCCGGGCGATCTTAAAATGCTGGCGGGCGGCATTTTAAAATCACCCGGGACAGCGGAGGACTTCTCCGCTGTCCGGGGCAATTTAAAGCCCCTGGGAAGGCAGGCAGGGGGACAAAGACTTTTGCCCCCGCCAGCCTTCAGAAGAGGTCCTGGACCTCTTCTGAAGGCGGGCGGGGGCGAAAGTCTTTGCTCCCCCGCCTCAAAAGCCCTCCGGGACAGGCAGGCAGGGGGAGCAAGACTCTCGCCCCCGCCCACCTTCAGAAGGTCTTCCTCCCCCCGCCCGGCGTCGGAGCACCGTCCCGAAGCCGGGCGGCGGCGGGAGGTCTTCCCTCCCCGCCCGGCCGGAGCACCGTCCCGAGCCGGGCGGCGGGGGAGGTCTTCCTCCCCACCGCCCGGCCGGAGCACCGTTCCGGGCCGGGCGGCGGGGAGGTCTTCCTCCCCACCGCCCGGCTCGGAGCACCGCTCCGGCCGGGCAGAGGCGGGAGGTCTTCCCTCCCCGCCCGGCTCGGAGCACCGCTCCGAGCCGGGCGGCGGCGGCAGGTGTTCCCTCCCCCGCCCGGCCTCGGAGCACCGCTCCGAGCCGGGCGGCGGCGGCAGGTGTTCCCTCCCCCGCCCGGCTCGGAGGAGCCTTCCGAGCCCGGCGGCGGCGGGAGGAGGTGTCCCCGCCCCGCCGCCAGGCTTCGGAGGAGGTCCGAGGACAGTGGGGAAGACGCGCTGCGCTTCCCGCTGTCCCTGAGATTTCCCTATGGGCTGTCGTCTTGCGAAGCAAGCCCATAGGAAATTGTTCTATGAAGCGCCTCCAAAACGGAAAACCCTTTCGTCTAGCGGGTTTTCCGTCTTGCGAGGCGTTCGTCTTGCGGGGTACCACTGTACATAGTGTAAAATTCACTATGTTGTGCAAAATGATGTGGGACTCTGGCTTGGGTGCTGTGCCTTTAAAAGCTGTGCAACAGGTGAGCATTCAGCACAGATGCTACATTTCCCTAGTGTGAACATGTAGTGAAGAGGAAATCTTTACATGTTGAATTTCTGCCTATTAAGAAGCTTCAAGTACAGGCAGATGCTCTGGATGCAAATAACCACCATTCCTAAAAAATGTAAAATTCTGATCTCCAGCTATGAATTGTGTGTCTGGCCTAATTTGGACACAGGAGAACACATTGAGAGAATTCTAATTTCCTAGAGAGAGAACTTGGTGCTTTTCAAACAATAGATCATCTGATATTTTACATAGCAGCCAGACACATTCTAGGACAAGGCTGGCACACCCAGGGAACATCTAGAGTTTCTGGAAATTAGTACCCTTACTTTTTGCCTGCTGAGTCTGAAAATGTTAACTGTAATTTGGAGGAGCCAAAACCAATCCATCTTTCTCTGTTGCATACTGCCAGCCAGAGTGAGCTTTAAAACAGGAGCATTTAGGATTAAATCATACTGAGGGCCAGACTAGAAAGAACTGTTAATTGCACACGGAATGGGGAGAGGAAGCTTAACTCTTTCTCTTCCTGCTATGGTCCCAACAAGAATCCCTTCATAGAAGCTGCTATTTGCATCTCGAGGGAAGCTCCCATTGGTGCCAGCAGAGGCCTCCCTGGAAACGCAAATAGCAGCTGCAAATAGAATGAAACTTCAAATCCCCCCTGCCCTGGTCCTGAGGCTGCCTTCTCTGTGGCTGCTATCAAAAAGTACTGAATCTGCTCATGGACTGAATTCATTTGCCAGGCCCAGAGCTGCATGGGCTGCTGCAGCCTTAAGGGAAAATTCTGCAAGACTGAGCATAGCCCCCTCCCCAACAAGAGCTTAAGGTGGTTTGGAAGAGGGATTGCTGCCCATGGTGTACACACTTCTCCCGCTAGTGACCCTGGTAAACACTGTAAGGTACCCTGATGTATTACAGCATCTTTAGAAGGATCAGACCACTGAGAGGTTAATTACATGAGAGCAGGAATGAAAGACCATGCGGTTTATCCACTGAAAGCTAAACGGGACCTTAAATTACAGTGACATTGCAAAATTCCAGTAAGGAAATTATTTTGAGAAAACATGTTGACATTTATTTTTCACCCCTGTTAGAGGCATATGTTGTTGATTTTCAAGTATGGGAAGACTGCAAACAGGACCAAAGTACAGCAGCATCACCCTCACTCTTCATGATTCTCAGCTGCTATACACAGGTGTACGGCCTTGAATAGTAGTAGAACATGTTGCTGTATGATACTCTGTGTGGAGTCTTCGTTTTGAGTACCAAGGCTGAGGTGTGCTCAGTTCCATTCCTGGTTATCCCCAAGTTTTCTTTATTTCAGCAGTCTAATTTATATTAGGGGAATTGCTATTGTTCAACTACTTAGAGGTTGGTTTGTTTTTACAATCAAACAATATATAAATATTGTTAAATAAATAAAAATAAACTCTTTTGTTGTGACTAGATCCCATTCCATAATTTCCATCAGTACTTGCTCATGACTGAATTTTGCCCTTTGTGTAGAACTGTTCCCTTACTAATATATTTTTGTTATATTCCAAGTGGTCAGTCTTACTTTTGAAAACAGCTGAGTACAAGTTATTTTTAAAAGGTATGGAAGCTCTAATGCACATACTAGGTTCCCTCCACCAAAGAGGTTTCGCTTTTCAGTGAACAGAGCCCACTTGCTTGTGTATTCCTTTGTACAGCTTCTTTCACTGAAATAATAAATGAAGATGCCCATGTAGTCTGCAATTGCGTACTGTATCAACAATGCAAACTATGGGCAGTCTGGATTGGGATAGTATGGTGGCAGAAATGATTGCAAAAAAGATCATAAAGATGCCAACGGCATTTACTGTCTTGAGTATCTGTGAGTCTAATGTAATATGGTGTGTGTTAATGAATTTTTAAAAATAGAAGCTGACTTTAAACTGGGAAACATTAGCCCCCACCCAAAAAAAGAAACCACAGTCACGACTTGCCAGGTAAAAAAACCACCCTCTATTAAATAGTAAGCGACTTCTGGTGTGAATCATATCCTTTTGAAGTATGTTTTCTAGGTGATTGAAGTCATATGGGTTGATTGATAGTTGAGTTATATAAATGTAGGTTCCTGCCCCACACCCTAATTTAAGTACACAATGGATATCAATATTTTTTTTTAGCCTGTTAAGCTCTCTTCCATACAGTAACTAACACAAGCCATCAAACATCTTAAAAATAAATAGTGTTGTTATCCTGATTTTGGTTGACCATCTGCCAGGTTTGTAAGACAAGCCCTCTTGAATTCTTGGTTGGAATTCAACATAGTGCTAAGTAAGCATTCCTCAGTGCAAGAATTTCTGCTCATTCAACCAAACATTCTCCCCCTGTGTACCCCCTAAATATGTTCTAGGGGTTACTCCGACCCCCCAGGGACAGATTTGGGGCACAGGAGGAGAAGGGAGGAAAGACCTGTTGCACCGATAGAAATCCTTGTCCTGACAGGATAGGTTAGTTGAATCCTGCCCCTTCTGTTGGAATTCAGTATCTTTGCATAGTTGAAAAAACAAACAAACCCTGACCAGACAGGCAAACCCTTTGGCTAATGATTGACACTGAGGGATGCATGTGGCCACCGTAATTAGTGGCCATTGGTTACATATGCACCCTCCAGGTTTAGATGCTGTATGCCTCTTGAAGGCAACTGCTGTGGAGCAACACCATATCCCATTATGTGCTGAAGTATATTTGGAATCTTTTATGTCCTCAGAGTTATGCTCTGGGTTAAGAGAGAGAATGAATGGAAATCTTTTTCCATAATCTTTATCAATGCCGATTTTCATGTTGCCTTTTATGAACCCATCACTGCCTCCCAGTGGTACAAGCTAGCATCAGATATGAAATAAAAGAGAGTTTGTGAGTGCAGGAGCTGATGAAGTATGTGTAGCCGATTTTATCTGTTATTGTGTTTGATATTGGTATGCTGAGTTTTGTTAGACTGTTAAGACTGTGATGGTGTTTTGGACAGCAAGAAGCACAGCGAGATACAGTGTATATATAACCCCAGCTGAAGGATAAGATGATGCACTATTGAATACAGTCATACCTTGGTTCTCAAACGGAATCCGTTCTGGAAGTCTGTTAGACTTCCGAAAACATTCAAAACCAAGGTGCAGCTTCTGATTGGCTGCAGGAGCTTCCTGCAGCCAATCAGAAGCCACAGAAGCAGCGTCAGACATTCGGGTTCCAAAGAACGTTTGCAAACCGGAACACTTACTTCCGGGTTTGCAGTATTCAAGAGCCAAAATGTTCAAGTCACAAGGCGTTTGACAACCAAGGTACAACTGTATTCAAGCTATTTTAAAAAAATACTAAGTGGAAAAGAAACTTTATAATGGAGACATCTCCCCCCCCATCCTGCCCTGTTTGTGCCCATGATGGCGCATTGGGCTACCACCTGGCTGAAACTAAGCAGACTTGGGTCTATATGTCACCTTGGGTTCCATGATGGAAGAATGGTGGAATACAAATGTAGGGTGGGATGGTCGTCATCATCATCATCATGAAGCTGGAACTTCTGTGTTAAAATCAGCTAGCTTAATAAATAAGTACTTGAGAAAGTTTACGCATCTGACTATGTCTACATTAATGTGTCAAAGCAATTCTGCCCATAAGTAGGTAAGGAAGTGTTCAGATTTGTGACTCCTTTTTGTCTCTGCTGCCACAGGAAACCTTTACAGGAAGAGTAGCAGGATCCCATATTAGCAAGATCCCATAATCCAAGGTAGCTACAAACTGTAATAATAATAATAATAATAATAATAATAATAATAATAATATAATTTCAAAATTATTAGACCTGTCAGTAGCTCTTTTTGTTGAGTGTATTGTTTGTATGTTGTGTTTGTAGGTGAAATATTCATAAAGAATCATATGTGGTCTTCATAATTTTGCAAGTAATTGGTAGGTAGCTACATGGTATATGCCAACTATGGACTGAGTAGTATAATAGATGAATGAAAGTATCAATCCTTCTACAACATATAGCCAGACGTTTAAATGACAGAGAAGTCCTCCAGCAGTTCCCTCTTGGAAGAAGATATGAAACTACATTTCTGTGATGTGGAATTGCTCCGTTGCTAGCTCAGCTAGACAGCTAGGTGCTTGAGCAGAATCGGACATTTCTTCTCAGGGTCTAATAATGCATGGATAATAATAATAAGAATAATAAATTTTATTTATATCCCGCCCTCCCCAGCTGGAGCTGGGCTCAGGGCGGCTAACAACAATAAAACAGTACAACAGTACAACACAACACAACACTCTAAAATCATTCATTAATTCATTGGTTGATTAATTCATTCATAATTAATTCATTGGTTGATTAATTCAAATCAACCATTGGGCCAGAGCTCCGCGAAGATTGCCGAAGGAGGGAGTCAGGCTGTGCCCTGGCCAAAGGCCTGGTGGAACAGCTCTGTCTTGCAGGCCCTGCGGAAAGATGTCAAGTCCCCCAGGGCCCTAGTTTCTTGTGACAGAGTGTTCCACCAGATCGGAGCCACGGCCGAAAAAGCCCTGGCTCTAGTTGAGGCCAGCCTAACCTCTCTGTGGCCTGGGACCTTCAAGATGTTTTTATTTGAAGACCGTAAGTTTCTCTGTGGGACATACCAGGAGAGGCAGTCCAGTAGGTACGAGGGTCCTAGGCCGTATAGGGCTTTAAAGGTTAAAACCAGCACCTTTAACCTGATCCTGTACTCCACCGGGAGCCAGTGCAGCTGGTATAGCACCGGGTGAATGCGTTCTCGCAGCGAGGACCCCGTAAGGAGTCTCGCTGCAGCATTCTGCACCCGCTGGAGTTTCTGGGTCAGTCTCAAGGGCAGCCCCACGTAGAGCGAGTTACAATAATCCAGTCTGGAGGTTACCGTCGCGTGGATCACAGTGGCTAGGTCAGGGCGAGAGAGGTAAGGAGCCAACTGCTTAGCTTGGTCAGCGCATACACCCAAAGAGGCTTTCCCTGATGTCCTGCCCCCTGCTGAAATCAGGTTTGCACTAAACCTATTGTAGACAATAGAATGCATTTTTCAACACTAATTATGTCATGTGAATGATTTGGGAACCCGCAGGGGATGTACTCTGACGCCTGAAATACCCCCAGATTCACCCTCCTGACTTCTTTCCCTGATCACAGCATTCAGCACTCTGCTGCATGGCCACATTCTAACCTTTCCCTGGGTAGCATTTGCATGGTGAATATGATATGTGATGCTAATGATGTAGCTGCAGCAATCTCTATTTCCTGTTATTGTGATGTTTTTAAAAAATGTGCAGCCAGAGTCTCAGAAATCTCCTCAAGTCCATTTCTGTATCTGTGGAGGAGCTGGGTCACACATTAGGTTGTATGAGGAAATACGTTCTCAGGGATGGTAATGCGAAGAAAATTCTATAACATCTGATTCAGCCCACACTTTCCTGTCTCACACCTTAATGTGTGCCAGTTGGAAATTGCTGTTAGATTGGTTCTGAGCCTTCTTTGTGAAAGAATCTATATTAATGGACTTCTTAGAAATTGATCTACATTTTGTATTAGAAAATGATTGCAAGTGCTTCCTTAAATTGTGTTTTGAAGGAATAATTGATACATAATCACATTTGATGATGAGTCTCCTTTTTATTTATTAATTTTTTGCCAGGATGATAGGCTACTAAAAAATATAACAGCCCTGCAGGATCAAGTGAAGAGTTCATCTAGTCTAGCAGTCTCTTCCTAACATTGGCCAGCTGCATGCTTCTGGAAGGCCCACCAGGAGGCTAAATTTTACAAGAAAACAATGTGGTGGTGTGACCACTTTTCTGAAAGATGCTGTCTTGAATATTGCCTCTGGTCATAGTGAACTGCTGTCCCATAGAGATCCAGTTCTTGCACTTGGATAAAATCAACGCTTATATGATTTGAGGGTAGCTACATTATTGGGTTTAATTCTGTAGATAAGTTTTATTATTCATGCAGATTATGCACGTGTGTGACTCCTAGGATGAATCAGAGCACATAGTAATAAATATCTCTGCTTAAGATTGTTTCTTGAAAGTCTTAACAGTTCTCACTTCATGATACTGGATTCTTAAATGCAATTGGCACTATCTACCCACCTTCATTTCTGTGAAAGGTTCCCCCACCCCGCAAAATTGTTGCCTCTTTTGTTAAGAAGTGTGGAGAAAGGATTCCTGGTAGAGTTGCTCCGATGTATAAAATGGCCTTTCTTTGTCCATATGTAGTATTAGTAAACATCCTCTAGTGCGAAACTTACTCTGAATGCAGTTGAAGTCCTTACATCTACAAGATATTTCAAAAGTGCAACTGGTTTCCTCATATATTCAGTCACACTTGGACTTCGGAAATATTTGATCTTTCTGTAAAGGATACATAAAAGCATGCCTTGCCCTATTTTTCATGGAGCATCATGTTTGCAATGGATAGTTTTGTATAGTTGGAGTGGCCATGTGTTTTAGGCAATGGTTTGCAGCCGTGCCAGGGGAGCCACTGCAGCAAAAGTGAGGGACAAGTCTCTGAAGTGTGCTATGTTGATCCCTGGAGCAAGTAAGATGAGCCTTCTCTAGATTTTTGCTTCTGTCTTCAGAACCAAGTCCCTGTACGCTGCAGAACAGTTTTCAGGAAACCTAATTGTTTGACCAAAGCATAATTAGAAGTTCATGGTGGAAATATTGACTCAGACATAAAAATATTGATTGCATATGTTATGTGATTAATTAAGAGATCTGTGGGGAACAGACTTCACATTCATGGATTATTGTTCTAGAAGTGCACCAGCAATTTTGCAAATGGGCCATCTCTTTTCATTTTTGTCCCTTCTGTTGTCTCTATACCCGCTCCACCCACCCCATTACTGTACAGAAGCATTTTGATTCAGCTAAATGTGAGGTTCAGTTTTAACACTTACTTGCTTACTTAGTCAAACCCTTATTAGACATTAAAAATATAGACCATCCATTTATAAACAACTCTCCCAGTTTGCAACTAATAATTATATCTCTAATTTCCTCCTCTTTCACCCTTGTCCACTCCTTTAGTTTATCTAGTTTGTTATTGTTGGACTCCTTTCCATTCAATTTACTATGTAGATAATTAAATATGGAAACGAAATACTGAGACAATTTAGATTCTGCAGTTGATGGGACAGCTGGTTGGTCGCCAGCTTTCAGACCTCCATATACTCCCAACCAAAACACTTTGTTATTTTTGTTTTGAATTAAGTCAATTGGGACCATTTTTGGGTGGCATCTTTTTGTTTCTTTTTGGCCAGAACTAGGTGATATTTTCTTTTTTCGTCAAAGTAGGAAGGTTCTAGTTTGGTACGGTTATCTTTGGAAATTTGGCACATTTATTTATTTATTTTTTAAGTTGAAGACATTCATTGTCGAACCAGGGACTAGTTCTGCTTTTAAGTACCCTGACTTTTGGTGGAGTGTTAAGCTCTTCAAACATTTTGAAGATTTCACTATATACTTCCAGAATGTCAGTACAAGAATTGATGTTCTTTAGATTAAAGAGTAAAGGTAAAGGTAAAGGGACCCCTGACCCCAGGTTCCTAAAAGCAACTAAGTTTTTGCCCCACTGCTAGAATCATTTCCTGGAACGATTTTAGTTGGGCCATTTGCTCATGTTGACAAAAAATTGTGTTGTTATGATTAGTTGTTTCTAAATCAAAGCTTAAATTTATAGACATCAGCAGTGGTTGGTGATTGTTTTCAGTGAGTGTCCCAATTCTAAAGTTCACTATCAGATTTACAGTGTCAAAAAGGACCAGCATATAGTTGATGACACTACACCCTGGTGGGGGGGTATGTAAATTCCCTGTTTCTATCACCATCTATTGAACCATTCACAATTTGTAAGTTAAAATTATTACACAACTCAAGCAAGCATATACCTTCCCTATTTATAACCTTGTCTCTAGAGAGTCTTCCTATTTTCATTGAATGTGCAATGCCATTGGTGGTATTCCTATTTAATACTCACCCTAGCATTAAATGAGGTGTTTGGGTATCTATCAATCAAACTTTCAATGTAAAAGTTTAGTTGTGACCAATTCTCAACAGAGATATTACTTGATGTAGCAAGGAGGGATATTGACATTTATAAGCAGCAAAATATCATTTTTGGAAGTTAAAAGTAGAGCTTGTGCAAATGAAGAGAATTTTTTCTAACTGTTTGACTTCAAACGCTAGGGTGTCTTTAAACAGACCACAAAGCATTGCTTTAGGCCGGCCCTTGGAGTTAGGTTTCGATGCAGGGATCGTATAAGATCGTATAACTCCCCAAATGCATTTCTCATTCATACTCCGTGAAGAGCACACTTTTTCTTTCTTTCATGCTTTAGGAGAAGGTGGTAGTAACTGATGATTCAGCTGGGAAAATCCTGGAATTGTAGTACATAGTGACTGAATGCTTGGTAAGTTTATAGTATCTGCCATTTGCATAGAAAAGGAGCATGAAACTGTTCTCCAAATATGTAACAGGAAGGTCAGCTTTGATCTTGTGTGATTTAGCAGAAAATCTAAGAGGTTTACTACAGGTTTCTATTTGTTGGTTCAGGGGAAATCTCACATATATATTGTAACATGATGATGTCAATCCTGTGTAAGCGATGTCAGGTATATAAACTAATATCACACATAATCTTCACACAGGATTTGTGTAATTCCTTCCAGAAGTAACTTTTATCTGAGAATTTTGTAAGTTGTGAAACAAGCTTTAGTAAGTCCTGCACAGTATAGAGGCTGATTACTCATATTCCTGAATTGGGCCTTTGCTTTTTAACATCCTGGCTGCCATGTTGTTTGGATTGCCTTATGACAGCCACCTCTGTAATGACAGATGATGAAAAGAATGCTGTCTGACTTCTACGTAAAGGAAAAGTAAAAATAAAACAAATGATTGTCTTCCTTAGCAAAGAATACAGCAAGGGCAGTACGCCAATAAACTACGCACACTGGATGACTAACAGGGCTCCTACAATATCAGTGTAGGCAGGGAATGTGCTATGTTGCCAAAAAAGCATACCATAGGTGCTTCCGAATGCTTTTAGCCCCTTAATGCCTTTCTCAAAAATCAAATTTTGAGGAGAATGGTGCTCATTCATGCTTGAAAAACAATTTCGATAATAAATCATTTTTAAACTGGTGGCCTTAGATTTAGCCCAGATGAATCTATCTGAAGTCACAGGGCTAATTTAGCTTATATCTACATACAAGGCTGAAGACCGAACTGTACATTGTTGCTTCTTACTAGTTGAACAATTGCTTCTAAAGATAAATAGTTGGGCTTCTGAGCATGTGTTCAATTTTCTTTCACTGATAAAGTATATGTAGTGTATATGTTACTGACTTCAGCAGTTGCTTCTAACAAATGTATAATAATGAAACCATTAAAAATAGCTAGGCATAAGAGGAGCATCCATATAAAGTTACTTGTTTGATCTCAGAGTATAACTTCTTTCCCTGATGCAAGGGAGATAATTTGTTGTTCTATTATGTGCTTTGTTATACAAATGCATGTTTAGTGGTCTACACAAGTTATGCTGTAAGTACCTCAATACTATGTAAATATGAAGTAGAGCCCATGAATGGGAGGCAGGACACAGTACCTATCCACCACTACATATATTCCAAGTAACTCCTCTGTGTACAGAAATCATGTGATAGAGGTGCCTGTGTGTTGAAAGTCAAAGTCTGCTAACGGAATGGGAAGTGACCATAAGGCCAGGAAAAGCCTGGGACCAACCACATTCGGAAGGGAGTAGAAAAAGATGGTGTTTTAATTTAAATATCAAATTCTGAATTTTGCACATCCACAGATTTCCAATACAAAATTTGGCTAGATTTCATATATGGGCAAAATTATTCCAATGCATTGGACTAATGGCTGAAATCACCAATCGTTTTTGTGTTGTCTGCTACTGCTGCAGTTAATTAGGGCTTGTTTTCTATCCTCATTAATTCAGTTTAGAACTTGAAATCCCAACCTCTTTCCCCACAAATGTTTGAAAGCAGAGCAGTCTCCCTTTGCTTAATTGAACATTATGATGCTCTGTCTCTGGCTCCAAGTTACCATGTGTAGAAAGCTAAATGAAAGTATAGCATGAGATAATCTTCCCTGATAAAAATCAAAGGCAGGAAAAACTAAATCTCTAACAACCCATTGTCAGGAAATAGATTGTAAGAGAAACCTGAATGAGTTGTCTTGTATTTATTCCAGAGATTTTGGGGTTCTTTCTGGAGATGTACAAGGTTTGAGCATAGGAAGTGGCCCTGCTTCCTGCTCAGCAATGTCTGCACAAACAGCTGTGGCTTCCTAGTCCTGTCTAGAGATTCTGTCTATTAAAACTGGAATCTTCTTCGTGCAAAGAATGTTCTCTTCCATAGACCCTCGCTACAGTTTTCTACCAAAGGAATGACTTATCTTTTCAAGAAATCTTACAGAGGAAAATATATGATAGAAATTATGGAAGAAACATGGAAATAAAAGACTACACTTTGGAAAAGAGCATAAATTTTAGATGCCACCCACTGACCACTCTCCCCTTTCAGGTCCTTTGAAATAAAATAGTGGTTGCAACACAAGCAGTCGTTGCAGGATACAGTCCACCAATAACGTGGTCCAAAGGCCAATATTTTCCGGTTTGAGTTATCAACATTTGTCTCACTCATATCCACAGCTTTATGCTTTATACAGTTTTACATTATTGTGATAATTTTCCTTAACCTTCTTAAAAACACTTGGTATTAGAACACACGTTTACACCGTGAACTGAAATACAATCAGCATTAATTAAGCCCCCCCCCCAAAAAAAACCACCCATGGTGCTACTGATGGTATTAAATGTTGTCTTGTTTTCCCCCCTTTTCATTTCTTTCTTTCTAAAGGGTTTTTAAAGCATAAAACATTTGCAAATTCAAGATCAATTGTCCGAGAAAGTATCAGAAGTGTACCAGAGGAACCATTGGGAGAAGTAACCATGTGACTGAGAATTTTTGCTGCTTGACAAATGGTGAGTGCATTACTGTGGATCTTGACTTTTAAAAAAAGAAAAAAGAGTGCAAACTTTTCCACTTCACCATAGTGAAAATGTTCTAGAAATATTCTCAGAACATTGCAGTGCATAAGTTAGAAGCATCCTTTACAGCCTGGACATTCTGCAAATAACCACTCCTAGTAACATGCCCCTTTTAAAGCTCTTGGATATAAACTTTGGGCTGCAGAGATTAATTTAAAAAAATACTAACTGCAGAAGGAATCTAAAGACAACTTAAAGAAGAAGTTAAAATATTGTTGATGGAAGTTTACTGGAAGCAGCTCTAAAACAACAGTATACTATATCATGAGTTCAGTATCCATATTCACACCTAGAAGGTTATCTCGGTGGATCAAAATTTCAGCACCATGGACAGCATATTTTCGGCAACTGGGGAATTTTTGACTTCCATCCATAGGGGTAAACTACTTCTTTTAAAAGCAGATGATTATGGAAGACTGGGTGGTCTGCAGGTATGAGAGATCTATGCATACCTGAGTAAAGACTATAGTATTACACCACAAGAGCAGAAGAGTAGTTGGGAGAGAATCTGCCCAGCTACTTGGAGATTCCAAGACAAGAGTGATACTTAATTTTCTAAAATGTGGGAGAAGAGACCCATGTGAACTTGTGTTTCTTACCTGGGCTCATCCTGAGGGAAACAGGAGTGGGAGTAATAAGAGATAGGATGCTGAGGTAGCCAGGAGAAGGTTTGGTTGGGTGATTCGTGGACAATGATCCACCAAACAGCAGATTTGGCTTATGCATCACAGTAGTATCTAGGAGACCTACAGTCTTACCTTTTCTGAAGATGTGATCTTTCTGTAAAGTATTTATGGCCTTTGATACCCACAAATCAGCAAGAACTATAATGCACAACACACAGCTGTCTTTGCTTACAGTCAACTCATTGGAGGCAGAATTTAATCTTCCTCCTAACCAGTGCCAAGCTGTAAGTAGAAGTTAGGAGTACTTCCTCTCTGATGCTATGTGCCAAATAAATACATGGAAGTATTGCAGCCCTTGAGTGCAGTGGTACACTCTCAGCTACTGTTTTCAGATCAGATTCTGAGAAAACAGCTAATGCTTTTACCTAAATGCAATGCTGGATCAGCTCTTCAGCAAAAAGAATAGATTCTCATAAAATCTGCTGACAGTGCTCAGCTTCTGCTTGGGTTAGGAGTCAACTGGGAGTAAATCTATCCCTAGTTTACAATACCCATTTAATCAGCTGTTTTGCAGCAGCTCTCCACATTATGGTTTCATGCTTATACTAATGCCTTCAGGGATACAATGATTGCATTGTAAAACAGATAGTGTCATGTGGGTTTGGAATTGCCCAAGAAGGATGGTAAATTATTTTTGTATGCCACAACTGCCGCTCAAATTTTGCTAGCCAAGAAGTGGAAAATGCAAGAACTACCAACTGTGGAAGAATGGCAGATGAAGATGATGGACTTTATGGAGCTAGCTGACCTTCCTGGAAGAATCCACGACCAGAAAGAAGAGGAATACCAAGAAGACTGGAGGAAATTTAAGGACTATTTGAATAATTATTGTAATATTAAAAATTAGAAATTACTTGAAAGTATCAAATAGGCCTAGGATTAAATAAGAATTTATTTAAATAAATGGGATTTAGAATACTAAGAAAAGTGAATAAATTTGATTATAACTGGAACATTGTTATTAATAATGATATTGGAAAGCTGTTACATTCAGACACAAGGAAACTCAGAGGGGAGGGACTAGAGGACGACAAGTAATATGTTTATAGGGTTGGACTTTAAAATAATTAAGTTTGTTTTTGTTGTATATTTGTTGTTGTTTTTTATAGATGTATTTTTTATTTTTGTTTCGGTTTGTTTTTTGGTTGTGCAACGTTTGTTGCAGTATTTGTTATAATTGTAGAAAATTTAATAAAAATTATTGGAAAAGGAAAATTCTTAGCGTTTAGCTTAGCACTTATATTTCTTTCAAGTTGCTGGTAGTACATTTAACACCCATCTCTTTGTGTGGAAACATTTTTTTATTTTGCTTTGCAATATACTGGTTTCTGTTGAGCTTGGAATCTGCTCTATTTCCCTTCCTGTCTCAGAAGAACATTTTCCTCCCATAAATCAGCCTTCTGCAGTACCAGTTGGTTGACCCTAGTGTAGAAATCTGTAAATGTGCTTATTGTATGATACTAAACCATTTTTAGACCTGTAGCCTAAATGTGTGTCTATATTCAAATGTACGGTGAGCTTATGGGAGAAATCAGTAAGGGAAATACTGTTATTGGAAAATGTCACGAGGGCAAAATAAATTTCTGTTGAGGGAATTGGTTGGTCAATGGAGTAACTTCACCTGCTTTCATAAGAATGATTTATGTGTTGTGATGGCCCTTCTCTATTACTGCATAAATACTGAATAGGTGGAGAGAATCTTTTATCTAAACATTTTGCACCCTATGCTAAAAACTGGCATGAGATGGAAGATGTGTTACACACATCATAGCTTGGTGAAAGTACAGGAAGAAAGCTAAAAGCAGTTACCCATTTGAATTTGGATACAGGCAAGAGAACTGAGAAGTTTTAGTTGGAGTTGCTGAATCTAGCATCCTTGGGGTGTAGTTTCTCTCTCTTTGGAGACCTGATGCAGGTTCAGCGGTTTTCCTTCCTTCCAATAGGCTGTATTTTTATATTCACAAATAAGCAAAATGTTATGAAGACACCATAAATCTCCAGTGTATTCTCTTCTAATGAAAACTAAATCCTGTAACACTGCCCCTGGGGAACACTTGCTATGGAATGTGATGCAGGATGCTGAAGGCAATTACAAAACCCAATGATACGTTACAGGAAAATTGACATGGAGAATAATATCAGTGGTTCCTAGCCATAGTGGCTATGTTCTGCCTCCCCTGTCAGAGGGATTATGGCTCTAAATCCCATTGCTGAGAATCACAAGTGGTGGAGAGTGGTGCTGCACTCAGATCCTGCTTTCCTTGGGCATCTGATTGGCTATTATGAGAAAAGAATGCTGCACTAGATGAGTTTTTGGCCTGATCTAGCATTGTTCTACTTACATTTGTGGGGGCACCTTTTGTCTAATTGAAATCACTTGGCATTTTAATTTTGCAAGTGATATCACAGTTGCAGTCATCATTTGCACTGTCCTTAAAAAAACGGAATATATAGCCAAGTATGTACAAATGTACAAATACAAAGGGACGCGCAGAGCCTAGGACTTGCTGATCAGAAGGTCAGCGGTTCGAATCCCCGCGACGGGGTGAGCTCCCGTCGCTCGGTCCCTGCTCCTGCCAACCTAGCAGTTTGAAAGCATGTCAAAGTGCAAGTAGATAAATAGGTACCGCTCCGGCGGGAAGGTAAACAGCGTTTCCGTGCGCTGTTCTGGTTCGCCATAAGCAGCTTAGTCATGCTGGCCACATGACCCAGAAGCTGTCTGCGGACAAACACCGGCTCCCTCGGCCAATAAAGCGAGATAAGCGCCGCAACCCCAGAGTCGGTCACGACTGGACCTAATGGTCAGGGGACCTTTTACCTTTATGTACAAATACAATTAAAATGTGGATCATTTTGCCGAGGCAATGGAAAAATATGTGTTCTTGAGAAATTCTTATTATGGAGGCCTCCAGTGAAGTTTTAGAAAGGGGAGGGAAGAAAAAGAATGTAATACATTAACATATAGAATAAAATCAAATAACATACCCCTAGGTAATGAAATCACTGATAGTTATACACATGTATCTTTTAAAATCCCACCCTGCAATGTAAAATGTGCTCAGCTTTGAAGAAATGTAAGCCACAACCCGGCTCAAGACACTTGTAAAGCAAGGTATGGACACTAGCTTTGGGAGGGGGAATGGAAGGGGACATAATTTAGACTTCACACTGGAACATACATCCCATTCAAAACAACTTGATGCAGATGAACTGCATCCTTACTTGGATATCGCTCATCATTAAGAAAGTTATATACAATGCTGTTTGTGTATGTTAATCCCTTTCCTTGGATTGTGGTGGTGATCCATTCACACTGGAAAGATGCTTAGAAAACAGGTTGACAAACAACCTATACAGCAGCGGAGAAGCAAAGCTTGTTTAGGATTAGGAATAACAGAATACGAGAAGTACTGCTATAGATTTGTGCCTATTAACATCAACTACATTTTCAAAGGCCAAAGCTATTTACATTTTAAAATTAAATTGCTCTCTTCTTTTATTTTGAAATACAAAGAAATGCTGCAGTACTGCAGAGGAGGGAAACAATTAATTAAGTTAAATGCGTTATCCACACTCTGTTGTTGTTTGTTTCAGCAACATAAACACAGCATGACCTTCAAGCTTTAGTCCTGTGTTCTACCTACAATTAATCAATGGCTTTCTCTGAATTCTATTGTCCTGTTTGCAACAATAAGATCTCCTACCTACATGAACTGGAGAGCTTGTTAAGAGAACATTCAATCATTATTTTTTAAAAAAGAGTCAGTAGGCAGTCGTGTTGGCATAAGTGTTGCACTTGTTTTCTTCCATCAGTCACAGAAGCCATACACCCTGCAGATTTTGAAATCAAATGACTGCTATGGCAAAGTCCACAAGGTTCTACAGAGAACAAGAATTCAGGCATGCCAACATGAAGCGCACTGTCCCTTATTTATTTCATGCTTCTGGTGAGAGCTTTGGGCATGATCCACTGTAGAAAAGCTGGGCATTCCACAGAAGAGTTGTGAGTTGGATCAGCGTTGATGTGAGTGTCGGTTCAGGTGATTGGATGCTGCAGTTTCTGGAAGACACCAGGGCCCACCATTGCTATGCTAGGGAAAGCCTATGTAACGTTGGAAAGGGTCGATCACTTGTCCTACCTGGGCAGTTATCTTTCCACAAGGGCCGACACTGATGCCAAAATCCAGCATCGCATGAGCTCTGTGAATGCAGCTTTCTCCCAACTGAAGCGCAAAGTGTTTGAGGACTGGGGCATTAGCAGGGGAACAAAAATGCTTGTTCACAAAGCTATTGTACTACCAACTTACTGTATGCTTGTGAAACATGGACCACTTATAAACAGCATCTCCAACTCCTTGAAAGACTCCATCAACGGTGTCTCCAAAAATTTCACATGTCACTTGGGAAGACAAGCGAACTGGAAGAAGCAATGATCACCAGTGTCAGAGCAATGATTCTTCAACATCAGCTTCATTGGACTGGTCATGTTGTTTGAATGCCTGATTATCATCTTCCAAAGCAACTACTCTATTCCAAACTTAAAAATGGAAAGCGTAATGTTGGTGGGCAACAAAAGAGGTTCAAGGCAAGTATTTAAAAATGTAGTATAAACACCGACAACTGGGAACCACTGGCCTGTGAGTGCTCCAATTGGAGAACAGCCTTTACCAAAGGTGTCACATACTTTGAAGATGCTCGAACTCAGGACAAAAGGGAGAAATGTGTTAGAGGACAAACCCTCACCATGATCAACTCCTGCCCAGAAAGCTATATCCCCACTGTGCAAGGATGTGTGGATCCAGAATTGGCCTCCACAGCCACGGACTCACTGTTAAGACCATGTTCATGGAAGACAATCTTACTCAGCTACAAGTGATCACCAATGAGGAAGCAGCTATGGGCTGCTGCATAGATACAAACCTAGCATGGCAATCTAATCTAATTAGCTGCATCAGCAGCTGGGGAAAGTTACCCAGGGCTATAAATTTAGAACGTCTTAGCAAGGAAACTTACTCCATGAGCAAGAGGGGAGTCTCAGCTGACAAAACATTTTAAGTACAAAATGTTCAACTTCCTTGAAAACATTTCTCTCGGAGAAACCTTCTCTAAATTAACTACCTTCCAGTTCTAGACTATTTAAAATTGAAGCTACTTGTACTTTTGCATGTTTAGATATCAAAGTTCGTTTAAAAATCAATGTCTATTTTATAGCATGATCCTAGTGATCTTAATATGGAAGCAGAGAGCCGAAGCAACCATGTACCCATTAAATATATATGAGGCTGCATTTGAAGTGAACTACATGGCAGGAATGGTATAATTGGAGGTACCTAAAAATAAGAATAATTAACCAAGCCTTTGAAAACCAAAGGCATATACCTATAGCCATCAAGCATATTGCATGCTACCGTCTTCTGTAAATGGTTTAAATGAAATCTAATGGTTTGATCCAATGTGCTATTGAGAGAGTAGATGTTGCGTGGTGAGTTCCCGCCTTCCCCCTTGGAAATAAAGACATGAGACACAAGAATTCGAGTTAATGGGTCAAATTAGGCCACAACTTTATTGATTACAGGAATTGAGCGGTATTGGCTTAGGCATTGGTCCTAATACTAACCGGTTTCAGCCCTCTTGCTTAAAGACCGGTAAGGGTTAACCACCAATAGGGGGAGTCCTGCTGAGGCACGTCAACTAGGAGCCGCCCCCGGAGTTATGGCTTGGGGGCGTGCCAAGGGCCCACACCTCCCTAGGCTCAGGACAAGGCCACACCTCCCGGAATCTTTTACCGGACTACCCTTTGTTTTGGGGGAAGGTGATGGCACTTCCTTCCCCCCGCAACCCCACCTCCTCCCTAGCTCGGAAGTGGCTTTGTCATAGACTAGGGAAAGAATGAAGGCATGTGAACAATCTTGGCTTAGCTACATTTCCAAAGAATGAAAGGTTTTTCACTTCTACAGATGCCATCTAAAAAATTCACGTATATTGCTAGTCATATAAGAAGGCCATAATATTATGTAAAGTATTAGATTGCACAAGAAAATGGAGCAAGGAGAAAATATAATCAGGAGCTCTTCCAAAGTTGTGATGTTTTAAGCAAGATACAAGTATAGACTATGGAGTCAGCAGGAGTTGTTGCAGTGACTCATGAGAAGGCATTTTTTTGAATCAGAATTTGAAAGCTGGATTGGGTTGGAGGATATCAGACAAGACCTCCAGGTGAACAGTGGCAGTGATGGATAAATTGTCCCAGAAAGGATTAGTGAAAGAAGGCTATGAGCAAGGGTGGAGGGTGGGAGAATAGATTAATTAGCCATTAAAATGCCGTAAGACCCCAAGAACCAGAAACCTATATGAGGACCTTTTGATTATGATAATCATAATCCCGCCTCCCAGGGGGAAGGAGTAGCAAATCAATGTATAATCCTGTTAGGATCATAAATATACTTTACTGAAAAGCAATGATGTGCTGATGATACATAAATTTGAAGTGAAAGCTTCATTGTAATGGGTATTTAAGAAGTTCACGAACTGCTTTATAAACTTCTGTTTTCAGAATAGGAATGGCTTCATGATTTTAACTGCACTCTGCAGTACTGCAAACCAACCACATGGTTTCAGTAATGATGAATAAATAATCACGCCTCTTTTCACACAGTTGCACATAAACAGAGAAGAGTTGCATACGGGACACTTTTTTCTTCTAAAAAAGTTCAAATCCCAACCTGTGCAGTCCTTCATACTTATGTTGGCAAGCTCCAGAAAAATATTACAATCTTCCCATTGTTCTTTGTGGTCTGGTTGCTATGACTCTGCTCTAGAGTGCATCTGGTAACTATACCAAGGAGTGAGCTTTTGAAGCTACATTCTGGTGTCAGTGGATGACCCTAAATTAAGTTCTATAACCCAAACTGTAACCACAGGCCCAATCTGTCAACAGCTAAACAAATCACATTTTTTCTAGAAGGCCCTTGCATTTTAGTTTTGCCGTTCTGTTTTGGCATCAGAATTCGGCTCTTGTGTTAAGGTTTTTATCTTTAATCTACCTCCTACTTTATTATCCTTGTTTCAGCTTTACTCAATCTGCATGAAGTGGGTACTTGAATGCTTACAGATGTAGTTTTTATTTTAGCTGGAGGATTACAGAGCTTTTGTGTGGCTTTGCATTTTCAGGGTTGAGAGGCTAGGCAACTGATGTGGTAAGAGCAGCTGAACTGACAACCTTTCATTGCTGGGTTTTTCTTTTGTTTTTAAAAACAAAGCTCAGAAGTCCATCACCAAATTGCCCCTAAGTACTGAAAAACACTGAATGCTGCATAACAACCACACACATTTGTTTTAGCTATTGCAGAAAAACAAAAACAAAAAAAAATATTCATTGTTTGGCAATAATTGGCCATTGTTAGCTGTCCAAAAGAAGAGAAGAAGAAGAGTTTGGATTTGATATCCCGCCTTTCACTCCCTTTAAGGAGTCTCAAAGCGGCTAACATTCTCCTTTCCCTTCCTCCCCCACAACAAACACTCTGTGAGGTGAGTGGGGCTGAGAGACTTCAAAGAAGTATGACTGGCCCAAAGTCACCCAGCAGCTGCATGTGGAGGAGCGGAGACGTGAACCCGGTTCCCCAGATTACAAGACTACCGCCCTTAACCACTACACCACACTGGAGGCTGCTAGGAAAGCCAAAAAGGCATCCTTGAAGGAAGTCCCAACTGAAAGATAGCAAATGCTAACCATTTGTACTATAATGAAACCTAATATTCTTCTGTGTTCTCACAAGAAGCTCATATTTCTGACATCATATTCCATACTTTTTTTTTTAAAGGAAAGTCAGTTTTTCAAAAGGTCTAGTTGGGGTTTGAAATGATGTATCTATTGCCAAAGAAGTCCATAAGAGAAAAAAGACCAAAACAAACCTGTGTCCATAGTCTAAACATGTGTGGAGTACTTTGCAGGGTTGTTCAGTCAGTTTAAACATTTGTTTCTTTGACTAATGCTTGAACTAAAATTCCCCTTTGAGAACTTTAATAAGGAGGACTCCTTGGCTTTATTTATTTCTTCTTCTTTTAAATGGTAAGTGCAAGCAGCCCAGCCATAAGCTACACTTTGTACAGGTTGCATAACACTGATTTGTAAGCTCACACATAGTGCATTATGAATTCATTAATGGCAGGTTGCAAATTGACAAATCAAGTAACACCACCTCGTTCAAGCTTTTAACAGCTGAATTCACAACCACAACGAGAAACTTGGGTCCGTGCATTGTGAATGGATGAGATTCAAATTCCATATTCATGTGTTCCACTTTCAACAATAATGGAGAAAACAGTGGTTCATGTGGAAGGAGCAACAAAATTGTAAGCCGCAAGCTAACCTCTTTGCTTGTTCATTAGGGAACCAGCTACAGCCATTTTCCTGGCATCCAAGCTATATAATTCAGTTTCTTTTTCTTAGTTACATTTTTTTTTTGGCATGCTTGTCCACTTCTCTCCTCAAAGAACTACAATTCTTTTTTTCATCAATTCCATGGAGGCCCAAGACTCTACCAACTAGGTCATGCTTAGATCATTGGTATTTCTTATTTTTTTCCTGATAGTTTTGCACCACCCAAAATGATTATCTTTTTTCTTTTCTTCAAAACATCCAAAACCTCTTAGATTTTGTTACCTTTTCCCCCTTCATTTTTTTTTTGTTATAAATAATGAAACATCTTGAATGAACTGATAATATGTACCATAAAAGAAGGACTACAAAATGACGACAGGTTCATTGGAATAAGCTACATTTTCTCACTGTTAATGCTGGTTTTGTGACCTGTCGGCCTCAGCTGGATGTGGAGAGGTTCTGTGCTGCAAAAGATGGGATCTTGCTCTAGGAAGGGGCAGCCAGCTCACTTTTCAAACTGTGACCCCTTCCTCCCATTAGCCTTGGAACAAAATCATACAGTGGTTTGAATTGTGGTGCTTCTGGTGTCCTTGTCTTTTCCTTCCTCATCGGTGACCTTTGTTTATGGCAAACAACTCAGATAAGCATATCACCTCTAGTACAATTTAGCACAATTTGTTTGTGGCAAGATTATTGTGTGCATTCAGCCTCTTTTAGAAAGCTAGGTCATTTCTCTAATATTATATTTCTCTTATATTGCAAACTTAGGGCTCCCACTCAGAATTTTCAGGGATCCAAAGAGCACACACCTAAAAACTTTCATGCTTCTTGCTAATTTTCTCTTCCCTCTCTAGCTGTTCGCAACAGGTTCCACATCGTGCTTTTCTGTTTTGTGTGTTGGGGAGGGGGGTAAGGACTCTCACTGGTGGCAGCCAGCATGGCAAATGGTCAGGAATGATGGGAGTTTTAGGTCAGCCACATTTGGAGGGACGTTTCCCTATACCTGCTGTAAAAGATTCTGGGATGTTCCAAAATTTGAGATTAATAAAGATAATATGGTTACACAATGGTAGCGATTTTTATATTGCTAATGGAAGAATGGAAATGTCATTTCAATATGCTATACAGACAGCTCTGTGTCCTCTTCTCTTACTTCTTCTGTTTTACCTTGAGAATGAGCTCCAGAACAGGGAGCCAAAATTGAAGCCACTTGAAAGAGATGAAACTATGGATCTGATGGGCTTATGCAGGTTTTCCCCCTGAAGAAGAAGCTTATTCTGTTGCTGTTTCCTTTTTTAGAGAAAACTCGTTGAATTTCTGCATGCCATTCAGCAGCTGAAGGAATAGAAACCCTTCCTTCATTTGTGTTGTATTACCTTTACAGGAAACATTTACTGCCTTCATTTTAAAGGGACTTTGCCTCAGTAGATGATTTTATAATCTCCCCCACCTCAACCTTTAGAACAAATTCTTCTCTCATGGTTTCATAATTCATCATTTCCTTAGAGGGGATTTTATGTCAGAAGAAATTTTCTAATTTCCTTTTTCATGGATTCTTTTTTATGTTCAGAAGAGTTGTTCCTTCTTAGAGGGTTGCCTCTCAAGAGAGTTTCTTTTTAAAAGAAATTACATGTGTCCAGATAATTTTGGTGATTTTGGTGGTTGCCATTCTTCAAGAATTTTATAAAAGGGATGCCTTCAAAGAAACTCTGGCCTATGTTTGGTTGGACTCATTCCAAGCTTTTCCACCAAACATTCCAAGTTTCCCAGCAATATAGTTTCTCAAGTCCTATCTTAAGTCTGCCTCATCTAGGCTTTCTCTGCTGCTTCTGAAGTTGTGGTGGTGCTCACCTCAAAACTCCAGTAAGGAGCTGAGTCAGCATCTTTGGGCTACTCTAGCAGCCATGCCTCACCTTCCCTAGCACAGCTGTGTCAGATCTAGCAAAAGTGTGGGAGTTAAAGCTGTTTCCAGCTTCCTCTCCATATTTATAACAAGGCTTGAATATAACAAGGCTTGATCTTCAAGAGAAGCAATGGGAGTTGAAGATGCTTTACTTTTTACTTACACATTGCTCAAGAAAGCAGTTGCCACAATTTTGTTGTGCATGCACACACGTGTGTGTGTGAAAAGACACAGAGAGAGAGACATGTTGTTAAGTGCATGATCACCAGTCAGTTTTTAGGTGCCTCGTCCCAAGGATGGAGACAGAACCCGCTGGAGAAAATGGAACACTGAATGGAAAAAGAGAACATTGCTTCGTTCCCTCCATCTCTCATTCCATATGAAATGACAGGTGGACTGAGTGGGAGCAATGTGAAAATTAATGTGGAGAGGATTGGTGACTCAGCAATGACTGTAAAGTCAAGCAATCTCCTCAGACGTTTTGGCACACAGCTACTCTTCAGCTTGTCCATAGATTACAATAGGCCATTTTGTGGGTGGGACCAGGTAGGAGAGGGGTCAGGAGGAAGTAGTTGTTGCTCACCATCACAGAGGAGGATTCTTAAGCAGTTAATCTGCGGTTTTGTTCGGAGGCCAACAGAGGAGAGAAGGAAAGCTATGTTTCTGTTTCAAGCACTCCATTTGAAGAGTACAGTACTTTCATAATAAATCAGATTCCTATTTTAACAGTTACAGCCCAGTTCTACAACCAACTCTCACATGCTTCAGCTATGGGAGCTTGTTTTGAGTAGAACAGAGTAGTAAGAGTCAGCGTGGTGTTGTGGTTCGAGTCCTGCTCTAGAGCCAGGGAGACCAGGGTTCATATCCCTACTTGGCCGTGAAGCTTGCTGGGTGACCTTGGACCAGCCCCTACCTCACAGGGTGGTTGTGAAGATAAAAATAGAGATGGGAGAACCTTGCACACAACCCTCGGCTCCTTGGATGAACAGTGGGATGTGAATGAAAAATAATAATAATGCAGGTAATAAACAGCTTTTTTGAAACAGCTGCCACTGAGAATTATAGATCTTTGATCATTCATGGGAAAATAAAAGAATGAACAGTGTCTGGACTTGCAGGATTAACTGCCAAATCCTATGTATATTTACCCTGCGTTCAGCTGAATTAAATGGAACTTACACCCCATATAGGATGCCTGGGAACCTGTGGTACGAATGTGCTAAATCCTTTGTGGACGTTTCATTTAGGAGGTAGTATAAAATTCCATGGTGCCCTTTAGACACATACCTTGTGATTTATTAGTGTAGTATTGCACAATCAGATTTGGGCCAGAAGCTCTTCTATTGGTTCTGAGTGAGTGCTTCAAAATGGCTAGTTGAGTTTATTATTGTAACAAGTATATGTAAAGGTGTAAAGCAAGGCATATGATATCACACAGCCCCAAAGGAAAGAACTGAAAACTGAAGTACATACAAACAACAAAATGCTGATTCTGTTGCTGGTGGGGAGCGGAGGGGGAATGGGTCATTATATATCCACCCACACTACATTTTTCCAATGAAGGTAGCATGGATTAGTATGGTGTTCATGTCTCCAGCTGCAGTTACTAACTCTGGTTGCTGGCAGGTATCCGACAGCTTTTTCTGTCCATCTGCATATGTAACTCCTGCAGCCCAAGCAAGAGCGGAAGGCTTATATTGCTGTTTTATTTCCTGACTGGTTTCATTTGCGCACTTGAAGGTCTTTCGAAGCCAGCTGTGATGGAACCACCAAATGGAGCTGATGAGCAGCAGGAACTGCAGAGCAAGGCAGAACAATCTCAGAAAGGTTCTGCGAGGAGGACTCCAGAGCATAGCTGGGTGGCTTGGTGGACCGGAGGAATTGCGTATCTGTTCGCCCTGTCACAGATATTGGTAAGGATTTGGACTTAACTCAGATGGAGATCGCTTTTTGAAAAAAAGAGAAAAGGACAACATTGCTTTTGTTTTTTTTAGATTCATACATTTTAGGGGCCAGATTTCCCACATCATATATGCTGATATAGCTGAAATTATGTCAAAAGCTGTGCCATGTTACAACCAGGTAATAATCTGTTTGTCTTTTTATTCCAGTTAATGTATGCAGCCTGCAAAAATGCCTGGCTGATACAAAAACATTTTTTTGTATTTTATCTATATTTGCACTTTAAACAAATGAAAACCAATTGGTTATGCAGGCTTGAGATTAAAATGAAAATTTCACTTTCCTGATGATGAAAGCTCATGATGAATTATTTGATTGACTGCACAGGTTATCTCCCTTATGTTTTGGTATGGTGGCTGTGAAACAATCCCAGAGTTTCTGGAGGTTTTTGAGATATTGTCTGATCTCCTTACTTCACCTGGACAATTGTTTACAGATTCTGAAAAGGTATGTTCAGTGATATCTCTATCCTTTTAATGCAGGACATAGTGGCTCCCAAACTGTGGAATGATCTTTCATCAGATGTCAAAGAGATAAATGATTATACGACCTTCCGTAGACATCTGAAGGCATCCCTGTATCAGGAATCTTTTAATGTGTGATGTTCTGTTGTGTTTTTGTATATGTATTCTGTTGGAAGCCACCCATAATGGCCAGGGCAACTATTATTATTATTATTAATTCACTCTAGACTTGCCCATTATTGTCCTCCCTTTCCCATCTTTCTCTCTGCCATCTCTTGCTTTAGCTTTCCCTTGGGAGGTTGGGGGAGGAGCGTTGCCATCTGACATGTTTCCTCTGACCTAAGTCTCATTCCCACAAGTGAGGGCGAACTGCCCCTTTGAGGAAGTTGGATTGACCGTAGAGGGCACCAAGATTCAATTCCCTTCCTTCTTCAGGGCATCCCCCACTTTCAGCGTAACACAGACCTCCATGGATGATGGGGGGGGGGGGAATGAAGGGGAGGAGAATTAAGCTTTCCCACTTCCTTGGCTCAGTGCCACTGTTGAACTCAGGAAACTAACGTGTCTTGCTGTATTCACCACCTGAGTCCAAAAAAACACCCCTCACAATGCCTTCAGGGGAAAAGCGAAAACTCTTATATATAACATTTCAGCCCCCAAAGCCATTGTGAGGGATGGGTGACAGCCACTGCAGTCCCTCTTAAGCCAGGAAACAGCTCCATGGAGCCAGCTCTGGGGAAAGCCTGCAGCCAGTATGGACAGGTGCTTCCCAGCTAGGTGCTGAGGTGGCAACAGCTCAATGTGCAGCTGCGGAGCTAGCTCACAGCAGCTGAGTTGGTGAATAGATTTCACAGCCCCTCTGTTTGAACTGGGTACTTCCTGGCTTAAGTTTCATCTGTAAGCTGCCCTTGGGAGGTAGGGTTTTTTAATGCATTTATAAGCCTGCAGTGTAGAGACCAGGCACACCTCTATGGGGACAGTGTTTCACAGTCTAGAGTCCACCACAAAAAGGCTTGTCTTCACATGTGAGCAGACATAAAGGCTTCTGATGCATATATCAATGCCTGGCAGCCTTGTATGGCTGAAAGTGGACTTCCAAATAACTTGGTTCCAAAGCACTTAGAACTGATCTGAGAAATGCAGTGATAACCAGCTCAGCAGGCACAGAACTGGTGTTGCATTCTCTTATCACCTCAGTTGGAGTTTCCAGACCATCTTCAAGGGCAGCCTCTCATAGAGTGCATCACAGTAGCCTAACCTGAATATGACTAAAGCATTGATTTACTTAGTCCAGTCTTGTAGTTGATGTACCAGCTTGAGCTGGTAAAATGCACTCCTAGCTACAGACACTACCAGTGTTGACACAAACAGCATGGTGTCTAGGAGGACATCTGAGCTACAGCACTGGTCCTATCTAGCACTGGTCATACCAGTCCACCCAGATCAGCCAGCCATCCCACCCATAGCACTATCTGCATTAGACTTCAGCTTAATTCTAAAGTCATCCCCAGACACCTGTTCAGGAGTTCTACAGCCTCCCTGAGATTTGCAAATGAGAAATAAAGCTGTGTGTCATCACCCACATATTGTTGACACCAAAGCCCAACCTTGGAATTGCTTCCACAGACAAAGCAGTGCCTTTTAAGTGCATGTTTTCTTAATGTGGGACCTTGCAGATATGGGATCAGATCTCCTGTCTCCTTAAAATAATTTAAGAACAGAAATGGGGACCCTCAGATGGGGAACTCTCACAGTAAGAGAGGGGGCAATCCTTTCTTCCCGGATCCCTTTCCTGTTGTAAATTGCCCCCTTAATACTGTCAGTGGGACAAATGGTTTCAGAGGAAACCCCACATTTCCTTTTCAGAACAGTCCCATTCCAGTCTGCTCCTCCAAGCTGTTTTATTTTTCTTTAAAGGCAGATGGTCTGATCAGTGACCTTCAGTGTCTTCCCTAGTTTTGTGCTTGAGTTATGATGTCATGTGCTAGGAAGTAGTTTCAAGTCTGATTGATCCTCACACTCCACCACAAAAGAAGCACAAAGCAGAAGGAAACAATTCAGAGGCATTTGGATCAGTGGATCAATCACTCCAGTTCTAGGGATCAATTTTATGTAAGAGATAGTAGAGTCGCCATTTCTGTCCTGTTTGATGATAGCAATTGGAAAATTTGGAATAGGGGTGGGTTGTATTTGAGTTAAAACATTTGATTTGAATTTGAGATGTTTGCATATAATGAAGGCTCTTGATTTCTGGCCATGGATTTTTAAAAGGGATTAACTGGGTAGATAATTGAACAGCAGCACTAGGAACATTTGGACCTTTAAATACCCCTAATTAACCTATATGGGTTTGTGTTGTTTTGTAGGATCCGAAAAGAGATGGGGGTATCATAGTGCCTTGCTTCCTGCTGTTTTTGGTTTCCTTTGGCTTGCTACTCCTAGGAATATTGGTAAGCTAACGTCTTGAATTTATTCAATTCCGATTAAAGAATTTGCCAAACAAATTGATACCTTCCAAGTTCCCTCAGAGTGTCATGCTGATGCATTTCATGAGAAACAGTTTCTAATGCCCCAATAATCGTTAGCAATTCACATGTACATGGTTTGAGCATGTAAACATTGTTACATATATATTGTTGTTAGGCTCATTCTGGGACATGGGACAATTGCAGGATTTTCTCTGGTAACTTGGCAGGAAGTGTATTTAAAAACCGCTCACTAAGGATGGTAATTAATGTTAATACCTCTGTGAATAAGAATACTGATGTGGGTAGTGAGATTAGCTTTGCTGTTCAATTGCATTAGCTTTTTGCTCAGGCTTTTCTTTGCAAGATGTATTGTGAGATCAAATAAAAAGCTTTCAGAGAGTGGTGTAATAGTGCACATTAAAGTGCAAAAGACAGACTTCTAAATTGACACTGAACTGTATAAAATCACCAGAACTTGTACAATGAGCCACTCCAAGCCTGAAACAAGCCAAATCAGAATAAGCACAGTGTGATGTTTTTGTTATGATTGGTCCTACTGAATTTTCTGCAGTTTCCCCAAACTGTTTCTTGCCGTCAGAATCAATTAAGCACAGCAACAAAGAAACAAAGTAGTAGAGATTATTATAGGTGTACAACAATGTTAATACGTTGCTGTAAATTAATTTATGTTACATCAATTCCCTTGGTTAGCTTAGTTGGCAAAAGCCACAGAGTGGGGATTACTGAAGTGATCCCATGGTGGGACATATCTGAGATCACCATCAATGGATGAATAAGAATCCAGGTTTAACATACTGGGGAATCTGTAGAATAGTTCATAATTTGAAACAAACAACATTTTAATCAAGAAAGAAGGGGGGGAGTAGGGCAACAAGGACCTATGTTTAATTTATGGGATGTTGAGAGCAGCTGTGTGTGAGAGAGAGGGAATTTGCCTTCTTAAGTGTCAAAAATTATAGTACACTCAAACCTTGGTTCCTGAACGGCTCCTTTTTGGAACATTTCAGCTCCCGAATGCTGAAAACCCAGAAGTAAATGCTCTAGTTTTCAAACGTCCTTTGGAAGTCTAACATCCAACGCGGCTTCCGCTTGAGTGCGAGAAGCTCTTGCAGCCAACTGGAAGCCGCGCCTTGGTTGTCGAACATTTCGTAAGCTGAATGGGCTTCCAGAACGGATTACGTTCAACAACCGAGGTTTGACTATATCCTGGAAAGGGATAGGGACAGTCAAATAAATGTTACATGTTTATTATAGCAAAATGCTGGTTAAATACCATTGTCATACAGATCCACAAGACTTAAGTACTTCTCAGACTTCTTGTTGACAATAAACCTGAGTACTGATGTGACGATACAACAGTATTATTTTTGCGTTGGTTATCACATCATTTAGCATAAACCTACAAAGTACATATTTCCCCTTTTCACAGAGTTAGGATATATTTACACTGCAGACTTAAGCCAGTTTAACAGTAATATATTTATCCTAGAGAACTCTTGGGTTTATAATTGCTGAGAATGGAAAGATCACAAAGTTTACCTCACCAAACTACACTTCCCATGGTTATTTGGGAATGCCACTGCTAGAAAACTGATACACATTTGTAGAATAGATCACACCTTTGGGTACTGCCAGAGTAACACTCCTATCACATTTTATTTCTCTTCACTTTTCTGTTGTGGCTCAACAATATCAATTACAGTTTTTGACACATTGTGTGAAACAGCCCAGTTTTAACCTCTGCTAAAAGAAATCAGGTCAAAATTAACAAGGTGTCTTGGTAAATGGACGCAGAAGTACACTGGCACAAATTCACACAAATAATGAAAAAGAATAAAAGCTCTAAAAATGAAGGCAGAAAATGAGAGAGAGTGACCAGGAAAAGGGACAGTTGAAACTTCTCTGAGATGAAGTATTTGAAAAAAATATACATATATGTTATGAAAAATTAATTTTACATAAATAGAAGGGAGTAGAATGCCAATGGTGGCAGAACATGGAATGATGTATGAACTGAAAAGCGCTTGTGCCATTCTCTTTAGCAGATCACATAAGAAAAAATCCCTGTTGGTTTGGATGAGGGGGTCAGCAAACGTTTTCAGCAGGGGGGCCGGTCCACTGTCCTTCAGACCTTGTGGGGGGCCAGACTATATTTTGAAGGGGACAAAATGAATGAATTCCTATGCCCCACAAATAACCCAGAGATGCATTTTAAATAAAAGGACACATTCTACTCATGTAAAAACACGCTGATTCCTGCACCGTTTGCGGGCCAGATTTAGAAGGCAGTTGGGCCAGATCCGGCCCCCGGGCCTTAGGTTGGCCTACCCATGGTTTGGATACTTCCTTAGAGGACAGGGAGAGGCTGAAGTCCTGGCACTTTGCCAGAGATTATAGGCAACACACTGTTTTAAACAGTGGAGCCCTTTGAGCAAGCTGTTAAATTGTGGATATTCTGCATTGAATAAAAGCAGACTTGAACTTATCCTCACAGGTTATTAAATTAAGTTGGTTTGTGTATTTAACAACTTAATATCTGAATTAGATTTAATGCAGTTTTCTGGAAACACTATGTTTGCACAGTCATAGAGACCAAGCAGACTGACACTGCCAACGCCCTGCCCTCCACCACATCCTATCTCTAGGTGAGGCCCCTATAAATGGAGGCTTCCCTTAACCTTCCTTGACAGCCCCCAAAGGGGTAGATTGGATTTGCATGCTTAAGCTGCTTATTTCATTGCCGACCTGCTCTAGTAGCTCGGAAATTTCTTTTCAACCTGAACCTGCCTCACTGATCCTTGTTCTGTTCTCTGTGGACAGTTGTTGTCCTTCTCTTCTCTGAGAGATGCTGAAATATTTGAAAACTGCCAGTGTGTGTGTGTGTGTGTCCATGTCCATTTCAAACTTAGTGACTTAATTTGAGAATGGGGTAGCCAGTTCTGGTTATAATATATCTACTAAATAAAGTATAATGCTATGAATTGGGTAGAACCCTTCCTTACATGTCAGATTTTCTGAATTTTCAAGAAAGGTGATTTTCCAAACATTTGTTGTCGTTCAATACTCTTTTTAGTTCTGGACTTGTATCACACTCGGCTTTTCTGTATACGTGGTTCCCTGCTCCAAATTTAGCTTCACATCGAGATAATGATGTTCATCTATGAGCTTTATTCCGGCTCCTGAGCTGTATTGACTGGTTCTTCTCTTTTTAAGATTATTTGAATGAACAAGGAACAATGAACTTATAAAATAACTCTCTCCGTATTTGCAGGAGACCTAGTGTCTTTTTAAAATGAACTGAGTTCCTGGTGTAGGGTGTCTCTGACCAAAGACAGCAATACTTCATTGGAGAGTTGAAAGTGATTTGATTGTAGCATTGCTTTGCAAGATGTGTGAGCACAGCTTTTTTCTCTTTCGCTCACCTGTGGTGAAACAGTGCAAATGTCCGCCACACCACTGGGCGGAGGGAGATCTCCCCCTTCCCAGCAGCAAAGTTGGGTGGCAGAGTGCCACCCCATTTCTCTGGCTTGCCAGGAGGGGAGGTGCTCTGCAAAGCTTTGCCGCTAGACCTGCTCTGCTCCTGGAAGCTGGGGAGACTAGCAGCAAAGCTGGGTGGTGAAACAGGATGCCACCCCTTGGGGATGCCACTTGAATCAGCCACCACATGGGCAAGCCAGCTCCGAGTATGCAGACTGTGAGCAGGCAGTGATTGCTCTTTCAAACAGCCTTCCCCTTTCTGGGACGGGGGTGGGTGGGAATTATCCTATTTCTCCATGATTCTAGAGTAGTCACAGCCTGTGACCTAGGCTTACATGTGATTTTTGTGCACTCATTCACTGTTGATCACTACACAAAGGAGCAAGTGATTTCACATTTGGCATTGACACAGACTTTCCATGCATGGAATGGCTCTGCTGTAGTCAGTGGCAATGCCTAGCAGGTTCCATAAAGCCCTCTGCCTCACTGCAAACATAGAATGGACAGTCCTCTTGTGACACTTGCAAGAAAGAGTTGATTGTGTAGCATTTTCCAGCTTGCTTTAGTGCAGTTTTATTATGCAGAGGTATAATGGACCCATTGATAACTAAAAAGGCAAGTCCTTTTTCAAACATGCAGAAAGGTCCAGATACTGTATATTTCCCCATAGATTTGGTATCTGCTGAAGACACCTCCAGATCCCCCATTTCCCCTCCAAGAGGACAGGCGACAGTCTGTAAGCCGCCAGCCTTCATTCACCTATTCCGAGTGGACAGAGGACAAAACTGAAGATGAATTCCTCGATCTGGACCCCGTGCCAGAGACACCAGTATTTGACTGTGTGATGGATATGAAAGTAGAGACAGATCCAGCAACCCTAACGGTTAAATCTGTGGGACTGCAAGAAAGGTAAAGAAATGCAAAGAGCTTGGGTCCAGGAAGGTGGAAGTGTAGGCATTCTGAGTGGATTAGCCCAATAAGAATCTGATTAGTGGGCAGAGTTTATTTTCATTCAGAGCAAGAGAACTGGACTCCATAGTTGCGTCATATGTGCTCTTATAGGCATTTGTGGCTCCCCTAGGGCAGGAGTAGCCAGCATCTGCCCTCCAGATGTTTTCGGTGCCCTCCCTGTTAGGAAAAAGGTTATATGAGAGAATCTTTTGAAAATGTTGAATTTTAGGGGGGAAATGTAGCTCTTGAATGACAGTGATCAGTTAGTCATACATTGAGTTTATTCACCATTGTGGCTAAGGACCTAACCAGATATATCAGTCTTTAGGATTTGCTTTGATTATTAGTCCCAAATGTTTGAAGAATGGAGATGATCTGGGCAATGTTTAACTCTTCCTCACCAACATTAATCCCCACCCTCTGCCTTCTGGCAAGCTACTATTAGCTCCGTGGGTGTGGGGAAAGACCAGTGCAGATGTTGTTTCTGTCTCCTCCTCCTCACCACCACCACCCCTGGAAGTAGATGGGTTTATATCTGAGAAAGGACATGGATAGTAAGGGTTTGACCCCTTTCTCCAAGTGCCAAGTCTCTGTCTTCAAAGCAGAAGTCATAGTGCTATTCTATAAGAAAGCAAAAACCGAAAGGAAATCCTAAGTGTGGATCTGGTTAGGCCCTTGGACAAAATGTTGATGTAAATTATGTTGGTGATTACATTGATGACTGATATAGCTAATCAAGGGAACATCATCAATATTGTTATGATAAGGCTGACACCAGTAAATCAAGTTATTTTTAAGCTAATAATTTTTGTTTGTATTCTTATTATTTTCTATTCTGTATTTTTTAAATATATTTTTTGAATTGCTGGTGCAATTCCCTGAACTATATATTATTTTAGCATTCCCCATCTTGGAGAATATTATAATGCATGGTTTACACTCATGGTTTCAGGTACCTTTAGATTGATTGGGCTTGGGGACACATTTGTGTGTGTTGCCCAAAGTAAACAAGAAAAGTAGGCAGTCTGTGCTGACTTATTTCACAATCATCAACAAATGTGTGTTATGTCTTGCGCAGGAGGGGTTCAAATGTTTCACTCACATTGGACATGTGCACTCCAGGCTGTTCTGAGCAAGGGTTTGGCTATATTATGTCCCCAAAGGAAGAGTCAGCTCGAGAATACCTCCAGACGGCATCAAACGTTCTCACTGAGGAGGAGCTACACCAGAAAGCATTAGATTCTTTTGTAGTCCAGACAGAGTTTTTTGTGAGTATCTTGATAATCTGGGTTTGTAAGAATCAAGCCAATGGCTCATCTCATCCAGCATCCTGTTCTCACAGACAGCTGGGAGAAGCCCACAATCAGGATTCAATCACAAGAGCACTCTCCCTTCCAGCAACTGGTATTCAGAAGCATTGCTGCCTCCAACCATGGAGGTAGCTCATAGCCATCATGGCTAGTTGGCCACTGATGGCCCTCTCCTCCATGAATTTGTCTAATTCTCTTTTAAAGCCATCCAAGTGGGGGACCATCGCTACCTCCTGTGGGATCAGGTTCCATAGTTTAACCATGTGCTGCATGAATGCCCACCAACGTTCAGCTTCATTGATATCCCCAAGGTCTAGTCTTATGAGAGAGGGAGAAAAGGTTTTCTCTGCCCACTTTCTCCAGGCTTGTGGTTTGTTTCACTCCAAACAAGCAACAAGCTATATTCAAGGTATGTTCTTGGCTTACCATTTGTGGTTTGTTTGGGGGTGGCTTGCCCATTCATGCTTAGCCGTCGATTGACTTAGCCTTATATGTGAACCAGGACAATGTCAGTAATGGGTTCTGCACAAATGGACAAGAATTACAGTCCAGCAAGTGCAAAGTACTGACCTATAATAAAATAAATTACATGAGAAGTCACGCTACCTCCCCAGGAAGAGCCTTTTCTGTGCTTCAGCTCATCTACTGCTTCCATATCTAAGGGAATGCTATGGCTTCAATCCTGTACATAGTTGAGCTGTTTATAACCCATTGGCTTCAGTGTATTTAAGCACCTTCACCCTCTGCAAGATTGGTGCATAAGCCTTTGGTCACAATAGAGCCCATAACATTCTCCTAAGTGTTAAAAGTAGCTCTTAACTGTGTGTTCCTTAGTGAGTATTTTCAGAAGCATTTTAATATTATTATTTTTTTAAAGAGACTCTCTCCCAGGAATCTAGGAATCAGATTTTGGAGTGTAAAAAATAACTAGAAATGTCACATCACATCTTTGAGCTAATTTCATTGCTGCCACTACTTCACATTCAAAGGAAAGCAACAGGATTCTGCTTCTTCCTGTCCCTTCAGAATCTGTTAATGGCTCATATTGTGTATCTTTCAACAGGAAATTCCGATGAACTTTGTTGATCCAAAGGAGTATGATATTCCAGGTTTGGTCCGAAAGAATCGCTACAAAACAATTCTCCCAAGTAAGCACCATAGCCACGTTACAGCTGTTTGTCAAGCTGAAGTTTCTTGTACTGTGTGATATTGAAGTGTGTGAAATTGCACATGATTGTGAGCTTTTAAAAAACACTTGAAAGATGATGGAATAAGCTTTGCTATCCTTGTGCTTGATATTTTTTATGCTGCTTTCATTCATGGATTCTCTTGATGTGCAGCAGGGGGTAAGTTAGACCTCTGACAAAAGCCAGCTGTATCTCTGAAGTGGCCACATCAACCAGTAAATGTAGTTTCTGATTGGCCAGGCAGAACCACTGAGTAACAAGGATCTTCCACAAAGTACTTTCTTATACCATTAGTCTATTTACTTGGGAAGCTGCCTTATACCACCTAAGGCCTATGGGTCCAGCCAGCTCAGTATTTTCCACACTGACTGACAGGGGCTCCACAGGGTTTCAAACAGGAGTCTTTTCCTAGGGACACCAGGGATTGAACCAGTGGCATTCTGCATGCAAAGCATTTGCGCTGCCACTGAGCTTTAGTCTAACCTTGCGTTGCCTCCTCTTGCTAGTAGCTGCTTTTCAAGGTCTTACACAAAGGTTTCTGCTGCCAGAAACCCTTTAACTAGAGACAATTGAATTGAACTGTGTGTGTCTTCTACATGCAAACAACTGGGCTGTATGCTGTTTGCTTTTACCCCTTTTTCATACAACAGAGTCGGCCCTATAGCCTATTTAGTTATTTGCAACTTCTAAAGACCTTTTGAATAATACAGAAACTGAAAGCCGAAAGCCTCGCTGATGTTTGGTATGACCCCCCCCCCATAACTGACACAATATAATCAGTTCATTTTTATTATTTCGTGGTTTTGTTTTTCTCGTTTCTCCCTCAGTATATACAGATGATTGAGGGATCGTGAGGAGGATGCCTGATTTTCATTTTGTTTAGTTAGGCACATGCAAGGATAGGTCTGAGTGGTTTGTAATGATTTCATTGGAACTTGGGCAGCACTGCAGCAAATCCTTGTGCCAGCGTACTGGTAAGATTGCTGGTAATGGAGAGGTCTTGGCAAGCTTTCGGATTTCTTTGGGAGAGAAGGAGATTTTGCAGAGGAAGGTCAACATTGCTAGCATCTGTAACTTTGCATGGTACTTTAACAAAAGCAGGGGGGGGGAGGTTTTGCCCCAAGGAACGTGCAGTCTGAAATAGGTTACAGAAGAGAAAGGGGAAGTATGTGTAGCAAGGGATAATGGTTACCAAAGCACGTGCCTTCCTCTTGCCATGCTCCCAGTGTTTCTTCTGCTGCAAAGCCAGCCTGCACAGTCCCACACAACCACCTGCCAATCAATCTGTTACTATATCTGTGTGAGCTGCATGTCTTGAGGAGGACAGGGAGAGGCCATGAAGGACAGCTCTAAGCCGTATGTGTGCATGTGGCTCTGAGGACTTGGTCTATGTCAGTTAAACTCGACATCCTTTTCTTATTGCAGCTTCATATTCAAGGACGGCAATCACTTGATTAGTAAAGTTGCCTGCAAAGTGGAATGTGTTGCTTTTGAGGAAGGAGAAATATTCAAGGTTGTCTAAAACAGATGTTCACTCTAGTTAAAATGAAAGGTAAACAGGCACTTAACTTAATGATCAGTTGCCTGCAATTCTACAGTTAATTGCAGTTACTGAGAGAAATGATAATAGTCTTTAATTCAGCTAATTTATATTTCTTTTGTAGGAAATATCTTTTGCAGATTTACAAATTTGTTGTGGAATTCTGAAAAACCCCCAGAAAGAATCAGCGTCTTTTGAGGAAGCTGGTTGCTTGCTTTATGTTCTTGTCTCAAAAGTGCCAGCCTAAATGGATGAAAATGGCCAATTTCAAAGAGGCCCAAATCCAAGCTCTATCGTCTAAAAGGTTCCAGAATTCTAGTGCAAAGGAACACCTCTGCCTTTGCACTGGTACTGGGACCAAGCCTGCTCACTGTAGTAGCAAGCCATCATGGCTGACACCAGTAAAAAGCCTCTGTGTGGAGCAGCAAGAAAATAAATAGCATTTTTTTAAAAACTGGAGAAAGAGGCAGTGTCACAAAGGCATTGTAATGGGTGCAGAAGTAGCCTGCTTCCCCAGCATTGGTGCAACATTGCTGTCCATATGGTCCGCTTACTGCCATAAGATGTAGTGATGCATTTTTGCCTTAGATGGCTTTATAAATCCATGGTGGATAGATCTGTCAATAGCTACTAGCCATGATATCTAAATGGAACACCTGCATTCTTCTGAGGTAGTATGCCACTGGATACCAGTTCCTCTGTGTGCATTCAAGTCATACCTGGGCTTCTCAGAAGCATCTGGATGGCCACCTGGGGGAAGCAGAGTAGACTTACCAAGGCTTTTGATCTGATCCGCCAGGGCTACTGCTACATTTTTAGGATCAAATCTTTGGATGATTTGACATTGCCACAGTGTTTCTCACCAAGGGTTCGTTGCCGATTACTTTTCTGCGGTCGCGGACAGCTGTGCAGTTCATAGAGTACAGAAGGGTATCACGCTTCCTTGTAGCACATAACTCTAGACTCTTGCTTTGGTTTTCCAGATCCTCACAGCAGAGTGTGCCTTACCTCAGACGATCAAGATGATCCCCTGAGCTCTTACATCAATGCCAACTACATCAGGGTAAGAGCTAAGCAATCCTGAAGGGTTTTCTGCGTAAGTGGGTTTCAATTATTCATGAACAGCTGCAAAATTCCATAGATCACCATTCCCACCCCAAAACACACCTTGTGGTCTTTAAAAACATTTGCAATTGTTTTGGATACCAGCTGTTGTTACTTCAGTATCAGAGAATGACACCAGTCCTCTTTTCTGTCCCTATGGCCATTTCCCTGGTTCATATAGGCCCTGCACTTGAACTTGGAGCTTATTTGGTAGCAGTTGACACAACTCAGACAGAGAACTTATATATGAGCTGTAGGCTCCATCTACTCCTGGCTCTGAGCCAGACCCTGATCTGGGCAGATGCTTACATATCCTTCCTCCTTCTTCCCACAAGTAGCCTCATGCAGCTATCTAGCTACTTCAACAGCAGCTCTGAAGCTTCTGCCTGGCCGTGTTCTTCTGCTTTGTCCCTGTGGGTCAAGGGTGGTTCTGGGAGCCAGCCAGGAACCTATGGAGACCTCTGGTGAGGATGTCTGGCTCCAGCAGTTCAAAAGGGCTGTTGGTGGTGTGGAAATCTTGCTCCCCTTGCACCTTCTCCAAGGAGACCTCAGATTTCAAGGCCTGGGCAGTGCTGAACCCTGAGGGTCTAACACAACTCTTGGGCTCCAGCAAAACCAAAAAGAGCATAATCGAGCTTGGTTTAACCATGCTTCTTGCATAGCATAAATGCTTCCATTGCCATAGCAACCATTGCTGCTTGTATAAATTGAAGCTGTGCCTTCTGTCCTTGGCTTGTGTGTGGTGGGGGGAGGTGGGAGAAAGTGTGCACTAGCACATTTATTTTTGATTTGCTAAGTGTCCTTGGGTAAAAGACTGGAGAACTGAGGTCTGTGCACAGCTCAACACTAATGAACCCTTGTTGCTTTGTTGGCAGGGCTATAGAGGAGAAGAAAAGGTGTACATTGCTACTCAGGGACCCATAGTTAATACTGTCAGTGATTTCTGGAGAATGGTGTGGCAGGAGCGTTCTCCAATTATTGTCATGATTACCAATATAGAAGAGATGAATGAGGTAATGCTGAGTCTCTGCTCTTTATCCCATGTTGTAATTGATGTTTCCACAGTGGATGCCTGAGCCATGGGAAATGATTGAATAAAATATGGTTCCATTCATGAAGCTAGTTTGCTTTGTAAATTACCTCAGTAGTCATGGTTTGGAGTGCTTTAAAAAGGCGTGATGAGCAAAACATCAGCACACATGTAAGCCCCATCCCAACATTGAAGAAGGTGAATAATACATTTGTTACTTGTTTGTTGTGAGATTGAAATGACTTTCCCAAAGGCAATGGATGCTGTGTTTTCCCAGCACTTAATTATGTTATTAGGGAAGTATGATTTCTACCCTTATAGCTTTCCAGTTTCTAATGCTGATTAGAAATGGTCGCTTATCCCCGCTTCTCGGGTGGGCAGTGCTTGCAGTCCAGCCCAGCTCAGCAGGACATGGAAGGAAGAGGGTGATCCCTCCCTCCTTTGCAGCAATCCTGGCCACGGAGGATGCTGGGCTTGCCCACCAAAACCTATAATTTGAATAGGCTTGTCACAGCCTTCAGGGTGGGAAGAGCATCAGCAGTGGACCAGAGGGAGCAAAGCGTCTCTCTGGCCCACCACTGCAGCTTAAAAGGCCAGCTGCACTTTCTACAAGCGGTGCAGTCAGTGACAGATCAACCCGCTCACCCACCGAGTAATTGGGTCTGTTGATCCTGTGTTCATAAACTTGCTTTGGATACATTAGGTCACTATATTCAGGGCCAGGAAGGAATTTGCCTGGAAACAAATTTAGACCATCTGAGGGTTTTGCCTTCCTCCTAGGAATCACCACAACTGTTGGTAGATAAGGCGTTGGGTTGAATCCTGTAGTCTTATTTCTGGAAGGGGATGACGTGGTTCATCACCCCCTTCCCCTCCAGCAGGTGCAATATCTCAATAAAGGAATCTAGGTGGAAGTTCTGTCCTGAAGCCTATAGGAGAGCAGATAGGCCTTAGAACTTCCAGAGGGCAGCTTAGAGGACCAGCTTAATTGACTCACATCTTGAGGTAGCCTTTAACTGAGGCACGATCCTGAAAATCTCCAGCCAACAGGCAGGAGTATCAACCAGAAAGAACACCCAATGCCTAAGCCAAACCTACCTGCATCTGTAATCAATAATGTTGTAGCCATTTTCAATCCAAGAACAATGTTGTGCCCGTTTGTCCACCAGTTCTCGCCTCGTCCCTTCTCGTGCCCTAGTTTCATCTATGACTGGGTTAGGTATTCCTCCTGCCCAGGAGAGGCAGGGAACCTTGTGATCAACATTTATGTAACATCCTGGTTGTGTTTATGTCTCTCCATTTTAGCTCTTTGCCTCATCCAGGACAGAGCTCTGACTCTGCTCTTTTTTGGTTAATCTCCTCCTACATTTCTTTAGCACATTTTTCTTTTCCATACCCAATTCTCTTTTCCTTAATTTTTTTTAAAGCTATTTCTCTCTCTTCTCTGCCATTTCCTCTTCTTCTCCTTCCTTTCCTACTCAGCTCCCTAGTGGTAATTCCACTACACACCTTTGTTCCTGTCACATGGGATAACAATGTGACTGTTCCAGATCCTAGCCAAGCCACCTTGATAGAGTTGATACTTATCAGCAGATATGATCTACTCTGTAGGATCCTTCAATCTCTCTGTCGCATGGAGCTTCTGGAAGGTTCCCCTCTAGTTGGAATCCCAACCTACTTTGGAGGTTGAGATCAAATCTCTTGCTATGTGGGATTCTGTGCTAGCAAGGGTAGGGTATCAAAGCTGTTCACATGCTTATTTACCTCTCCTGGGGTAACGAGGACTTGCTCTATTCATGGGTGGGTGCCTCACTTACCCATCTGGACAAAATACTTTCACACAGTGAGTACCCAAACTTACATTTCCCTCCCCTTAAAGTGAGCTGCCTCCAAGTTCTGCTGTCACCGATGTCATTTTCTCAACATCTGTTTTGCTTCCAGGTTAGCAACTGGGCAGTTGACACCCCTTAGGAGTCTGGATTTAACCCTGTTGTTTCTAGCTGCTGCTATTTCTACTTGAGGCATTGGCATATTGCAGTATGGATTGCTATGCGAAACATAGATGAGCAACTGTTTGACTTAATCGGTTTGATAAATTCTGTGAATCTGTGAATCAATTCTGTGGGCAACAGAGCTTAATAGATCACGGTCAGCTACCATTTTTCTTCCAATCTATCCATCGCAACTTGTATCTGCAGTGCTACTTGGATGTTACCAAGGAGATAGGAAAGCTGTGCAACCTAACGGCACATGCACACTCACTTTTTCCAAAAGACACATTTGGTTAGAAGTCATTCATTAATCACAAAAGTCTAGTAGATGCCATCAGTCTCTGTACTAACAAAAGATATGATTGAGCGCAATGTTTCATTGATACCTCTTGTTTAAAGAATAAAATCATGCCATGAGACTCTGATATAAATATAGGCTACAGTCCCCTTCTTGTTAGCATCCCTGTTCTGATGTTTCTCTCCCCATACCCCCACCCTTGCCAGTTTCAAATTATTATATGAACACTATGTCTTAAAAATGTGTCGACGCAGAGCTGAAACCTTTGTTATGCCATGATGCTTGAGAAAGAGTCTTTGTGTTCCTGCTATATACGTTCAATAATGCAAGGATTAGTGGCTCACTATTCCAGCACTTTTGTCAGGTCTAATCTGAACTGACAGACAGCCCACGGAAATGTGTGGGTGTTCTTCATTTCAGCTGCTTGGAGTCTGAGCTATAGATAGTTACTAGCACATTTGTCAGTTTTTACAATGGATGAGCGCTATTGTAGCATGGAGGGACTGCGTCGAGGCGGGGGAACAGAATTGTGAAAATTTGACTCATGAAATGGTAGTGACAAATTTTCCCACTGGTGTAAACCAGTGGTGCGGCTTACATGCAAAGGTGCAGCAGCAGAAAAATGTGGATATTCTGTATTATCTCCCTTATTTAACTTTTATTTGGCCTCCGTTCATTACATTTATCCCGGAGGCCTAGACAGTTCCTTTGCAAGAAACCATGTGGGGGGTCCATCACATTATGAGTTCTCCCTTGCAAATGGCACTGACTCATGAAACATGGGTAGAAATGCTCATAAGGTTATGGGCATGGCTCATATGGCACCTTTACCGAGCAGTGTGGCTGAAACATGTAAGATTTGCCACAAGAGTACAAATATACCTTAAAGACAGAGATGAACAAACCATACAACCCTGAGAAAGAAGGTAGTTGTTGTTTAGGCGTTTAGTCGTGTCCGACTCTTCGTGACCCCATGGACCAGAGCACGCCAGACACTCCTGTTTTCCTGTTTGGTCAAATACATGTTGGTAGTTTCGAGAACATTGTCCAACCATCTCATCCTCTGTCATCCCCTTCTCCTTGTGCCCTCCATCTTTCCCAACATCAGGGTCTTTTCCAGGGAGTCTTCTCATGAGGTGGCCAAAGTATTGGAGCCTCAGCTTCAGGATCTGTCCTTCCAGTGAGCACTCAGGGCTGATTTCCTTAAGAATGGGTAGGTTTGATCTTCTTGCAGTCCATGTGACTTTCAAGAGTCTCCTCCAGCACCATAATTCAAAAGCATCAATTCTTCGGCGATCAGCCTTCTTTATGGTCCAGCTCTCACTTCCATACATCACTACTGCGAAAACCATAGCTTTAACTATACGGACCTTTGTCGGCAAGGTGATGTCTCTGCTTTTTAAGATGTTGTCTAGGTTTGTCATTGCTTTTCTCCCAAGAAGGAGGCGTCTTTTAATTTCATGGCTGCTGTCACCATCTGCAATGATCATGGAGCCCAAGAAGGTAAAATCTGTCACTGCCTCCATTTCTTCCCCTTCTATGGAAGCAGTGACAGATTTTACCTTCTTGGGCTCCATGATCACTGCAGATGGTGAAGGTAAAGGAACCTTTATGTCTCTTGATAACTGAGTGAGATACTGAGGGAAAGGTGGGGAATCCCCTTCTGCATAAATTCTTCCATTACTAATGAGAAAAGTGTTATTATATATCATTTATTACATTTATTAATAATCAAGGTGGAACTTTCTTTCATGCAGTTCTTTTAAATGCAGGAGCCTATTCTGGATATGCCAACCAGAGGATTTTAAACATCCAGAGGCTGCTGTTCAAAGGGAAAGCCAACAATTCTACTTGGCATATGCAAGCTGTGGGCGCAACACACCTAAAGTAGCTCTTTGCATTTGTTAGCTGTAGAATTCATTCAAAAAGTTTGCAAACAGCTTAATTTTTCTAAAATCTCTGCAGTGTGCTACATGAAACCAAGAAAAAACATAAATAAAACATAAATATCGCCCTGAGACCCCCCAGGTAGAGGGCAGTATACAAAATCAATAATAATAATAATACAACATAAATCCAGTAAGACAGTAGTATAAAAGCATGTGAAAACAGGCATTCATACACATAAAACCTGGGCTGGGTCAGATCTTATGGGTCAGGAAAAGTCTGGCCAAAAAACTATGGCTTTACAAGACACATGAAGGAACTGGTGGTTGCTGCTTCATATATGGCAGTACATAATATCACAACTGGTCTTTGGAAACAATTTGCACAACTTGCTTAAATATGTCTGGAGACAGGACTGGGTGCCAGCTGAGGTTTATGTTTTTAAAAATGGGGAGCCAACCACAGCTGTTTTATCTCAGAGTCCTCAGCATAACATGATGCCTGCAGCTCTAGGTAAAGGTAAAGGGACCCCTGACCATTAGGTCCAGTCGTGGCCAACTCTGGGGTTGCGGCGCTCATCTCGCTTTATTGGCCGAGGGAGCCGGCGTACAGCTTCCAGGTCATGTGGCCAGCATGACTAAGCCACTTCTGGCGAACCAGAGCAGCGCACAGAAATGCCGTTTACCTTCCAGCCAGAGCAGTACCTATTTATCTACTTGCACTTTGACGTGCTTTCAAACTGCTAGGTTGGCAGGAGCAGGGACCGAGCAATGGGAGCTCACCCCGTCCCGGGGATTCGAACCACCGACCTTCTGATCGGCAAGTCCTAGTCTCTGTGGTTTAACCCACAGCACCACCCGCGTCCCTCAGTCTGCTCTAGCAGACACTAATTCAATCTGAATGAGATCAAGTTTTGGCTACAAATTCTGGCCATTTTTGGTTTGTATGCTTCTGCACACACACACACCCCATCCCACCCTGCTTTACGCAATATCTGGCCTGAAGAAGAGTCCTGCAAAACCCAAAACCTTGCCCCCTATTTTGTGACAGATTGATTGGTCCTAAAAAAAGTTGTTATTGTAGATTTTGGAGTTATGTCGCTTATTTTGCTTTTGAAGTGTACTTTTTTTTAGTACACCAAAGTCACTCCTGTGCCAGCCGATAACTTATTTTATATGTATGGTTTATATTTTACTCAGAAATGTACAGAATACTGGCCAGAAGAACAGGTTACCTATGAAGGAATTGAAATCACGGTTAAAAGAGTTATACAAGCAGACGATTACCGGTTAAGGCTTATTACCCTAAAGGTAAGATCACTCACGTATATGTGGAGCTGCATGAAAAAGGCCTCATAAAGTTGCTGTTTTATATCCAGCCTATAAAACACAGCTGAAACACCACTTTTCATTACTGCACTGAGTATGTGTCTGTCTGGTTTCCAACCATGTACGCAATATACTAATGAAAGCAGTCAGGTATTTTAGATTGAATGTGTGCAGCTCAAAGACTTTCCAGCCACTTGTGCTCATCCAGCGGAAGAATTCTGTGAGTCATTCCACACAATTCTAGCACCGGTCATTTATTACGGCATGCTTGCTCAGTAAATGTTCTTTATGTACATTGACTAGCCTCTAAATGCAGGAATCACCAGCCTGGCACCCACAGGCATCACATTGGTGGGCCTTACAATCGGAGGGGTTTTTTTCAGAAACAGCAGGCCCTTCAGCCGTAGGGGGGATTTTCTGAATTATGTGGGTAATTCGGAAATTACTTGGACAGAGAGGGAGAGATGTATGTGTGGTCTGTTTGCATGTGTGGTCTGTGTGTGAGAGGCAGCAAGGTGTGTATGGCTATGTCAGTGTGAAGTTATGGGGGGGGTGAGAGAGAGAGAGAGAGAGAGAGAGAGAGAGCCCAATAGTCCGTATGGGTGTAGTGAGTGTACTCCTGTGCCCTGTGCAAGAGTGGGTGTCGTATGCCTACCTTGTGTATTTTTCCTGGTCCTGGGGAATGCTCTCTGTTGGTAAACAGCAGCAGCAGCAGCAGCAGCATTGTGTGTCATGGAGATGTGTCAATATTGTGTGATCTCCACAATCAGGACCATCAGGACACAGGTGACTTCCCACAGCAAGCATGAGGTTGTCAGGAGGGGGTAGATATGACAGCTGCCACCAACACTTTCTCGAAATTGGGAATGTGTTTGCTGGTCCAATAAGGTTTGCAACTCCTGACCTAAATGTATGGCTTTAGAATAACAGCGGTGCTTGGACTATCCCATTCCAATATCTTTAGATTCCCCTTTGTCCCTTGTATTCAGTGTGCTTCGCTAGCTGCAAAAAACGGGCAGAGGATTTTTTCTTAGCAACAAAAACCAGGAGTGGTTTATCAAAACGTTTTGAGGATGGAAGTGAAGACTGAGAGATTCAAGAGAGAGGTCTAGAACAACAACCACCTGCTTAATTTTATCTTTTTACCTCTCAAAGATCTCAGTAAGGATTTTGTTTTCAGTTGTACAGTGGTACCTCGAATTACATACGCTTCAGGTTACAGACGCTTCAGGTTACAGGCTCCGCTAACCCAGAAATAGTACCTCGGGTTAAGAACTTTGCTTCAGGATGAGAACAGAAATGGCGCAGCAGCAGCGCAGCAGAAGTGGGAGGCCCCATTAGCTAAAGTGGTGCTTCAGGTTAAGAACAGTTTCAGGTTAAGAACGGACCTCCAGAATGAATTAAGTTCTTAACCTGAGGTACCACTGTATTTCAAAAAGCCATTATTATTATTATTATTATTATTATTATTATTATTATTACTTTATTTTATTATTAATTATTATAGCTCATTAAGCTTGGTTTCCTTCCACTGTAACCTAAAGTCTACTGAGCCTTTTGTCGGTAAAGATTTGGGGGTCTTTTAAAGGATTTATAAAAGAGAAGTTGGATACAGTGTTGTTTTGTTGGAAGGTTTTAAAGGTGTTAAAGACTACATTTTCAGCTGCCAACTAGAATGCTTAATTTATCTTTATGTGTTCTCTGACTGAGTAACAGACATCTCAGCCTGATCTCCTGTGACCTGTTGCACTGGAAGCAAAGTGTTCAAGGCCACTTCTATTCGTGCTTCTGTTCGTAAATGTTTGTAATGTTGTTGGGCCAGCGGCATGAGCAGGTATCCAGCTGTATAACGTCTGCAGTTGGGTGTCTTCAGTGCTGTTGTGCCACAAAGGCTCCTTCCAGCACCATCTTTGGCACAAATGGAGCTACACAGGACTCTTGCCCAATGCCATACAGAGCAACCAGGTGCAATCAAGATCCTTTCTCCCTCTTCTGCCAGCAACCATCATAAGCATAATTTAATGACATACGGAGATTCATAAAACAGTAAATCTTCCACACCTCCCATAAGCAACATCTTCTGTCATAGTTATATGATTTATAGGGTTGGAGTATTAAGTGTTGGTGGTTTCAGTTTCTCTCTGGGTTTTGTTTATTTACTAAATCCAAACTTCACTGGTCAAAATGCTTAGTGCTATGTACCGGTATTTCCTTCATGCCATTACCACACATCAGAACGCCTAAAAATCAACTGCACTCCAATAGTTATTAATGATTTCAACCGATTTAAAGTTTAAGATCATAAGAAGATCATTTAAGCTGGTCTTGTTGATTTAAGTTTTAGTACTAAATGTTGCTTTTCTTGGGCCCTTCCATAGATGCATATATTTGAAAGTAACTGTTTAGCACAGTGTAAAATTTCCCCATCAATGCCTAAAAGATTGAAGCAAACATTCCATTGACCTCTAGTTCCAATCGGGCACAAGATTAAGCAGCCATAAAGTGAAGCAGGCTGGATTAATTAGCATGCCTGAAAACTGAGCAGCATATCTGTTGATTCAACAGCGGTATTATTATTTTTTTGGAAAAGAAAGCTTTATGTCTTACGCTTTCCCAGAGAGTGACATGTGGTATATGCAGTTAGAAATAGCTGTCTGTCTATTAGGTTATAAATATGATTTCTTTCCATTTATGTTCCCAATATTATTAAGAACATAATTATATTTTGAAAACAGCTCTTCAGTTTGCTGAATAGCAGCAAGAAAGTATGACCTCTGAAAAGTGTAAATTGCCTACATTGCCAACATAGTATTGCAAGCCTTAATTTTACTCTGATGTCATAAGTTAGTCCAGGAGGCCATCTCATGAGAGCAGCAGAGTCAGTGTGGCTTTGCCAGCAATTGGCGTTAATTATATATTTAAAGTTATTTATATACCATTCATGAAAGATAGCTGCAAAGATATTGTTGCAGTTTGCAGTTTTAAATAAAGCAACACATCATTAAATCTGGGTAAAAAGATAGGAAAATATATAATTTTCAAAAATAATAATAATTTTGGAAGAAGAAGACTACATAGCACAACAGATCCTTATGCATCCTTGGGGAGAATAATGTAGCTTTAAGACAGGTTAAATATTTCATCTTTATATTTAATTTTCTATCTTGTTATCAGCCCTTATTACACAAATCCCCTTTGAGAAGGGTTAGTAAACTGCATACCCCAAGAAAATGTTTTTTTAAACTCATTAAGGAGTCTCACCTTTTGGAAAATACCTTTTCTGGTTGCCTGTATAAATCTCTTTATAACTCTCTTATAGAAGGGTGAAGAAATAAGAAATCTGAAACACTACTGGTATACTTCCTGGCCAGATCAGAAGACTCCTGATCAAGCACCAGCCCTGTTGCAGCTGGTTCAGGAAGTGGAAGAGGCAACACAGTGTGCAGAAGAACAGAATGCTCCAATCATAGTTCACTGCAGGTAGCTTAATTATGCATTGTTAAACCATTATGAAGAGAGAGGAAAGAACATGGGAAGTTTTAAGGAAGTTGTCGTTGTGTTAAAGTAACCTTCTCTCACAATGCTGATCTAGAGAGTTCAGGTATCTGAAGAAGTGTGCGTGCACATGAAAGCTCATACCAATAACAAACTTAGTTGGTCTCTAAGCTGCTACTGGAAGGAATTTTTTTATTTTGTTTCGACTACGGCAGACCAACACGGCTACCTACCTGTAACTAGAGAGTACAATTTCTGCATGATCCACCTGCTGTGAAAAACTGCTTTTAACTACTGTTCTGTTAGCCTATGTCAGGTATGGTAGTGAGGAAGCATCTCTTGCTTCTAATTTGGCACTGGAACTTCAAAGAGAAGTCGTCCCCCCCCAAAAAAAAACCCCAGAAGTATGGCCCCAGAAGCCTTTATGATGTGAAAACCTTATACCGACACTTGAGTTTGTGCTGGAAGTGACCTGACTCTTTTATTGTCCCCATCTGCTGTGCAGATGGAATGGAAAACAGTGTGGGTTGCTTAATTAACCATGCAATGTGGGGAAACAGTCAGTTTAAAGGGGGGGTAGAGATAGGCTCATTTAATTCTTTTTCCTAGGCTGACAGTGACCCGGTTTCTGAGGTGAAGCTGCAGCCATTTCCCCCACCACAATTCCACCACTCATTTTTTGTAATGACATCCAGGTGACACTGAAGGAGTTTGCAGGTGAATCAACATTATACACATGTGTGTGCGCACACAGATAGATATATATATATATAGGGAAAACTATGCAAATTTGACCTTCTCATATATCATTCTCTAGGTGGAGTCCTGGGGTCACATGGTACATTCAATTCATAGTGGACAGGAGTTCTCCTCCACTGTGAGAATTGCCCGGTTAGCATATGAACTGGATTCATATGAAGTGACTCATAGTCTCTGGGAAAGTCGCTGTTAATATTGAATGATCTATGTACGTGAGGGAGAGGGAAGGAGAGAGAGATGAAGATCATCCTTATCCTAGTAAAAATTCATAGCTTTGTTCTTGGGCTTTCCTGGGCTTGTTCACAGTAGAAAATGGCAGACTTGCTTTTTAAATAAAAATAAATACTAAAATAGATTTTGATTTTTTTATGAACATCATAAGAGCAGCCAAGCATGCATGGAAAATGAGCAGAGATCAGCTATCATAAATTATACATTGAAATGAAAGACTAGTTAGTGTTCTCATACAAAATAAATTCAGGTTCTGATAACATAAGTTCCTTTTTTTTATACCACTGGACTTTGGCAGGCAGCAGGAAACATTCCTATTTTAAAGCAGATATCCTTTTTGATACGGTTACAGAAAGAGTCCATAACTGACCATATATATTGACAATCATTTAATGTCATGACACTAGATGGAGAAATTTTAAAACCAAATATGAGCATTCCTTGTACAAACTGGCCTGGGGGGGTGGGAACCAATGAGATCCTGGTGGCCTTAAATGTACTGTGATGTATCAATGCACAAATATCAGTATGCCAAACCTCTTAAAGTAATCTTAAAAGTATATCTGCATAATATAGCAAAATCAGTTTTCTAAAACAGCTTTTTGCCAGAATTCTCAGTTTATCCTGCGTTCACAAGTGCTGTGTCAATGTATCTTAATAGAATGCTATTTTATCCAGACTCCTAGCTGTCCAGTTTTGATGGTCCTCTTGTCCAATGCCCTTATCCCAGCCATTCAGATACATTTTGTAACTTGTTTAAATGAGGAAAATACTGCTGCAAAATGCATGTAGCAACTGTCCTTAAAGAATACTCCATTATACAACATGCTTTGTCACTTTTGCTTCTCATTTTTCATTAAAATAATAAATAGAATTTATCACTTGCTGCCACCCATAAATGCAATACAAGAACAACTCTGGTCAATAACCAAAGATTAACCTGAAGAACAATACTGTTGCAGTGTTAGAGACCAGGGGATCTTTTATTTTATTTTGGTGGTGGTTGGTGGAAATCAAATCAAATCTTGTGTCCTGTACACATCTCCAAAGAGCTGGGTGAAAAGACTGCCCACAAGTAGCATTTCTTTATTTCCCCCAAGGGCACAGCTGGTGGCCAAAATTATCTAAGTGACAATGAATGAAAATCCATTTGAGATGCTACCAGCACTTCTTGAGACCTGCAAAATGGGAAAAGCTCTTGGACTGAGGAGTAATTGTTATTTGCTGCTTCCATTATTTAAAGTGACATGTTGACATATCAGGCCTGACAGAAGCCAGATGGCTCACCTAACATCTGTCTGGCATTGCACCCTGTAACATTTTCCTCCAATCCATGTGGTAATCTTTCACTGAATATATATATGGCTGATGGTTAGAACATTAGTTTCTGTCTTTTTCATTTCCTCAAATAAATGAGAACTGCTTATTCTGGACAAGGAAAACATCTTATTAAACTGTCTCTCTGCATACCAGATTCTCACAAACTCTCCTTATGGGGTACACAGAGGTTATGCCAACTGAGTTTCAATGGTGGGGGCAAAAACAAACAAACACAGACATACCCCTTGCTTAATGGTTTGGGGCCAAATTAAATACATGTAAGACGCAAGTACACTCTGATTAACTGAGTCTTCTTATCTGTTACTGCTTTCTTCAAACCACACTTACCAAAGTAAAAAAATCAGCTACTTAAAATTTAAAAACCTATTGCAGACCTAGGTATAGTTTCTGCCCACATTCTGGGCTGGCTGGCTGGCTGGCTTGCAGCGTTAAACCACAATTTACAATAAACTATGAACGCTTTAGGGACACGGGTGGCACTGTGGGTTAAACTACAGAACCTAGGGCTTGCCGATCAGAAGGTCGGTGGTTCGAATCCCCGCAACGAGGTGAGCTCCCGTTGTTCGGTCCCTGCTCCTGCCAACCTAGCAGTTCAAAAGCACACAGTGCAAGTAGATAAATAGGTACCGCTCCGGCGGGGAGGTAAACGGAGTTTCCGTGCGCTGCTCTGGTTTGCCAGAAGCGGCTTAGTCATGCTGGCCACATGACCTGGAAGCTGTACGTCGGCTCCCTCAGCCAATAAAGCGAGATGAGCGCCGCAACCCCAGAGTCGGTCACAACTTGACCTAACTGTCAGGTCTTTACCTTTATGAACACTTTGTTCTTCCCTTGCTGCTGATTGTGCCATGTGGGGATGAAACATGATAGAAGGCTTGTCCACATGTTCACCCGAACACAGACAGGTTCAAGCTATCTCAACACACGTACAAGTGCAGGTGCGAAAAGTGTACACTTGTTGATTTATGTAGCTCAGCTGTTTTGTACAAAGGTACACACACCACACTCGCTGATTGACTGTTACTGGTGAACATTCATAGAGTCTGACTTGCCATGAAGAGTGATCCTGAGCATGCAGCTTGTTTCTCTCCAAGGCTTTGTACATTTGGCAAGGGTACATCTGAAATACTAAGAGAATAATTGATGCTCTTTCTGAAGATTCCCACCTTCATTTTCTGTTCCTCTCTCTCTGGCCAGTGCAGGGATCGGTAGGACTGGCTGCTTCATCGCCACCAGCATTTGCTGCAAACAGTGGAAGAACGAGGGCGCAGTTGACATACTCAGAACAACCTGCCAGCTACGGCTAGACAGGTGAGAGAATATTGTATTATTGTCTTTTCCACTTTTCCTTCAAAAACAAACACTGTAGACCCAATGCTTTCTTCTTTTTTAGCATATGAACAGAGTTTGTCTCTTTGGGAAAGTATTGCTGCTGTACAAATCATTTATAACAGGGGGGGAGACCTGTGGTCTTACAGGTGCTGTTGGGCTATAAACCCCATCATCCCTGACCACTGTCCCATGTGGACTGGGGCTGATAGGAACTCGAGTACTGCAATATCTGTAGAGCTACAGGTTGCCCATCATTGTTGTTTAAAGAAAGTATTGGGGAATAGATACAAGGGCTGGGTTCATGGCTAGTGCAAACCAAGGTTTATGAATCAACAATAAGCCATGGCTTACTAATGTGGTTTGTTCATGGTTGATAAAGCATGACTGAGCCACTGGGCTGAGTTTGGACAATCAAATTAAATCGTAGTTTATAAACCATGGTTTAGCATTTCATGTGAAGCAGGTCTTGTACAACGGGAAGTCTTCCCCCCCTTTTTTTTTTACATTCACTTTTAAGTCTTGCCTTTTGAAACATTGAAACATTTTTACCATTTGATTTTATCTTTTTTTAAAAAAAATCTCTTTCTCGTTTTTATTCCATTGTAGTTAGTTAAAAAAAGAGGGTACATTACAATGACAAATTTGGATATTTCTGAGAAAAAATATTGGAAGCAGCCACACAAGATAAAAACGAAATTACAGACTATTAAGAATGTAATGAATGGTTTAATGAGAATTAATTACATTTGTATTATTTACAAGTGACAGGTGTATTCAGAATGTCAGAAATACTGATTTGATGACTTAAATATGTGATCAATTTCACTGAAATCACTGAAACATAACTTCAGCGTAAACTTGAACTGTTAAATAGATGAAATTAGTTGGATTCACTGTTACCATGCAACATGTGAGCAGGGTGATGTTAGCGAAGTGGAATGTCAACTCAGACTTAGAATAAGCTTAACTGAATATGCAGGGAGAAATTTATAGCTTTTGGGGGGGATATATATTTTATACAGATGTATAGATATGAATACAGATCCCATAAGGGCATTCCTATCTTCCAGTTGTAACATGGAAAGTTAATGGGGGGGGGGGGACGGGATTAGTGCACAACAGTACTTCAGACATCACTCCTGTAGCTAGATTGCCATCTTGTGGTCATATGTAACCATTACACCTGTACCAGGAAGGCTATAGAGCAGGCATAAGCAAACTCAGCCCTCCAGATGTTTTGGGACTACAGCTCTCATCATCCCTAGATAACAGGACCAGTGGTCAGGGTTGATGGGAACTGTAGTCCAACAACAGCTGGGGGGCCGAGTTTGCCTATGCCTGCTATAGAGATTGCATGAAAGGAAAGTTGATACATGCCTTCAACTTCAGTAACAGCTGAGAAGTACTATAAGGACTGGGAACACAGTTGATCCAACACCAGTAGGTGGTGTATAAATACTCGTCTAAATAAAAAAGCAGGCTTGGACTCTACACCATATTTATCTCTTACCTTCCACGAACATTAAAAAGCATATCTTGCTGCTACACCCAAAAGCCAGGGTGAACCTCACCTGGCTTAGCTGACTTCCAAAGAATGTAAAATTGTGGGCCGGATACCATATTCTGAATTTAAATGTTGTATCACAGAGAATGCATATAGCACTGACAGCATCAGTGCATCATGAGGGCAAGTAGTCAGAGAGGAGCACTGATTTTCGTTGATTAGGTTTTAGTTAGCTTCCCAAACATGCCATCAGGCAGGCTGCTGGAATCTTCCATCTTACTGTGGCTATACCATGGCTGTCATTATTCTGACTCTATTGGCCAGGTGTAAATAGATTTGGGGAACCCGATTCAAAACCTTTTTGTTGTGCTTTGTATCAACAACTGCAGAATTAAACTCACTTTTTCCAAACAAAGTCTATGACCTAAAAGCAATTTCCTGTGATCTTTGGCATCTCTGTGATCCATTACCAATGTGATTATGCCAAGCAGATACAGTGAGATTAATGTCATATTTTGATAATTTTTTTGAGAAGCATTTAGCACAGATCCTAGACCTTAAAACTCTGGTATGTTACCCCAGTGATCTTATATGCAACCCTAGGAACTCAATACCATTACCAGTCGGAAGACTTTTTAAAACCAGTAGACTTAGGACCAGTTTTTTGTGTTTAGCTCCCCCCACCCCAATTTGTGCCGTATTATTTTTGTTAATAGTTTTGAGATACACAATGGATATCTGCTTCCAAATCTCCCCCCTCCCCTGCTTTTCTTCCCAGGGGAGGAATGATCCAGACCTGCGAACAGTATCAGTTTGTCCACCATGTCATGAGCTTATATGAAAAGCAGTTTTCTAGAGCAGCAGCAGAGGAATAAAGATTCATGAAAAATTGTTATGACACAAACCAACAGAACTCTGACCACAAATTGTATGTATTCTAGAGCTGAGAAGACACACGTGGGAATTTCAGAATAGAAGATATTTATTTATAAATATATATATATATATATATAATATATATAGTTTTACTTTCAAAATGCTTTATTTTGCATTTAAGAGCTAAGATACCGCTTTTCTTCAACATGTGACAGGACATCATCTTCACCCCCCAAAAAGGCCTATTTATACTGTAAATAAGATCAGTAGCTTCATTTATTACAAAATTTTAAAACATCATTGTCAGATTTGCTATTTTAAAAAACGAATTACAAAATTGCTACTAGATCCAAATACAGTGCAAAAGTCTTTGATAAATGTATTGCTTAAGTCTGTAATGTATGTTTACTAAGCTTGAAAAGTAACTTTTTTGCCTTTTTTCTGATGGATTGTTTTTACATTTTAAACTACCGGATACTGTGTATATCATAAGACCTTCTGAGTCTGTGCATTAAAGGATTCAAATGGATTCATACTGAAATTATTTATGGTTCATGCCTGGTATGTTTTGAACAGTCCCTTCAAGATAGCTGTGGTATCAAAATGATGCAGAAAGAAGCTACTTAGAGTTCGATTGCTTTTTCTGTCTGTATAGCATTCCTTAGTAATGGTGGGGGTGAGAGATTTGAAAGTTTCTCTTGGGGAGACTCAATGGGTAGAATTTGCTTTATGGTTCCAGTACCACCCTCATGGTTTTGCTCTGTGAGACAAAACTGACATTATGATAAAAGGTTCCATTGGTGCCAACTTAAGCTTTTTCTCCTATCCTAATTGCTGAATGTGAGGTCCAGTATATCTGAAGGAGCATCTCCACCCCCATCGTTCTACCCAGACACTGAGGTCCAGCACCAAGGGCTTTCTGGTGGTTCCCTCACTGCGAGAAGCCAAGTTACAGGGAACCAGGCAGGGCCTTCTCAGTAGTGGCACCCGCCCTGTGGAATGCCCTCCCACCAGATGTGAACAACTACCAGACTTTTAGAAGACATCTGAAGGCAGCCCTGTTTAGGGAAGCTTTTAATGTTTGATGCATTATTGTATTTTAATATTTTGTTGGAAGATGCCCAGAGTTGCTGGGGAAGCCAAGCCAGATGGGCGGGGTATAAATAATAAATTTATTATTATTATTATTATTATTATTATTATTATTATTATTATTAAGGATTAAAAAAATCACACAACATCACTGTTAATCATGTTGTCAGCATTGTGTGTAGTTAGGTCCTAAAGTGCAGGGGAGTTGTGAATGAAGATGCACATGACCGCTTGGAATGACCTCAGCCTGGATCCACAAACCATATCACAAGGAGTTAGATTTGTGGATCAGTCCTCTTAACTGATCCATATATTTGTGGTACTTGGGCGTTCAAAAAGCTTTTGACAAAGTCTCTTAACAAAGATTCCTGGGTAAACTTAGCTGTGACAGGATGTCTCTTTATGTACGTAGTTCAAGAACAGGAAACAGGAATAATGGAAGTTCTCACAACGGAGGTAAGTAAGAACTAGGGTCCTCCAAGGGCCTGATGTGGGAGCATCACTGTAGCTTTCTTATCAATGATCTGGTATTAGGATTTGACAGTGAAGTCTCCAAGTTTGGTGTCTTCAGCAAATTATATTAAAAAATCAAAACGATTGTGAAAAGCTTCAAACTGTTCTCTCCAAACTGAGTGAATGAGCAATTCAACTGCATTTGCCATTTTAGATAAGTAAGTGTAAGTAACGCACATTTCAGGTAGGGGTTGAAACTTTAACCTATACTCTGATGGGGTCTCAGCTGGAAGTGAAGGGCTAGGAAATGGATGCTTAGGTTGTGGTGGGTAGTGGAGGACTGGAGGAAAGTTGCAATGTTTAGTTTAGGGAAAAGGCAAGTAGGGGGATAAGCTGAATAGCAAGAGATTCAAATAGACTAAAGGAAGAACTGTGGAATTTGCTTCCATAAAATGTAGGGATATGCATTAACTTAGGCTGCTTTGCATTCTGTAGGGAGTGATTGCATTAAAATGGCTTAAGCAGGCCTAAAGGTTGAGGGCTGTTGCTGAAACCACAAGAAATCTAGCAAGGGAACTGTAATGAGTATGGGTTGCTCGTGCGTAAGTTGCCGCCTCTCCTGGCTATGTTGCCTGGTTAAACCTTTCTGTCTGGACAGCCCTTCAATTCGTGGCTGCCTCAGTCGCTAGCAGAATCCGTCAGTGGGCGTTTCTTAAACCTTTTCCAACATAAAAGTTGTTTGACGCCAAGTCTCCTCCTACTCTCCCTGCGCGGAAGTCTTCTGCGCAGGGAGGGCGTGGGTAGCGGAGGACCCGTGCTCTCCCCGCTGGTGTCCGGTGAAGAGTCCTGGAGTCCTCTCGCCGATTCCCCCATCTGCCCCCCTTTATCCCTGGTGTTGCGCTGATTTGCTTCCCCATCTGCTGAGCTGCCTCTCTCCCTGCTGGGCCCTTCTCCAGCATCATTTGAGAGCCTTCCCTCCGCCTCTAGCTCCAATGTCAGTTCCCTGACAGGAACATTCCACTAAACACTGGATAATTTCCATTCCTTTCCATGGGGCCTGTAGAAGAACTACTCTGAGCCTGTTGTTGTTCATCTGCAGGCCTTGGGCATTGTTCCTTTGGTGCCAGCTTATACAGTCAGGAAAAAATTAGCAGATGGCATTTAGACTAAAATACTTAGAGTTGCAAATTGGGCTGTTTTTGTGTGTGTTAAACTGCTCCCCTTTTTTGAAAAAACCAAAACCCTCCATATGCAATAAAAACCTAGTGGGCAGAGAGAAGGATTTTGCTTTTCACATGACATGTTTTTTCCCTGCTGTTTCTATAGATCCTTCCAATTCCAGAGTTCCATTCAAGGGCCCTACAAATTTTGTGTGTGTGTGTTGAATACAATTTGCTTCCAGGTCCTACCTTTTATGAGAGCCAGTATGGTGTAGTGGTTAAGAGTGATAGACTCGTAATCTGGGGAACCGGGTTCACGTCTCCGCTCCTCCACATGCAGCTGCTGGGTGATCTTGGGCTAGTCACACTTCTTTGAAGTCTCTCAGCCCCACTCACCTCACAGAGTGTTTGTTGTGGGGGAAGAAGGGAAAGGAGAATGTTAGCCGCTTTGAGACTCCTGAAGGGGAGTGATAAAACGGGATATCAAATCCAAACTCTTCTTCTTCTTCTTTTAAAATGAACACAGCTAAGAACCTGAGGGAGAGGTAATTTCTGTAGCTGCATGTATGCCTTATACATATGAGAAGTTTCAGCGCTTGCTTGAGTCAAGGTTTTATTATTATGCCTGACCCCAGTTGAAGTCCCAGTGGCAGCTCCAAGACTTCTTCTCTACTCTTATAAGGTAACGTCTTTCTGCGGCAATCTCTCCCCCAGGGATCTGACGGAGAGCCCTTGGAACAGCAGCTCTTCCTGCTTTGCATAGTCATCTGCTCTTCCCGCGAAAACAAGCATGAGGGAAATGTGCTGCAGGAGCTAAAAAAAGGCTCCAATATAAAAGCGAGAAGTGATGAACGTTTCCAGTGAAAAGGAAAGGGTGGTCAGATAGTTTCTTATTTGGTTATATTAGGGAAGTCTTGATGGTGTGGAGGGGGGCAATTCTTCTTTATTTTTTTAAAAGCATTTCTAGAACTTGGGTCAGAATTACCGACTATGAGCCACCACCAGAAATTGTGTCTCTGGGCCAAGTACGGTATCACTCCCTCCATAATGTGAAGCAACTTACCCCATGTTGTGATGTCATCCTGTGCATTTCTGTGCCTCCCCCAACCCTGGCAGCCAATGAAGTACAGTGAGGCTAGGGAACTGTATAATGCCATGATGATATGGAGCTATACAATATGGAAATACAATGATAAGTTTTATGTTATGGGTGGAGCTCTACATCGCAAGAGAAATGTATTGTTCTGCCCCTAGAGGCCCTACGTAACTGCTTAGAAGTAGGCAAACTACTCACATTATATCCTTTTATTAGCTGACCTTCTGGTCAGCCACCTACTGGAGTTTGGCTTTGGAAATGGCAGACATTTTGTGATTAAGAGTGACATTTTTCAGTAGGAAAATTAATTTTTCTGCCTTAGCATGGATCCATGCTAGAGCTCTTCACAGTTTGCAGTGCTTTCAGTTGCTTCCGTAATGAAAACTGAGAGGGCTGAAACAATGGCCATGATAAATGACATCTTGAGACATTTGTGAGAATATAAAACCCCTCAGGAAGCTGAGAAATATGTTTAAGTGAGGTGTATTGAAGCAACTCCAAATGAGGTTACAAGTGCCTTGCATGTCTGGGTATTGTCCTGGGAACATGAAAGATCCTGCTACGTATCCAGCCTGCTAATTTTTCCAGTGCAATTTCCCCTTTGGGCATTACACTCACATTGTGACGACCAGAAGAATATGGAACATCTTTAACATCCACTGCAGCAACTTTCACATGATGAAATCCCAAAGTAGGGAACTAACTGGGACACATTATACAAAAAAGTTTGGGTCACGTGGTATTTCCTGGTACTAAATGCATGGTTCTAAATGACGCCTGGACATACTGTAATTTACTAGTGTCCCATTTTATACAATACCTCACATTTAATAGCTGAGCCACTCAACATGGCAGCAGAGAGCAATAGGCATGAATCACTCTGTCACTCTTCAGTTTTCCATATTTCAGCATCAGTTTGTAGGTTGGGAGGAAATCTAAGTCTCCGTGAAAATTCACCAGCATTTTCAAGTTACAAGAAAGGAGATTCTGACAAAACATCAGAAAGAACTTTCTGGCAGTAAGAGCTGTTTGACAGTGGAGAAGGTGGTGGACTTTCCTTCCTTGAAGGTTTTTAAGCAGAGGTTGGATGACCATCTGCCACGAATGCTTCAGCTTAGATTTCTGCATTGCCGAGGGTTGGACTAGATGACCCTTATCGTCCCTTCCAATTCTATGATTCTATTATTTTAGTGTGCATTTTTCACAATTGATACATTTTTATATGTCGTTTTGCCGTATAAACACAGTTTTGCAAGTAGTTTCCCTTAATAACATTAATTTCTTATGTTACTTCCACTAAAATGTGCATTTTTATGAACATTTCCCCTAATACACTATTTTTGTGCATGAAATTTGGTTGGTGAACTTTGATTTGCATAAAGTTTTTGGATAACATGAATTGGGTTCAGAATACAAACTCCATCCCTAAGTACCAGGAAAGCATCATAGAGTCTCTCCTTCTAGCCTTCATGTGAACAGTATGACTGTACTGAGCGACTTGGGATGGTATTCAGTGAAGAGTTCCTCAGAGTAGACCTGCTGAAATGAATGAACATGGCTAAGTGAGATCCGTTAACTTGCCATGAGTAGAACTTAATAGGCTACCACCCCTGGAACCACGCACAAAAGAGCCTCTGATTCAGATCACTAGCATTTCACGTGACGCTTTTCAAAACTAGATGAAGCACATTTTGATAATGCCCTGCCACCATAGCACACAAAAGGAGAGGCAAAATAATCATCATGAGCCACTTTCTACAATATTTTTCTGTGTGTACAAATGTTAATATGGGACAGAACATAGGCGAAAGCCATTTTTAAATGTAAGTCCTAGTAAGGACCCCTTTTCAGTCATATGTAAAGTGTTGTTTTTTAAACCACTTAAAATAATTTGCTAGGCTTATTTCTTTGATAACGTGCTATATTTAATGGTCTTGCTGTTCATCCTCCCTCTTTAACCTTAAGGGTCTGTCTTCTTATTCTAACTATGTGAAACTGTTGAAGCTGCAGAAATGGATGTAACCACATAGCCCACAGGGGGCCAGTGTTTATTTAAAGTTTGAACTACACAGAGCCATATTTGAAATATGCTGTGGGACCCAGCTGTCTTCCAGAGTCTGCCAAGACTCTTTAGCCATTTCACATCTGCTACAGGACTCGGAAGAACTAACTGATGCTCCCTTAAAGTTCTGTTTCATAATAGAGACCACCCAGAATCTTGGTCGCCAGAAGAAAAGGTACTGTTTACAAATAATTTAGTTTGCCTCTTTTATTTGTTTGGATTCTAATATGTTGTTGTTGCTGTTGCTGCTCTTTTGCTTGTGTTTTATTTCTAAAAAATTCCAGGAGGGAATTAAAAAAAAATTATATTTACGGTATTTTACTAGATAGGTCAAATTAATCATATTCTCAGGTTACTGGCATTTTGAAATTCTTATTTATTCATTTATTTCATAAGTTTTATATATCTCTTGATTGTAAAACAAACAAACCCTCAAAGAAGTTTGCAAAATGAATAAAACAATAAAATTATTGATAAAAATGATTAGTTTAAAACATTAAAAAATCTGGGTAGGCTTGTATTTAAAAAATAGGTTTTTAGCAGGGCACTGAAAAGTATACAATGAAAGTACCTGCCTGATATCAACAGCCAAGGAGTCCCACAGTGTAAGTGCTGCCACACCAAAAGACTGATTTATATGGAATAAGGCAATTTCAATGGTAAACTGGTCCCAAGTTGTTAGGGGGCTTTAAATACTAATAGTAACGCCTTGAACTCAGCTTGGTAGCAAACTAGCAACCTGTGCAGATTTCTGAGCACAGTTGTTATATGCTAATAAGATCTCACTCCTTTCAGTATTCTGCACTAACTGCAGCTTCTGGATCAAGTATAAGGGAAGCCCCACGCAGAGAACATTGCAATAATCCATTCTTGAAGTAACCAATGCATGCACTACTGTGGCAAGGTTTTCCCAGTCCGGGAATTGCAAAAGTCTAGCCACTGAGACCAACTGGTCTTCCAGTGACAAAAGCTGGATCCAGAAGCATCCCCAGACTGTGAACCTGCTCCCCATCCAAGGTAGACAATTGCCTGATTTCTCAGGCACGGGAACTACTCACCCACAGTGCATCCATCTGGCCAGGATTCAAGCTCAGCTTGTTTTTCCTCACCCGCCTCAACGCTGCATCCAGTCACTAGCTCAGGGACTGTAAGGCCTCTCCTGATTCAGATGTTACGGAGAAATAAAGCTGAGTGTCATCAATGTACTGATGGCACCTTGCCCCCAAACTCCTAATGACTTCTCCCAGCGTCTTCAGATATTAAATAGCATTGGAGATAAAAGAGTACCTGAGGCTCCCCATAACCTAGCCATCAGGGGACAAAGAGCACTCTCCCAGCATTACTCTCTGGGCTTGGTCCCAAAGGTAGGACAGCCTGATCTAAGGAGGGTCACAGCAGCAGAAAGTAGCACAATACAAATATATGGCAAACTGCATGAAGAAATGGGGCCTCAACTGCATGTTTAGGTTGAAGATGAGTCCTGGATCTGAAAAGATGCAGACCATCTTCACATTAGTGGCAGGCTCCATCAATAATGTGCAGTGTTGTCATGGAAACTTTCTCCATGATCTGAGTGACAGATATGTTTGGTGGGTGGCTCTCAGTAGAAATGTGATTTAGAGGTTTGATATAAAACAAGCCAGCCAGCCTGTTGTCTGAAAACCATATGATACCAAACCTCATTGCTGTTGTCAGTTCCACCCAATGAAGCCCCATCCCCATGTACCAACCTATTATCCAAGCAACGAGGGCCAGGCTGTCCTGCATCAAGATGCCATGCCAAACCAGGCAGTTCAGATGGTGAGGGCATATCTGACCAGTCACTAAAAAGCTTCAATGGTTTTCCTGAGCTCCTAAACTCCTAGTCCTATTAGGATACAGTTGCTTACTGGACCATCTTGTCTTTCCCCACAGTCCGCACAATCACTGTGATTATCTGAAGCTTCCCTCATGGTTGACCCCCACCTTCTTGGGTACTGATGGTGACCAGAAGCAGGCTGCCAGGGGTTCTGGTTCCTGGCTTTGGAATGCCCTCCGTAGGGGGCTGACTAGGTCCTTATTGCTATTATCATTTGAGCCCCACGTGGACCTTTCTCCTAAGCTTATAAATCTTTTCGATCCTTTAAGAAGCAGTACAAAAATATGGCTCTTTCATTTTTATTATATATTGTTAGATAGGGTTGGCTTTGGGTTAAAGGTTGTGGAAGGTGCACCTAGTTATTAATAAATAAGTAAAATGCCAGTGTGTGGCATTTCCCTCTGCTTGTGGGAAAGGCCTTTTTTAATCCCATGGATTCCTCAGCTAATAAAAGAGAACTGAAAGAGATTTTCACTTATTCTTCCTCCCTCCAGCACCCCCACCCCTGCCCCCAAAATAATTGCTTCTCACAGTTGCAAGACCCTCCAGCACAGCATGGACTGCGATGCAGGGAGTCACAAGAGGAAAGAAGGAACTGGTGCAAAATTGCCTCCATTTGTGGAAGCATATACAGTGGTACCTTGGGTTGCATACGCTTCAGGTTGCATACGCTTCAGGTTTCAGACTCTGCTAACCCAGAAATAGTACCTCAGGTTAAGAACTTTGCTTCAGGATGAGAACAGAAATTGTGCTCTGCCGGCACGGCAGCAGCGGGAGGCCCCATTAGCTAAAGTGGTGCTTCAGGTTAAGAACAGTTTCAGGTTGAGAATGGACCTCTGGAACGAATTAAGTACTTAACCCGAGGTACCACTGTATGGGATCACAAGCCCTTTCAACAAGCAGAAACACCTGGTTTCCCCAGATGTGGAACATTACTAATCTTGACAAGAGTGGATGACAATAATTTAATGGGAGAAAATCAATAGGAGTTCTTGGGGGATGAGGGCCAGCCCTTCTCCCTGTTCCTGCTCACTCCAGCCATTGAGACCAGACTGGCTCCTCTCTGCTTTTCCCAACTGCTATATCACCTTACCCCAATCTTGCATGCTGTTTCGTGGTCATGAGATGTGGGAGTGAACACTAGACTTGCTTTGACTGAATAAAATGATCAAACTTTTTATTCTTACAGCCCCTGAAAATACTGTAATCTGCAGAACATCATTATGGCAACCGCCGTCATGCATATGGAATCTCACTCCATGATCTCGAGCTCCAGCTCCAGCTCAGTGCAGCACATGTCTCAGACTACCACAATTGTGGGAGGCAAGTATTGTGACAATCTCTAGAAGCTCAGAGCATCAAATAATGTTGTTGGTCAATAAGTAACTACCTTATTTTTTGCTCTATAAGACGCACCAGACCATAAGACGCACCTAGTTTTTGGAGGAGGAAAACAAGGGGGGGGGGGAATATTCTGAATCCCCTGCCCTGAAGAGGCTTCGCACGGCTATCCCAGAAGCCAGAACAGCAAGAGGGATTGCTGCGCAGGCTGCATTCCGGGATAGCTGCACAGCCTGCATTCGCTCCATAAGATGCACACACATTTCCCCTTACTTTTTAGGAGGGAAAAAGTGTGTCTTATAGAGCGAAAAATATGGTAATTCTGTTGGACGCAATCCAGCTAAAGTCAGCAGTGAGAAAGGCTACTATCTCTATCCCTATTAGTTATAATTAGTTATAATTTTTTATTGAGTTTATGTTGGCTGTAATTTTTACCCTGTAGTTTTTACCATGAGAATTTTTTACAATAAAGGATGATTTCAGAAATAATGACTGAACTAATGAATAATTCTGTCCACACTTATCTAGCTGTTAAGTCCCATTGAACTAAATGGGACATAACATCTGAATAGACATGCTTAGGCTGGCGTTATGTGTCCCACAGAAGGAAATAGGATTTGTTCTTTGTCACCATCGTCATTACCATCACCAGTTATTTACTGTTTTAAGTAAAGGAACCTCAGTTAGTTATGACTAACTCTAGCTGGTTAGAGCCATCTTGTGCTGATGTTAATATTTTGTTACATGTTTTCTACTTTTGCGTTTGCATTTCAGTTTCCTTACATTTCTGAACAAATTGGTTAACCCTTTCTCAGTGTGTGGTACGGGAATGGGGAACCTCCGACCCACAGGCCAAATTTAACCCACGAGGCCTCCCCACGAGGCGTTGTTGTTTACCTGCCCTTCTACCCCAAATGGGCCATACTTAAAACACAATATTAAAAACCGTTTCAAACAGCATACAAGCACAAAAATTAATGTGGGTCCTAAAAATATACATCTTAGGTTTCAGCCCTGCCCACCTGTCAAAATTTGTCCCAGCAGGGATGGGAAGATAGGAAAGTAGCAACATGTAGTGCAACTCACCTTGTGCCCTGACTCTATTATGCTGAGCTCTTCCCATCTTGTAGACAACTTCTACCAGAAATTTGCAGCTGGTAGATAGCAGAGCATTATTTTAAGTCTTAGCTGGAACTAACCTCCTGTGTTATTATGAAGAACTAGAGAATGGCTGAGACATTGGTGGGTGTGAGGGGTGTGACGCTCCCCTCAAATCCCTGCCATAGTTTCCCATTCTCTTCTGCACCCAGCATTAATTCCTTGCCCTTCGATTTAGAGTTCTCTGCAACCTTGTCCATCCATTATCTCTCTCTATATCTCAATATATCATTGCCTGTGACTGCCACTTCTTATTTTACCACCCTCAACTTCCTTGAGGTCTCTTGCTCCATTATTTAATATATTTATTGTTTATTTATTAAATTTATATACCACCCTTCATCCAGGACAGTTCATAACATAAAAATACCAGATAAAAACACAAAATACAGAATAAACATTTAGTTTGTCCATCCTTCCTGGTTATTCTTATGCATAGCACTTCCTCCTTCATGAATACCTAGATAGCCCCTCCCCTTTCTATCTTCTTCCACATTGCAGCCCCAAATCAACCTCTTCTACAAAGCTTTTGTATTAACCCCTCTGTTGCCAGTCAACGCTTATTACCCTTCCTTTCCACTCCCACCCATCACTGACTAAATTTATCTTGTAACCTCCTTGGTGTTAGAGAACTACCTTTGTTTTCGTTATCCTGTACAGCACTGGGTGCACTGATAAAGACAGATTAATCAATTAACCTGAAGAGTCCGTCACATTTGATATTACTTAGCTGCTTATATCGATTACTGTTCACACGTTACATCCTGTATACCTGAAGGAGCATCTCCACCCCCATCGTTCAGCCCGGACACTGAGATCCAGCGCCAAGGGCCTTCTGGCGGTTCCCTCATTGTGAGAAGTGAGGTTACAGGGAACCAGACAGAGGGCCTTCTCGGTAGTGGTGCCCGCCCTGTGGAACGCCCTCCCTTCAGATGTGAAGGAAATAAGGAGCTGTCTTCTCTTTAAAAGACATCTGAAGGCAGCCCTGTTTAGGGAAGTTTTTAATATTTAATGCTGTATTGTTTTTAACACTTGATTGGAAGCTGCCCAGAGTGGCTGGGGAAACTCAGCCAGATGGGCGGGGTATAAATAAATTATTATTATTATTATTATTATTATTATTATTATTATTATTAGATCTTTTCAAATGTCTATATAAACTAGGAGCATCCTCATAGTGAAGACGGGACAGAAGCAGATCAACGAAACACATTCCGTCCATTGCTCATCCCTCTGCTGCCATTGCTTATGTCAGAGAAGGGCAACCTGCGACCTGGGGGCCAAATTTGTTTTCATGAAACCATATCTGACATCAGATGTGAGGCAGGTAGAGATGTGGTTGCTTTCACGACAAAAAGCAGGATTGAGCCCCCATGCATCAGCTGATCCTGCTTAGTTTGGGTGTGTAACTCTCATGCGCACCCAACCCCACCCCAACCCCACCCCCAGAAAGCAGCATTTCTCTTTAGGAAGACACTAAAATGGCACAAGTCATTATTTTCCATGACTTGCTATGTGGACCCTCAGAGACAAAAATGTGGATTTAATTCTCAAAATACGTTAATGAAATAACTGTCCACATACTATGTTCTTTTGGGAGGGGGAGTTGAAAACTGGGGAACCATTTTATATGAATAATTGTAAGTTTCTGCCTGGCAGAGGAGAGCATTTCAACTAGCAAGAGCTCTTCTTCTTCTGTGGAGTCTTTCAGCATGGTCACCCGCTCCGTCGAGATACCTGCAGGGGAAAGCATCCCAGAATTTGTGGAGAAACCTCATCCACTAACAGCCCCTGAAGGTGAGCAGAAGTAGCATTCATCTGGTCTATAAGCCACTTCACCTTCAAGGCATCACAGGCACTATCCGAAGACACAGAAACCAGAGCTAGCCACACAAAAATTCTGCATGCAGCTGCTCCTCCTCTAGCATTAGTTTGAGGAGCAGCAAATGGAGTGGTTAATTTTGGCACAGAAAAGGTAGGTTGTTGCAAAATAGAGTATCACTCGAATTTCACTTGATGCTGCTTCACATTTACCTACAGGAGACAAAGCTGTATTTCGAGCCAAAGTGAAAGGGAACCCCAAACCCAGTGTTGTCTGGAAAAGAGAAAGTGGGATACCAATCAAAGAAGGATCAAAGATGTTTTACGACAGCATCAATAAGGAATATGTCCTTAAGGTAATAAGAGTTGCTTTGAAAATCCATTTTCTTACTATAACCTACTTCTCTGAAGTGTAGAGAGGGAAGAATCTTCTGGATTTCGATTTCTCTCATATTTTGCTTTTCCAGTCTTCCGTTCCAATCTTTCCATTTCTGCATCAGCTTGCAATTTTTTAAAAGAATGAAAATTTGTATGCATTGTCCATGCACATTTCCCCAAATATTTCCATTCTGTACACAAAGCTGCATTTTTGCAAACCATTTCCTCCTTATATAATGCATTTTTGCACCGTATGTTTATCTGCACACTTTCCCCAATATATGTATTTTTGTACTCTGTTTTTTGCTGGTGAGCTGCGTCACAAAATTTGGAGAGGTGCAACTTTTGAAGGTTAGCTGTGTTTTGTTTCACATATTGGCCCAGGAAGTGTGAATTAGGTGGGCTCATGTTAAAAAGTGAACTGAAATGAATTTCTGCTCTACATGAAGCTGAATGCAGTATTTTTCAACAGCCATATTCAGCGTTGTAGTTTGAAATACTCATACTCTTGTTGGGCCATCAGCTGTGGTAACAGAGAATCACATTTATTAAGCTGTTCTTCTATGAAGGAAAAACATGCACAGAGCCTTTGAAATGACTTATTGGCTCATGTGATGTCATTATAGGGAGAGGAAGTCAAAGAGAAGAGCTAAAATCTCTCCAAAGAGCTCTCTTCAGTCTTCTTGCTAGTTCATCCCTGAGAAGTGGCTCCAGACAAGTATGGAGCCAAGGCCAGGAGTGAGAAATCTGTGATTCTCTATATATTGTTGGATTGCAACTCCCATCTGCCTCAGCCAGCATGGCCAATCACCAGAGATGATGGGAGTTACAGTTTGACAACATCTGGAGAACCATGTGTGAGAATAGCCCTTTCTGGAGAAGCCCTATCTTTAGCAAGAGGCAATTGATGCAAATAAGCATCAATTAGGGACGCAGGTGGTGCTGTGGGTAAAACCTCAGTGCCTAGGACTTGCTGATCGCAAGGTCGGCGGTTCGAATCCCCGCAGTGGGGTGAGCGCCCGTCGTTCGGTCCCAGCTCCTGCCCACCTAGCAGTTCGAAAGCACCCCTAAGTGCAAGTAGATAAATAGGTACCGCTTTATAGCGGGAAGGTAAACGGCGTTTCCGTGTGCTGCGCTGGTGCTGGCTCGCCAGATGCCGCTTAGTCACGCTGGCCACATGACCCGGAAGTGTCTCCGGACAGCGCTGGCTCCCGGCCTCTTGAGCGAGATGAGCACTCAACCCTAAAGTTGGACACGACTGGCCCGTAGGGGCAGGGGTACCTTTACCTTAAGCATGAAATTGACTCCAGATGCCTCAGTGTTTAAGGAGAGAGTTATGCCGGTTGTGTAAAGTCTGCAAGTGCCCCTCACTGCCTGTTTTGTCTGGGTGCCGTGTCTTCTTTGCAGATGGAAAACCTCCATGCAGATGATGCAGACAATTACAAGTGTGTTGTTTCCAATGACCATGCTGACCTCATCTGTACTGTGTCCTTGACTATCAGTGAAAGTAAGTACCAAACACATACCTAATCTGAGTTCATAGGGGAGAGACACCACATTATAGGGGGGAAAGAAAGGCCCTTGGAACTTTTACCAAAGTGGAATATGGAATGAGGAAATGAAAGCCCTTTGATAAATATGTAATAAGATATACAGGTGGGTCTCCTAAGCTACGCTGTAAACTGGTTCCTTGTTCCTAATTTATTTATTTATATTTATTAAATTTATATACCACCCTGTACCTGCAGGTCTAAGAGCAATACATAGGATAAAATCAGAATATAAAACCACAAAATATATGATCAAAATAAAAGCAAAACCAACCCAATTATCCCCCCCCCCATTTTAATAGGGTATAGGATGTCAGTCAACCAAAGGCCTGGTTAAAGAGGGATGTTTTTGCCTGGCGCCTAAAGGTGTATAATGAAGGTGCCAGGTGAACTTCCCTGGGGACAGCATTCCACAGATGGGGAGCCACTGTGGAAAATGCCCGTTCTCGTGTTGCCACCCTCCAGACCTCTGGTGGAGGAGGCACACGAAGAAGAGCCTGAGAAGATGATCTCAGGGTCTGGGTAGGTTCCTATGGAAAGAGGCGGTCCTTGAGGTATTGCAGTCCTGAGCCATTTAAAGCTTTATAGGTCAAAACTAGCACTTTAAATTAGGCCCAGAAACTAATTGGTAGCCAGTGCAGTCGAACCAGGATGGGTGTAATCAAACTGTATTGACCTGGTGAGCAACCAGGCTGAATTCTGCAGCAGCTGAAATTTCTGAACCATCTTCAGAGGCAGCTCTACGTATAACTCATTGCAGTAATCTAACCTTGAGGTTACCAGAGCATCGACAACAGTAGTTAGGCTATCCCTGTCCAGATAGGAGCGTAGCTGGTCCACCAGCCAAAGCTAGTGGAAGGCACTCCACGCCACTGAGACCACCTGAGCCTCAAGTGACAACAAAGGATCCAGGAGTACCCTGAAGCTATGAACCTGCTCCTTCAGAGGAAGTGTAACCCTATCAAGAACAGGCAATCTCCTACCCATCTGGTCTAGGAAACCACCCACTAACAGTGCCTCAGTCTTATCTGGATTGAGCTTCAGTTTGTTGGCCCTCATCTAGTCCATTATTGAGGCAAGAAACCAGTCCAGCATTCCCACTGCCTCACCTGCAACTGTAAAGGAGAAATAAAGCTGAGTGTCATCGACATACTACTGACAACATACTCCAAACCTCTGGATAACCCCACCCAACGGTTTCATGTAGATGTTAAACAGCATAGGGGTTAGGATCGAGCCCTGCGGAACCCCACATTGAAGGCTCCATGGGGCTGAAAAGCATACCCTAAGCAACACCCTCTGTGAACAACCATCCAAGTACGACTGGAACCACCGCAAAGCAGTCTGTCTCTCTCTCCCCCCCCCTCCAGTTCGGACAGCCACACCAGAAGGATACCATGGTCGATGGTATCGAAAACTGCTGGGAGGTTGAGGAAAATTAACAGGGACATGTTTCCCTTGTCTCTCGACAGAGGTCATCATACAGGGTGACCAAAGCAGTTTCTGTGCCAAAACCAGGCCTAAACCCCAACTGAAATAGATCTAGAAAATCAGTTTCTTCCAAAAGCACTTGGATCTGGTCCACGACTACTCGCTCCAGAACCTTAACTGTATGCACTAACTCTCTTCTTTTAATTTTCTTTCACTATTTTTGAACCAAAAGGTGAAGAAAAGCTGGATTTCAAAAAAATGTTGAAGAAAAGGTGAGATGCTCTCCCCCCACCCCACCCCCCAATACACCTGTGGTCAGTTTCCAGATCTTTCCCCTGTGTGGGTTACAAAGAGGACCAGCCCAAGGAGTTTTGCTGCCTGAAGTAAAGGGCAAGAAGTTTCCTCCTCCCACTCCTGTTCCATGTACAAACGCTCAGCAGACTGCTGAATCTTATCTCAGCATCCTCCATTGCATCCCAAGGGCAGTGGCCTAGATTTGTGGATGCAGGATAGGCTGCATAGCACATGCACATCCACTCTCTGCCTCAATATTTGCCTCCTGAGGCAGCTATCTCACTTTGCCTCATGGTAGGGCTGGCCCTGGTTACAACATCATTGTGGGTTGGTTGGTTGGTTGGTTGGTTGGTTGGTTGGTTGGTTGGTTGCTGGGCTGGTGGCCAAGCAAGAAGCAGTATGAGCACTGCTCTTGCAGGAGTAAAAGGCCATGGCAATGAGAGGCCAGAGCATAGCTGTCCCTGTGGATTGCAAACCATGTAGGGGTCATTTTTTCTGTTTGTTCGCTTTAAACTTTTTATGCCACTTCTCTAACATACTCCTATCTTCCACTGCCTCCCGCAGTTTTTTGACCAAACTGCAGGAGGCAGTGGAAGACAGGAGTGCCTGGTGTTCTCTGGTCCATGGGGTCACAAAGAGTCGGACACGACTAAACAACAACAACAATTATGAGTGGTGCAGGGAGGGAGAAGGAGTCCCAAAGTAGCTGTTCCATTGTCTCTGTCTCAGACCATGGGTGGGGAGTGGCCTGTCAGCCAGAAAACACAGTGAGCAGCCAAATCTGAGCCAAGAAACAATCTGTTACGTTTCCTCAGGGAGCTCAGTGGGGAAGTAGCCCAACCACATAGATCAGAATGTTCTCTGGGAGAAGAAGAAAAACATACCCATGGATAAAGGAAAATAGTTTGGGAAAGATTTGTCTTAAGACCTTCAAGCTGGTTTAACTATCCTGGTTTCCCTCTCAAGAGCCCTGGGATTTATAGTTTTGCAAAGACCCTGATGATTTTCTGTTAGAAGTAGATGAATAAATGCCACATGACTGCCACATGACCTGTTTTGTGTGTGTACACACAGGGGGCCTCCGGCTCAAAAGAAAAAAGAGAAGAGGGTGGTTAATGAGAAAGAAATGCTGGAGATTCTCTCCAAGGTGCCCAAGAAGGACTTTGAGAAGGTCTGCATGGAATATGGCTTCACAGATTTCCGAGGACTTCTTAAAAAGCTGAAGGAGATGAAGAAAAAAGTAGAAGTTGAGGTTAGTGATGCTTTTGGACACTGAAATGACATTCCATCTCTGCCCCAATGTATATCATAAAGAAGTCTTCTGTTTCAATTTGGCTGCAGTTATTTTATTCAGGTGTGTGTTGTCTTATCTATATGTCATGGGGGAAAATAGTGGATGAAAGAAAAGTGGAATTCAGTCTTTGGGCATTAAAAAAAGAAAATAGTAATAATAACAGTGAGTGTGTGTGTGTGTGTGTGTGTGTGTGTGTGTTTTAATCCTACCTCTTGAAAAATATTGCCATGATACACTTGTGAGCAAAGTTTGTTGATGCAAAAACAAAAGATTGGGTCCAGTGGTGCCCTTCCATGATCAGAAAAATCTTTGAGTCAGTGAAGTCTTCTGAAAACAGAAGTTGGGATGAGGGTGTCAATCTTGACTTATTTCCACTTCCACCCCACACTGTTCCAGAGGGTGGACCAAACCCCCAGAGCAGATTTCAGAGGGTGGAGTGGGGAAAAAGAGCCAAAAGTACCTTCACAGAACTATGTATCCAGTTTGAAGAGTCCTGTTCCATTTAATGACTAACTACTTTTGGGTGGCATAAGCCTTGGTATATTTGTGATACTTTATGATGCCACAGAACTCTTGGCTCTACTTCCTAAACATGCAAACACAAACCTCCACACTGTTGGTATATGTGAAACTGAAACTAGTAGTCATTCCTTATCTATGCAGTGTAACGTAAACAGTCTAGAACAAGGGTCAGCAAACTTTTTCAGCAGGGGCCGGTCCACTGTCCCTCAGACCTTGTGCAGGGCCGGACTATATTGGGGGGGAGGGAAATGAATGAATTCCTATGCCCCACAACTAATCCAGAGATGCATTTTAAAGCACACATTCTACTCATGTAAAAACACCAGGCAGGTCCCACAAATAACCCAGAGGTGCATTTTAAATAAAAGGACACATTCTACTCATGTAAAAACATGCTGATTTCCAGGCCATCCGTGGGCCGGATTTATAAGGCGGTTAGGCCGGATCCGGCCCCCGGGCCTTAGTTTGCCTACCCATTGTCTAGAATAAAGTGGCTTCAAAGTCAGGAGCATGAGGTAATGTTCATGCGCAGAGGCTGGGAGAAAGATATGTGTTTGTTCATTTTCTGTAGGAATATTCAGGGAGGCAGGAGAGGATATATTGTTTATTAATATCCTTCCTAACTTGTGTTAGCAAGTTCCTTTACTTAGCAGAGTTTACATTCCCCTTTTACAGGCACAGCAGATAGCTGGTTGCAGGCCTGTGTAAGCCTCTCACTATCATACAATTCAGTATTGAATTGTATGTTCCTGGTAAATTCCCTTTTATCCCTCTTAAAAGAATAAAGACACAACACTCTTATTTAAAGTCAGTAAAATACATTTACTCACATCAGTTCACAGTTGGATCCCTGAAGGCAGACTTAGTTACAAATATGTACATATTGGAGAATAATCCCAGTGACTGCAAGCTAGCAGTCACTGCAGTTCACACAACGAAAGGAAGATGGAAAAGAGAGAGTGTGGCAGCATGCCTTGTCCTTTTGTTACCTGGACAGGTAAGGTCACGCCCACCTCTAGTCACATGCAAAAGGAAGTATGCTCCAGCCCAGGAGGAATAAAGAAGTTTGGACTGGCTGGGCCAAACATCCCCTTGCATTTCCACTCTAGGAAAACAAGGAATGTTGTACTTGACTGCTCTCAGTGGATTACATCCCACATTTTCTCTCTCTGCTCTTCTCCCTGCTGGGAGGGGGAGAACCATATCCAGATGCAAACTGTCCTAGCAGCATGCTAGTGACTGATTTATGGGCTACTGGTGAACAGAACCGTTAAGCTGTAAACCGGCAATAAACCTTACTGCCTGAACCGTGGGTGTGAAGTGAGTTTATTGCATCGGTGATTGTCTCCACAAAAGGCTTGACAACACTGTGCTGAGTGGAGTACGCAGAGGAGCATGCTGGACACGTTGTGGGTTGGAAAAGATACAAATATTCAACACACACAAACAAAATGAATAATTGGCCACAACAAGAGAGCATTGTAACGAACAGAATTCAAAGTTGAGTTAAACAGCGGCTAAAGGGTAGAAGCAGAAGGTATCAGCAATCCTATTTACTAATGAAAATTGGACTTTTAAGAAGAATGCTAAAATATTTTTTGTTATCTTTATTTATTAAATTTGTATACTGCCCTATACCTGCAGGTCTCAGGGCAGTTACAGCATAAAAACATAGAATCCATAATAATAATAAAAATAAGGTTAGGGCATAGGAAATCATTTGGAATTGTGATTCATTCTCTTTTTTAAAAAGAAATTATTAAAGATTTTCTTTGGTTAATTTCTATTCAGGCCGTAAAAATTCTGAAGCCTCTGGAGGATGTTTCTGCTAAGGTGGACTCTACAGCAGTATTTGATTGCATTTTAGAACTGAGGGATGCCAATACAAAGAGGACGTGGATCAAGGTAGGGAAACACCTTTCTTTATATTGGCTGAAACAAAGGAAGGCGGTGTGTGAGATTTTCAGAATAATGAATGGAGGGGTATCTGTCATAGGTTTTCCTCTAAAGCTGCCTTTTTGGCTAGCTACTTCTATAAGCCATTTAATTCAATGCAATTCATTTTATATTCCAAGAGAGAAAATAAGGGTTGTTAATTTAGCCACACTGTAACGTATGCCAAAAGGAAATTGCATACATTTCTTTTCCTAATCCTCATTTACCTACCAATATGCCAGCTATGGCATACTTCCAATAATTTTATAACATCACTATGATGTTCAGTTGAATCCATGCATTCATGAATACATGTTGACTGCTTTGTAGCATTGTTTTCCCATTGTTATGGTTGCAGCCAGTTCTTGAATGTATAGTTATCACTTAATGACTGGCATGTGTACATAAATGTCACAAATAGTAGGCCCCTCCATATATCTTTTTAATTGTGCATTCATGATGATGTGTTCCTATGATACTATTGACACTGTCACATATGATTCCATTATTATTATTATTATTAGTAGTAGTAGTAGTAGTAGTTTCATTTATATACCGCTTTATATTTTTAAGGGAAAAAATCTCAAAGTGATTTACAACCAACATTAAAACATCAAATAAAACAATCTAGAATAAAACATAGAATAATATCAAATATAAAGCGCTAAAAAATAGTCCAGTAGCACCTTAAGGTAAAGGTAAAGGGACCCCTGACGGTTTGGTCCAGTCGCAGACGACTCTGGGGTTGTGGCACTCAACTCGCTTTACTGGCTGAGGGAGCCGGCATACAGCTTCTGGTTCATGTGGCCAGCATAACTAAGCTGCTTTCTGGCGAACCCAGAGCAGCGCACGGAAACGCTGTTTACCTTCCTGCCGGAGCAGTACCTATTTATCTACTTGCACTTCGACGTGCTTTCAAACTGCTGGGTTGGCAAGAGCAGGGACCGAGCAACGGGAGTTCACCCCATTGTGGGGATTCAAACCGCCAACCTTCTGAGGGTCAGTGTGGTGTAGTGATTAAGAGCAGTGGACTCGTAATCTGGGGAACCGGCTTTGCATCCCCGTTCCTCCACATGCAGCTGCTGGGTTGACCTTGGGCTAATCACACTTCTTTGAGGTCTCTCAGCCCCACTCACCTCACAGAGTTTTTGTTGTGGGGGAGGAAGGGAAAGGAGATTGTTAGCTGCTTTGAGACTCCTTAGGGTAGTGATAAAGCGGGATATCAAATCCAAACTCCTCCTCTTCTTCTTCTTCTTCTTCTTCTTCTGATTGGCAAGCCCTAGGCTCTGTGGTTTAACCCACAGCGCCACCACCTTAGAGACCAACTAAGTTTGTTCTGGGTATATGCTTTCGTGTGCATGCACATTTCTTCAGATATTCTTCAAATATAACGTATACATTCAAAGCAACATAATTGATAGGAAACTAATATACTGTGATGGGATTATGAGCTGCTTGTGCGTAAAATCGTATTCCCTCAGAGTTTGTTCAAGTCCACAAACCTCTGTCTGTGACTGAGCCCCTCTGACATGGCTCCTCTTAGTCACTAGAAGATTCCGACAGTGGTTGCTTTCGTGATCGCTTCCAACATAAAAGCTCCTTAACGGAAACACGTCTTCTGGACTCTCTGCGTGACAGTTTCCGGCGAGGAGTGGGTGTCGCTACAGGAGGTCCGGAAACCTCACCACTGTTTTCGCTGGAAGTATCTCTGAGCCATCCCCCCAGCTCCCTTTCCCTCAGTTCAGCTTGTCCCCCCCTGCTGGTTTCCTCTTCCGCTGCTGAGTCTCTTCCAACCTGTCTGAGCCCTTTCACCTCCCTCAGTTCAGCTTCTCTCACCTTGCTGGTTCCCTCTTCAGCTGCTGAATCTCTTCCAACCTGTCTGAGTCCTTTCACCTCCCTTCCTTCCGATGGCAGTTCCCTGACATCCACCTCCCCCTCCAGGGCCCCCTTCACCCCCTCTCGCCCCCTCCTCTACGGGCGGTGAGGAGGCAAAACCCCGGAATGAACGTCCTTCATCTTCCGATGTCTCGAACACTTCTCTCCACCTGTTGCGGTTCCTGGTCTCGAAGCACTCCTCCTCCTCCGAGTCCATCTCCCCTTCCCCTTCCGATTCTGGGAATCCTTCCAACTCCTCCTCCTCCTCAGTGGTCCCAAAGTATTCCCTCCGGAACCTCTCCACAGGCTGAGGTTTCCGCGGGAACCTTTGATGGAACATTTCTATCAATACCTCGTCATTGATATCTTTGGCCATTACCCACGTGTTTTCTGACTCCGGTTCTCCTTCCCACGCTACCAAATACTCCACCTGATTCCCCTTCCACCTGGCATCAAGGATTTCTGCCACATGACTGCTGCATTCTCTTTCTTCTATGACCGGTCCCAGTGTCCATCCCTTCTCGTCCCCCCTCGTACGGTGACAGTAACGACCTGTGAAATACTGGGTGCAGTTTCATGTGGTTGGGTAACCGGAGCCTGAAAGCCACTGGGTTGACCTGTTGAATGACCTCAAAGGGACCCAACCTCCTGGGTCGTAATTTCTTACAACCTCCTTTGAACGGCACCCCTCGGGTTGACAGCCACACCCTATCTCCAACCCTTATGGTTTCACCTTCCCTTCGGTTCTTGTCTGCCTGCCTCTTGTATTCTTCCTTCGCCCTTTCTAAGTTGAGTTGGAGCTGACGGTGGATTGCTTCCATTTCTTCTACAAAATGCTCGGCTGCCGGTGCGCTCCATCTCTCCCCTTCTCCCCTGGGAAAGCCCTGGGATGACACCCATAATTAGCCAAGAAGGGGCTCATCCCTGTGGACACATTCTCGGCATTGTTGTAGGCAAATTCCGCCAGCGCCAACTTTTCTACCCAGTCATTCTCTCTGTCATTGACATAACACCTCAGGTATTGCTGGAGGACACCGTTTGCTCTTTCCGCCTGCCCGTTGGTTTCAGGGTGCCGGGCAGTCGAAAAGTTGACCTCCACCTGCAGTAAGCTCATGAGCTTCCTCCAGAACCTGGAAGTAAATTGTTTTCCTCGGTCTGAGACCACCCTCAATGGCACCCCGTGCAACCTAAAAATGTGTTCTACAAATAACTCGCTGTCTCTTCCGCCGTGACTGCATGCGAGCAAGCTACAAAGTGGCACATCTTTGTTAGTAGGTCTACCACCACCATGATGGCTGTTTTCCCTTTGGACTTCGGCAGATCAGTCATAAAATCTATCGACACTGCCTCCCAAGGTCGTTCTGGTGTTGGTAAGGGTTCTAATAGCCCCGCCGGCGCCCGCCTTTCCCCTTTGGCTCGCTGGCACTGCTCGCACCCTCTTACATACTCACGTACATCCTCCCTCACCTTAGGCCACCAAAATTCCCTGGTGACCAACCACATGGTTTTGTGTTGCCCAAAATGCCCCGCCGTGGGGCTGTCATGCAACTGCTTGAGTACCCTCCCCCTTAAGTCTCCTTCAGGGATATACAGTGCCCCTTTGTAATACAAAGCTCCATTTCTTTCCTCGAAACCCCTTGATTCCTCTCCCTCATCCCTAAGACCTCTGAGCTTATTCTGGGCGTATTCATCATTCTCTGTTTCTTCTACCAGTTCTCTTTGTCCCACCAATGCCGCCCCACACACCCAGCGGTCCTCTGGAATGACATGTCTCTCTTCGGGTGCTCCCTCCCCCTCCCAATATTCAGGTTTGCGTGAGAGAGCGTCCGCCCTAATGTTCTCTGGGCCTGGCACGTAACAAATCTCAAAGTTAAATTTGGAGAATTCCTGGGCCCATCTCACTTGCCGTTGGTTGAGCACTCGTGCCGTCCTCCAATACTCTAGGTTCTTGTGGTCAGTGCACACTTGCACCTTATGTTGTGCGCCAATTAGCAGGTGCCTCCATCTCCGGAACGCCTCATGAATGGCTAGTAGTTCTCGGTCATACACCGTGTAGTTCCTCTCGGATTTGTTCAGCTTTCGCGAAAAAAAGCACACGGTCTCCACTCTGACTCCTCCTTCCCTGGCTGGAGAAGCACCGCCCCAACCGCTCTGTCTGATGCGTCAGTTTCCACTCTCATCGGTTTTTGTAAATCCACATGCAGGAGCTGTTGTTCCGAGGCGAAGGCCCTTTAGTTCCTCAAATGCTTGCTCCGCCTCCTCCGTCCAAACGAACTTCTTCTTACTGCTGAGACAGTCCGTAATGGGCGCCGTCAGGTGGGCAAAGTTTGGGATGAACTTACGATAGAAGTTCCCAAACCCTAAAAACCTCTGCACATCCTTCCTTGTTTTGGGTGTTTTCCATTCCAGTACCGCCTGGACCTTGCCGGGATCCATGGCCAGCCCCTTGTCAGACAGGCGATACCCCAGGAATTCCACCTCCTTGGTATGAAACTGACACTTCTCCAGTTTCACCCACAGCTGGTTGGCTTGCAGCCTGCTCAACACTTCTCTGACGTCTCTCACATGCTGCTCCTCATTCTCAGAATACACCAACACGTCGTCTAAGAAGGCCACACAATTCTTGTAAAGCAACGGCCCCAGGACGTGGTTCATAAACGATTGAAATGTTGCGGAGCCTGCTTGTAGACCGAAGGGCATAACTAAGTATTCAAATGCCCCTAAAGGGGTGAACATGGTGGTTTTCCATTCATCCCCCTTCCTTATTCGTATCAGGTTGTACGCCCCCTTAGATCCAGCTTGGTGAAAATCTTTCCCTTTCGCACCCTTGTCAAAATGTCGTCAATCCTGGGCATCGGGAAGGCCACTGGTTCTGACACTGCATTTAAGGCCCTGAAGTCACACACCAGTCTCGGCTTGTTCGTGTTTTTGTCCACAAAAACACTGGGCTGCCCCACCGCCCTGGACTCTCTGATGAACCCTCTCTTCAGGTTCTTGTCAATGAACTCTCTTAGCTCCTGCATCTCTCTGTCTGACATGGCGTACAGCTTGCCCACAGGGAGCTGTGCCCCAGGGAGCAAATTGATTTGACAGTCAAAGGCTCTATGCGGTGGTAGTTGGTCAGCTTCCCTTTCGCTGAAGACGTCGCGGAGATCTGCGTATTGTCGTGGTACCTTCACGTTCTCCTTCACTTCAGTCCCTGCTAGGGTGGCTTGGGCCCCTGCCAAAACCTTTCCCTCTTTGCAATGTTCTAAGCAATGTGCTGACCCAAAAGAAACCACTCTCTGATGCCAGCCCACCAGCGGATCATGTAACGCTAGCCAGCTCATCCCCAATATAATGGGAGCTCCTCCCAAGGTGGCCACATTAAAAGCTATCAGTTCAGTGTGCCTTGCCACCTTCATTATCATTGGGACGGTCTGCAAGCTGACTTCTCCTCCCAACAGCTCCCTGCCATCGATCGTGGTTACCTGCAGGGGGTTGCTTAAAGGAGCGTCTGTATCTGGTGTTCAGCTGCAAACTCTTTGCTCATGAAATTGCAGGAGCTGCCTGAGTCCAACAGCGCCTTTATCTTTAGAGGGTGTCCGTTTGGGAGCTCTAGTGTCACTTCTATCACTAGGGCGGGTTTAGGAGGTTCTGGAGTGGGCACTTTCACTGCTCTTTGGCCTGGCTGCTGTGCCCCGACAATGGCAGCCAGGCGTTGGCTTTTAGTTGCTCCGGTATTTTTTCCTCTCTTCCCTCCACAGCTCCCACCATCCCTTGCCATTCCTTCCTCTGAGGGCAGACTCTGGCAAAGTGCCCTGGCTGTTGGCAGAGATAGCATTTCCGGGCGCCTTTTCCATGCTGCTTTGCGGCCCTCACTGGGCTTTGAAACTGCGCGCGCGCGCGCTGTTCCGATTTCCATCGGCTCTGCCGGCGGGACAGTTGGCTCTGGAATGTCTGGAATGCGGAACTCCTTCCAACGTTCCCCTTTCCCTTCCCGCCTCTCCAATGCTCTCGCCTCCTGGCGCGCTCCTATGGCCAGCGCTGATTTGGTCAGCTGGTCCATAGACTCCGCCCTGGGCGCCCGGGAAAGTTCATCTTTCACAGCCGAAGAAAGCCCTTCTTCAAAGAGCATTTGAATGGGTTCCGCCGATAAGTCCCACCCCAATCTGTGTATCAGCATGGTGAACTCAGTCCAGTACTCACGTACAGATCGGCTCCCCTGTTTGCAAGCCATTAACTGTCTGCGCACCACTCCCTTTTCAATATCGCTGGAAAACATCAGATCCATGGCGCGAAAGAACTTCATCGTGTCTTTTAAGACGTCACTATTCGCTGCCATCAGGGGTCTAACCCAGTCTCTCGCCCCCTTTTCAAGATGCCCAATCACAAAAGCCACTCGTGATTCCTCATCAGGGAATCATCAAACTGCAGATTGAGGGCATATTGCATTTCTGTCCGTAAGCTATGAGAGTCTTTGGGCTCCCCCAAATTTTGCACCAATCCTGGTACCTTTCTGGCGAGCTGGGTGGCTTTCTCCCTTTGTCTGCATCTTGAGCCCTCCTCTCCTCCAGCCTCGCCGTCTGCAGCGCCAGCTGGACCTCTAACACCCGGTACCTTTCTTCCAGGCTTGGACCCGCTCCAGCCCCTGCTTCTCCGGTTCCTGCTGGGTTGCTCATTATTATGCCGTCTCCTGCACAAGCTGCGTTCAAAGACTGTCGGAATGCTGTGATGGGATTATGAGCTGCTTGTGCGTAAAATCGTATTCCCTCAGAGTTTGTTCAAGTCCACAAACCTCTGTCTGTGACTGAGCCCCTCTGACATGGCTCCTCTTAGTCACTAGAAGATTCCGACAGTGGTTGCTTTCGTAATCGCTTCCAACATAAAAGCTCCTTAACGGAAACACGTCTTCTGGACTCTCTGCGTGACAGTTTCCGGCGAGGAGTGGGTGTCGCTACAGGAGGTCCGGAAACCTCACCACTGTTTTCGCTGGAAGTATCTCTGAGCCATCCCCCCAGCTCCCTTTCCCTCAGTTCAGCTTGTCTCCCCCTGCTGGTTTCCTCTTCCGCTGCTGAGTCTCTTCCAACCTGTCTGAGCCCTTTCACCTCCCTCAGTTCAGCTTCTCTCCCCTTGCTGGTTCCCTCTTCAGCTGCTGAATCTCTTCCAACCTGTCTGAGTCCTTTCACCTCCCTTCCTTCCGATGGCAGTTCCCTGACATATACTATCTTAAAAAATTCAAAATAAAATATTACCAAAGGACGCCAAGTACAGAACGCACATTTAATATAGTGCCCAACCCATATTTGCATTATGGGTGCATGTAGCTTTTCACTTCATCATTCAAAGCTTTCCATATTTCCTTTTTCCAGGGTAATGAACCTTTGCGTCTTCAGTATTCCCTAGGAAAATACGAAGCAAAGCAGATGGGCACTAAGTATATGCTGTGCATCAGTAATGTGACTGAAGCCGACATGGGCACATACAGTTTTCAGGTGGGAGATAAGCATCTCTCTGCACGATTGAAAGTAATAGGTAAATCTGATCTTTAATTGCATAAGATAAATCATATGCTTATAGTGTGTACAAGTCACAGTAGTCTTTGTTATTTGTGTAGAGTTGCACTGATGAACTCAGGCTGAGAATCTGGCCTGTACTGTGGAGACATCTCTGTGGTTGAGCACACATATAAGCAAACAGTGAAGCCTCATCATGTTTTTTTAACAGATGAACCCCTGAAGTTTTTGGCAGACCTGAAACCTTTGACAGTAACAGAGCGGCAGACTGCTGTGTTTGAGATCCGCCTTTCCAAAAAGGTGCCCAACTTTGCTTGGAAGTTTAATGGGAGAGAGCTGAAGCGTGATGACAAGTATGAGATCATCTCGTCAGAGGATGGCTTAACTCACACACTGAAAATTAAGGATGTCCGTCCAAGTGATGTGGGTGCTGTCACTTTCGAAGCTGGAGATCTCAGTACTAAGGCTGATCTTTCCATTCAGAGTAAGTGATGCTGAAACTGTATGTTAACTATTGCCCAAGGTATCCAATCTAAAAAAAAAACCAAAAACTGGAGTCAGTGCCTAAGTGCATCACATTTTTTGATTGCTGCAAAAAATTATTGTGCTTTCCTCTGCTGCCATCGTCTTGGATTCCTGTTCTAGTATTATGGCTAAAATACTAAATAGCCTATTGGCTTTACTGATTCATCTTAATTAAATTCAATCTAAAATGTGAAAGCAAGGACTTGAAGGGATTTTTGCTATGGAAAAGAAGAATGTTCTGTTAACAGTCCTGTTTGGTGGTTTGAAGAAAAATGGCCGATGGGGGTAGTGGGGAGGCTAAATCATTTGTACAACCCAGATTTGATTTGTTCTAACATATGATGGAATTGTCACTGTGTTGGCTGGGCTGGTTCCCACATCACTTTAATCCACACTTTAGCTTAACTATAGTTTAAAGGTCAATGTGTAACATGTTGGTGCATGGAACTAAAATCATGGCTGCTTCATTCCCTCACCCCATCCTCCTCCTGTTGCTGCCATGCTGCTGGGGACAAAGCCATGGTCTGGCTTAGTGCTGCATCCAAGGCTGGGCTCATGGTTTGAGTCCCCCAGGCAAAGAGCAAATGGTAAGCCAAGAACAAAGGTCGGTTACAGCTCCTGGTTTGTTTGGAGCCCAGGCTTTGTAAATACCCTACTGTTAGAAATATGGTATTTTTAGACTGAAATCAGTTTGAGTTTTCATCCTCTTTTTTTGGTGAGAATGGTACCTCCACAGAGTACATTCACAAAGTTCCAGGCTTTGGTTATCTCTCCTTTAGCTTACTTAGCCCCCTATCAACACACTGTTGTTGGCCTTGACTTCCCGAAATCTGGTTTGCTTCCTGTCGAACTCCATACAGTCCAGTTTCTATCTCCTCTTTCCTCTCAAGGAACACCAATTAAGTTCGTCAGAAACTTGAAGAATGTTCGAGTCAAGGAGAAGGGCAAAGCTTGCTTGGAATGCGAGCTGACCACTAAAGATGTTACCTTGAAGTGGCTGAGGAATGGACAGGTGATTGCAAGGACTAACAAGCATAGCATGACCCATGAAGGGAAGACGGCAGAGCTGATCATTGATGATTGTCAGTTTGGTGACTCAGGAGACTACATGGTGGTTGCCACGCAAGAAAATGACCCCACAGAGTACTACAGCACCTGTGTTGTTACTGTAGAAGGTAAGGGTGGCCAGAGAGTTTAGTAAAACAAGTTTCAGCAGCACTGTCAGATGGCATCACATGGTTTTTGAACTCAAGCCACACATGACTTCCATGTGATCGGGGTGCAAATCTACACCTTGTATTTTTCAGTTTGTAGACTTGAATTTAAAATGCTGCTGCACATGGATGTTAATAAGGACATGCTGTGCTTTTATCTCTCTTTATAAGCTGTTCTGAATCGGCCTTATTGTAATGTTGCTTTACTCTTTTATTGCAAGTTTGCAACCTGCCCTGAGATCATATGGTGAAGGGAAGGACATAAATTCTCTTGAAGTTAAAATAAAATGAACGGGGAAGTGAGCAACTGTTGAAGAAAACCTGGAGGAGCACTGCTGCAGCAGGGGCTGCTCCTTCTGGCTTTAAAGACCCATGAGAATGGAACTTTGCATCTCTGGGTGTGGAAGCACAGAAGCACACATACTCGGCAGCTTGCAGATTCTAGACAAAAGTTTCCAGGCTGATCTGATGTGGTGGGGGGTGCAAGTGCCCCTACAACAAGAAGGGGAGAGTGCTGTAGCTCAGCAGTAAAGCAAAGCATCTGCTTTGCATGCAGGAGGTCTCATGCTCAATCCCCAGCATCTCCAGGTAGGGCTGGGAATATCCCCTGCCTGAAACTCTGGAGGGCTGCTGCCAGCCAGTGTAGAGAATACTGGGTTAGATGGACCAAGGGTCCGACTTCGTATTAGGCAGCTTCCTATATTTGTTTGTTCCTAAGGAATAGTTAGGGACGCGGGCGGTGCTGTGGGTTAAACCACTGAGCCTAGGGCTTGCCGATCAGAAGGTCGGCAGTTTGAATCCCCGTGACAGGGTGAGCTCCTGTTGCTCGGTCCCTGCTCCTGCCAACCTAGCAGTTCGAAAGCACGTCAAAGTGCAAGTAGATAAATAGGTACCGCTCCGGCGGGAAGGTAAACAGCGTTTCGGTGCGCTGCTCTGGTTCGCCAGAAGCGGCTTAGTCATGCTGGCCACATGACCTGGAAGCTGTACGCCAGCTCCCTCGGCCAGTAAAGCGAGATGAGCGCCGCAACCCCAGAATTGGTCACGACTGGACCTAATGATCAGGGGTCCCTTTACCTAAGGAATAGTTAGCTAACAAAATCTGCAACAAGTGTTCTTGCTTATCTTGTTTGGCATTATCTGCTCAGCATCGTTCCCTGCTTGCTGTAACTGAGGGTGTTCCCTCTCCCCTCAGAGAGATTTGCCACAGTAAAGAGTGGCTTATCAGATGTCCAGGCGCCAACAGGGGATCCAGTAGAGCTTTCTGTTGTCCTGAATGATGAGAAGGTGGAAGGCGTTTGGCTGAAGGATGGTAAAGAGGTATGTTTCTATGGTGTAAGCAGAGAGACTTGCACATCTGCCCCTGCACATCTACGCCAGTTAATTGATGTGACCGTTTGTAGAGCCACAGAAGAATTAGCAGCCATTTTCTCATTAACATATCAGTCATAGGAAGCTGGGAGTATGGAAGAGACCAAGGAAGCCAATCACAGTGTAGTCACTTCAGCATTTTCTCCTTGGACAGTGAACAAACTAAGGCTGGCCTTGCCAGTTGTAGACAATTGTTTTCTGTAGTCCGAACTGTCTTCCCTTCTGATATTTCTCATACAGGGATATTGCATTTTGTCAATAGTAGAAGTGCTATGTTTTATAAATAAAGTGACTACAGGTGGGATTCAACTACTGAGTCTTGTCAGTGGAAGTCCTGCAGAAGGTGCATTGGGGAGGAGAGGGGGGACGCCCCATTGTGCAGGCAACTTGCTTATGCAATGGGGCGTCCCCACCTCTCCTTCCCAATGCGCCCCCCTTGAAACTGACTCTGAGTGGTTGAGAGACAACTTGGGGAGGGAGCATTCTGTCTGGCAAGCCAAAATGCTTGTACTGATGGAATGATCAGAAGAATGCAATGCTGGATCCCTCCCTGTGACTACCTAGGAAAATGTGATTCTCCATCCTTGATGTCATTGCTTTATAGAATGTGATTGTGCAGGGGTCAATGCACCGACTGCCTATTCCCTCCCCTCCCGATGCCACAGCATATTGTGGCTCAAGGGAATTTTGAAAAACACGCTCTTGAGTCCCCTTCTGCTATGTCACACCCATGCTTACTTTACTTTCTTAAAAAGTGGCAAACACTAGCAATGCTTTCCTCTATAGCTGTGATAAACATTTGAATCTTCCGTCGTTGTTAGGTTTTATTTGGTTATTTGAAGGCTGTCCACTCTCCTTCTACCATGGTGGGGTACAGGTGTGTCCCTTTTTTAAAAAAGAAATGAAATGAAGACAACAATGGTAGAACAGCTATTGCGGCACAGCAAGTCCATGTGCATGCATACAGACACAAAAGCACGTCCCTTATATGTGGAGTCATAGCATAATAGAAGTGTAAAGGTCAAGCATCCATGACAGATGGCCATCCAATCTCTGCTTAAAAGGAAAAAGGCTTCCTTTAGAAGCTTTAGAACTTGACTCTTACCTATTAAACTAGCATGTGAGTTCCTGTTTGCCGTTTGAACTTTTAACAGGACCTTTCTTTTTAACCTTTCCTTTAGATTACAGATATGAGAGGAATCCAAATTGTCAAGCAAGGGGCTGTCCACAAGCTGATCATTGACAAGCTGGGAGAGGACACTGAAGGAAAGTACACATTCAGAGCAAAAGGGGCAGAGAGTGAGGCCACTGTCAGTATTGCAGGTACAGTACTCCTGTCCCTCCACCCCCACCCATGTAATTTCAGCTTGTCCGTTTCCTTTGACCACTCCCTCCTCCTGCCCTAGGCCTTAATTTCAGTAACACACAGGGCATCCTAGACATCAACCTGATGTCATGACCAGGGCTGTGAGTGTATTGCAGTTCTGCAAGTGTGTAGAAAGACCAAATGTAGTGGTTGACACAGAATTTAGCTTCCTGAGAATCTAGACTTGCATTTCTGAATCCAAGGGTTCAGGCACAGTTAACTCCACAAACCTTGATTAATTCTAACTTTTATTGGACCCAGGAATTTAGGGTGTTTCACACCCAAATCATATGTCTGTGTGTCTGTGTATGTATATGTACACATATCACATCTCTTCTGAGGCCACCTTAAACTTGGAATTCTATGGCTAATGGAATGTATGGCTTCAGGGACTTAAACTGTCGTTGGTGAAGACCATACAATGAGGCATAAAAGTGTATGAATGTTGCTAACGTGTCTTTTTGACTGCAGTTTTCAGACCTATTTTTCCATTCTCTCCCCAGATCCCCCTTTTATTGATCCATCTGTGCTGGAAGCTTTAGCTGCTCACCCAGTGACAGTGAAAGCAGGGCAGACAGCCAATATCAAAGTACCATTCAGGGCCAAGCCCCTGCCCAAAGTCACCTGGTTCAAGGATGGCATTGAGGTGACCGAAGAAGACAGAATAGAATTCGAAAGGACCAATGACCAAGCATTGCTCATAATCAAGAACTGTGTGAGGGAAGACAGCGGCGCTATCTTGCTGAGGCTGAAAAGCGATTGTGGAACAGCCACTGCTCAACTGCACCTCAATGTTATTGGTAGGTCCTGGGATGATCCTCTAGGGCAGTTCACAGTACAATCTGAAGTATATTTAGGCTATAATCCTAAACATATTTTCTCAGGAGGAAGTCCCATTGAGCTCAATGGGAGGTGCTTCCTAGTAAGTGTACTTAGGATTGTAGCGTTGATCATAGGGCTTAGTCCAAAGTAAGTATGTGTGTGATCACTCTTCGGTATCTTAAAGGGTAGACAAAATGTAAGGAACTGAATCTTCCTGCACTAAAAGGACAGTTGCCTGTCACATTCTGATCTTGTGTTCTTCTGCCTGGAAATAAAATCCTACTGTGTTCAGAGAGGCTTAGTCTCAAGTGTGTGTAGGACTGCAGCCTTAACTCTGCTTTTGCTGAGTTTCATTTTTGTCCATTATTTTAGAGGTAACCACACTCACTGTACCCATGCTTATTCTTCAGGAATTGGAAGCCCAGTTTCAGAAATTTGCTACAGTGTCATAGAACAGGTGACGGGACCTTGAGATGCGTTCCAGATTCCTAGTTTCTCAAGGATCATCAGGTGGCCGTTTTTTAGGACCATAGTTCTTTAGTTTCTGCTGGTAGATGAAATTAGTAAAGTGACTTAGGCTGCTTTGAATATGAGGCCAGGCTTGTCGAACACCTCTCAAGAAAGTCTTGATGAGTTCCAAACGGTTGTGACCATTGCCACTCTCTTTGCAATTTCTCTGTGTGCTTCAGACAAACCAAAACCACCACAAGGGAAAGTTGAATTCCTGGAGAAGACTGGGAAGTGTGTCAAAATGAAGTGGAAAGCACCCAAGGACAATGGGGGCAAGCAGGTGACCCACTTCATTATTGAGCGGAAGATGGTTGGGAAAAAATCCTGGACCAAGATTGGAGAGATTGACAGCAAACACACCACTTTTGCCACAGATAAGGTAGAAGAGGGAAAACCTTATCAGTTTCGGATCCTGGCAGTCAACTCTGAGGGTGTGAGTGAGCCGCTAGAGTCGGAAGAAATCTTTGCTGGGGATCCTATTGGTAAGTACCTGGCCTGATTCTGTTAGATAAGATTGCCATCTGGTTGCATGCTTAGAGCATTGAATAATGACGTTTGCCATTGTCCAGTGGGTTTTTTTTTAGGCTGGTGCTGGCCTTATCTTAAGATAAGGTAGGACATGAAGAGAATTAGTAAAACATTCTCTTATGAAGGCTCAATTCACAGGTTTCAGTTTTGGTCAAAATGCAAGTCATTGCATTTGTCAGGAAGGAATGTTTACCTGGGACAGAAATCATGTTGAGTTTTAGCATCTTAGCCAATTCATGGAGTTGATTTAACTTTAATCATGTGCCCCTTTATCTGCTTAATGCTATGTCTGGTCTGTATGTAATGGGATAGTATGTTCGGACTTATTGGGTAGAGATGGTCTTGCCTGAGTCACTTCGATTTCTAGAACTCCCCTTGGTGGGGGTAAGAACCCTTTTTTCAGCCTGAAAGCCTTATTGACAACTTTCTGGGGACTGTGTACCAGTGGTTGCCATGGCCAGAAGTAATGTACAGAAGTATAGGCACAGAGGCAAAAGCGGGAACAGTAGAAGTGACTCTTGCCTTGATTATAATTTCATAGAAAAGCAGCTAGGAAAGAAAAGGCTTCCACTGTAGTTCTGATTTCCTCTGTCCTCAAATTCTTTTCAGATCCCCCAGGTCAGGCATCTCAACCTCAAGTTACTGATGTTACCAAAGACGCGATTACTATTACCTGGAGTCCTCCAGCTAAAGATGGTGGCTCTCCAGTAATGGGGTATGTTGTGGAAAGGAGGAAGAAAGGCAGCAACCTTTGGGTCCCAGTGTCCAAAGAACTCATTCAAGGTCAGAAATTTATCCCAACTGACGCACACACACTGCTAAATATAATTACACACACACACAAAAATTGCAACTGTCAAGAATGTAAAGCAAGATGTGGTGTATTAGTCTCTAAAGAACAAAGTGTTTTAAAAAAATGGCCTTGCTCAGTCAGACCAAGATTCATGTAGTTCAGTATAAACACAAACTGGAGCACAATCTAGGGACTCAGAATACCTGTCTATTATGTTTATACTAAGTGCAAAGCACCTGCCAGTAGATACCACCTTCACCAAATACAGGCAGCGGCCATTGTAGGCATGTCCAAATGATGTGTCATTGTCAACATGCAGGTCCTTTTGGACCAGGAAGAGGGGAAAATGGGGGCATAATGGGGGGACACACTTATGCATGCTCCACTGAAGCACATGGGGGTCGGGAATGTAACCCCTCATACGAAATGGTCGTCTCCTGTGTATACATTTACTCTGTCCAATCACACTTCCATTTTTACAGATGGCTCACAGTTAACCATTTCGTCTTAACTTTCGAATGGTAACTGAGCCACACAATTGGTCTTGGAAACCACCTGACTGTTGATCTCACTACCTGATTTGTCCTCTGTTACCGAAAGAGGGCATGGCCTTTGTTAGCTCTTTTCCTCTTCTATTACCCATTTGGAAATCCAGAATGCATCTAAGCTAAATACAGACATGCAAACTAACTTAACGGCATTTGGGATGTTACTGAAGTGAAGAGGGCATTGTTCGTTTGCCAATGTTGTTGTTCTGCTTAATAAGCTGTCTTGGAGGTCCCTTGAAGCCAAGTGGCAGCATTAAAATAGTTGGGCGAATAAATACAGTGTACAATTACTGTGTTCCTGAAGTTGCTCCTGTTTTGTTTTGTTTATAATATGACTCTTCTGTGCACAACTGCTCTGTATTTCCTGCTTTTATTACCATTGCATTTGCTGCATGTCAGCTTGAAAGTCTGTGGTGGGGAAGTGCTCCAAGTGTGAAACTACTGCAGACTTCTCTTTGTCGATTGGAAGCTGTGTTTGTGGCCAGAAGGTGGCAGCAAAAAGCTGCAAGATGCCCCAGTTATATAAAATGAGAAACATCGTGTCTCCCTTGAGTCCTAAAGGGCGATGATCACTTGAACATTCTTCTGTCTGGAAAACGCCTCCTCTCTAGTAATTATGATACCTGTGTTCTTCTGCATTCTCTTTAGATACGAAATGCAAAGTGGATGGCTTATTGGAAGATACAGAATACGAGTTCCGTGTCATAGCTGTGAACCGAGCGGGGCCTGGGCAACCTAGCAGTGCTTCAAACTCAGTTGTGGCAAGAGATCCCATCAGTATGTCCCTAACATTGATCTGTTCCTAGTGTTCCATAAATACGTTTAAAAAACAAAAGGTTTGCTGTGCATGTAATGAAACAGGGTAGACCCCTGCAACAACCATTCCCTATCTGGTTGTTTGTTTCCATAACCAGTTTCAATAACAATTTCAGCAGGTAGCAAGGTGGCCCTTTTTCAAATAATACTGAGCAGGCACAGCTGCTGCTATTTGTTTATGAATTATTAGACCAACACATATCATGGATTAGGACCATGATCTTCCATGTATTATCTATTATACAGGTTCTCAAACCTAATTTCTGCCCGCTTGAAATGGCCGGTCATTACTGAAGCCTATGCATTTCAGAATGGTGGTTCATGGGCAGAGTCAGTCACAAAATGGTGGCAGACAGAGGCAGAGTTTGGTATATAATCAGTTGGCAATTACTGATAAGACTTTCTGCTGATATCTGATCCATCTTTGAAAATTGCTAAATTCTTCGCTATGGCGTTTTCATTGTGACAAGGAGTGTCACAGCTCAGCTTTCTGCAAGCTAAGTACAAGTATTTGCTCTGGTGGTATTGTGACTCAGTCTCATTATTTTGGGCAGAATTGGCTGATTCAGAGGCTGTAAGTGGAGACTTCTTGTTTTATGGTTTCCCTTCCCAACCTCGCATGTCTCAAAGTAATTTTTACCCATCTCCTGCAATTTCGTCTTCTATGTTCCTTTCACCCACCACAACCTACTGCCAGTTTCTTTCATCCCTCCTCCCTGGTCCTTTTACATTCAGTTCTGTCTTCTAAACAGGACTTCTTTTTCCTCGCTTTCCTTTCTTTTCCCTGATTATTATTATTATTAACCTTCTATGTCACTTTCCCATTTCCTTTAACACCTCCTCTGGCGCTTTCGTATCAGAGGAGGGAGGTTGACCTTCCTTCTCCCCACCCCCCGAACTTTTCTGTCTCCTAGCCACCTTTATTTATCATTGAAGGCCTAACCGGAGCTTGCCTTGGGCCAACCCAAAGACTATGGAACAGCTATGGGATGGGATAGGCAAGTGAGAAGGCATGGGGCAGGCCGGTTGTGGCACTGAGGCCCACCCAAAAGTGGCCCAAGGCCCACTGGTGGATCCCAACCCACTGTTTAAGAAAACACCGATCTGTTCCATAAAATTGTGCACACATTTGCTCAGACATGTTCTCTCATTTCCACAGTCACACATTCAGTCTAATCTACGCTGACCCCCCCAGTGCAATTTGGCTTGAAAAAAAGACTTCTCTTGGAGCCAATAGCCCATGCGCATGCACGCACCCACATGGATAGCCCTCATGAGATGGCCTATAACTTAAGAAGAAAATCCAATTGAGATATATCTGAATTTTAGAAAAGAAGAATCCAGAATTATTAAGGACGCACAAAGTCTCAGGAATCACCAGCATTGAAAAACATTGTGGGAAGGAAGGGGTTATTGTTTTTTCGTTTTTGTTTTAACTTCTTTCTTGTGTTTTAGCTTGGATTTTATCCTGTGAACCACCCTGAGATCTTGTGATGAAAGGTGGTATATAAATCTAATAAATAATTGTTACATAAATGCAGACAGCAACACATCATTAGTCTTTAAGGTGCCAAAGCATCCATTGCTCGCACTTGGAAGGGTGGGATTGAATGTTGCACCAGGGCAGAGCAAATGTGTTTAAAATGGTATATGCAGCTGTGCCTTTAAAGTGGATGTTTTGCTATTTCTCCCAGAGCCTCCTGGACTGGTGAGAGGTTTGCATGTAGCCGATTCTTCCAACTCCAGCATTTCCTTGGCCTGGCAGCAGCCAGAGGAAGGTGATCCGCCGTCAGGATACATCCTGGAGATGCGAGCTGAAGACACCAAGGAATGGTCCAAGTGTACCAAGATCCCAATTTCTGGCACCAACTATACAGTGGGAGGACTGCAGGAGAGGCAGAAATATTTCTTCCGGATTCGAGCTGTGAATGAAGCTGGAGTGGGAGAACCAATTGAGTTAAAGGATGGAGTTCTGGCCATGCCCCCTCCAGGTAAGTCAGTGTGCATAGACTCCAACTTCATGGGGCCTGCATTTGCCTTGAGCTCCCTTTCCCCCAAAGTGGAAGGAATGCTAGCAAGATCATCTGGTGTATGTTTTGTGGGTTGAGAACTTTGCGGGTTGAGAACTTTGCCCCAGGATGAGAACGAAAATCGCGCACTGGCAGCACGGCGGCAGCGGGAGGCCCCCTTAGTGGTTAAAAACAGTTTTGGGTTAAGAACGGACCTCTGGAACGAATTAAGTTCGTAACCTGAGGTACCACTGTAAATTTAACTGTACAGAGCCAAAGTGACAATATAGGTAACAGGGAAATGTGTGTTTTCTGATTAATAGTTTTAACTACTCACCCCCACCCATCTTTCTCTTTTGTTGTCCTGGTGTGTCTTATAGCTGCTCCGAAGTTTGATCTGAGTGCCAGGCTGAAGAGTCACATGGTTGTTCGTGCTGGGACTGCCCTCTGCATTCATGCCTCTTTCACTGTAAGCTGCTCTTGCTATTCCATCAGGGAACTTCTGCCTTAAAATTGCAGTGAATGCTTTTTATATCCCACTTGCAATGGCCTTTTCACTGGTAGAGCTTTCCAGCACCCATAACAAACCGCAGATCCAGGGATGCTCTGGGAGAAAGCCATGTGCTTTAAATGTATGGTGTGGTGATCAAAATATGATTTATTCACATATGTACTCCATCCTGAATTTGGATAGAGGGAGTCCAACTCTTACAGTGTGGCCATCTCAAGAGGGGCTTATTCCCCATAACAGTGCAGCAATGGAGTCCAAGGCACCTCTCCCAGCCTGCCTTCAGCCAGCCAGCCTAGATCCTTCTACCCATTTTTCAGGTATTCCAAGCCTAGTGCCAAAGGCCCCAAACTCTTCCTGTGACATCATGCCCAGTTATCCTGGCAGCCTTCCAAATCTCCTGTCTCTGCCCCACACCTCAAGGCAGGGGATGAAGGACAGTTTTATTGCATTGCCGATGGCCCTGTATTGTTTCTTAATTTGTTTCCTTTGCATAGGCTAGCCCAGGAATTCCTCTGCAGCTTGTATTTTTCATTCATATCCCAAATAATTAAAATTCTATCATTTATTAATTTCTTCTATTCCCTAATAGAGCCTGTTACTTCATGTTTGTAACAGTACATTAACCGCTTAAGGATTTTGTAAACTATTGGTTTATAAATGGATTTCAATAAATAAATAAAGTTTAGTTTATTGATTCTATTTAACAAACTCATATGCCGTAGTACTCAGGGCACCTTGACCTAAGTAAACAGCAACATTAGGCAACTATACCCAGTGCCAAGTTTGCTGAAGCAATAATCATAATGACATTGATGTTCCTTCCTTGTTATGGTCTGCCGTAGTCGAAACAAAATAAAAGTGCTAGGTAAAGTATGCCAGACTTTTGGCATTTAATCTGATTGCTTAATTTTATTTTCATTACAGGTAGGTAGCAGTGTTGGTCTGCCGTAGTCGAAACAAAATAAACAAATTCCTTCCAGTAGCACCTTAGAGACCAACTAAGTTTGGTATTGGTATGAGCTTTCGTGTACATGCACACTTTTTCAGATACACTGTTTCACTGTTTTTGTTTCAGTGTATCTGAAAAAGTGTGCATGCACATGAAAGCTCATACCAATAACAAACTTAGTTGGTCTCTAAGGTGCTACTGGAAGGAATTTGTTTATTTTCATTGTTTGGCTTAAGTTTCTGATATGCTTGTGTTTTTGTTTGGGTACTCCGTTTATGTGCTGTAGTTTCTGTATGTAATCTGTAATCACACATAATCAGTAATAATAATCTATTTCCTTGCCAGATCAGTTGTGGTTGCTCTAGACTTCCAGTAACAGGAAGTTATGGCCCCAAGAATTTCCTTATTTCTTTAATTGCACTTCCTCTTTGCTCACCAACCTTGTTCATCCCATTGATGTCTGGACACTGTCTAAAACATTATTATAATTCTTATTAAATCTTTTATAACCTTCTAAAAGGGCCTCCAGTTTTTAATGGAGGAAAAGGTTTTAAAACAAAGCAAATATCAGACACATAAAACACGATCAAGCATTGAAGATAAAGTATACTTTGCCCCTAAGAGATCACATAGGCAACCTTCCCAGACTAGGAATAATTAGGTAGGACTAGGAGAGAGGTAGCATTTGAAACATGTATGCTTCTCTGTTAAAGTACTCACAGTAATGCAGAATAATACTGATTGGGATGCCAGACTAATCAGGGCTTTGCAAACCCTATAATCTCCTCCTCTCTGCTCAAATCTGTGCCATGAAGCTTTATCAAGGGGGATCAGGCAGTGCCGCTAAGAAGAGTGGCTTATTGAATGCGGGTTCATTAAGATTCAGGTTTAATTCTGGGTGATTCTATGTCTAAGAAGTTGTCCAGGTTTGTGGACAAGCTGTTGCCAGTGCTTACAGAATCACGGGACTGGAATAAATAACTTAGCAAAAAAAACCTATCTCCTTCCATTGCTTCCTGTGCCCATTTTTTTGCCACTGTCTCAAGAGTTCCCACCTTCCTACTGCTTTTAGGGTTGACAGCTTGCAACCGAGATAGTTGCCTTGTTCCCTTAAAGTCTGGGGTAGCCCTTCATGGTGCCCTCCAGGTGTTGTCTATCTTACATCATCCCCGCCCACAGGTCATGCTGGTTGGGGCTGATGGGAGTTGGAGTCCTACAACATCTGGAGGACCTAAAGCTAACCATTACTTGAGAGACGAAGCCTCAGCCATGGTTTCTCCTGCCCATTTCTTCCCCATTCCTTTAATCTGCTCCTTGCCTTAGCAGCTACAGTAGTAATTAAGTAAGTAGTAAAAAACAAATGCACCACCCACGGCAGATGAAACAGAGCCAGATTAAAGGCCAGGGTGAAGAGCAAATGGCAAAAGCTATGTCTCCTGCTTAGGTGTGACATATTCAGCGAGTTTTGCTTCTGGCAGGGTTCCCCTCCGCCAAATGTGGTGTGGCAAAAGGATGGTAATACCACAAGGGGAAGAGAGAGCATCACGAAAGGCAAGAACCACTCCCAGTTCCTCATCAGCAGCACCAAACGCATGGATACCGGACTCTACCGTATTGTACTCAGCAATGACTATGGAGAAGCCCACTACGATATTCATGTGCGAGTGACAGGTACAAGAGTGTGTGGTAAGGGCTTGGGGTGGGGCGAGCCTGTGATGATGAATGCCCTAGATGAGGAATGAATGCCAGCCTCTTGACAATTGCTGAGCCAATCAACAATTTGAGAAGAGGTTCTAATGCAGGCAGTTGATTGCTAGATCACAGAGTACAGGCAATGTTAGCCATTCTTAGTTTAGCTTTTCAAGCTTAAGACCATAATGGGTATGCTGAAATAGCATGACTCTGTCTGTCATTCCAGAGGGAGATGCTGCCCTCCAAATAAATGATAGAAGACCGCAAACAGAGAAAGATGAAACACTGGTTCATAATCCGTATTTCTGCCTTAGATTTCCCAAGGCCGCCTACTAACCTGAACCTGTATGAAGAGGTGCCAAACACTGTGTCACTGAAATGGGATCACTCTCCAGACATAAAGGAGGATGGAGGTGCCCATTACGTCATCTTGAAACGCGACACTAGCACAGCCACCTGGTTCACAGCCGCAGAGAAAGTTTACAGCAACAAGTACACTGTCACGGGCCTGCTTCCTGGCAGGAAATATTTCTTCCGGGTTATTGCCCGCAATGAAGTTGGTGACAGTGATCCTCTAGATTCAAAGGATTCCTGGCATATCAACAAAGACAAAGGTAAGCATCTATGTCTGCATAAGTAGCCAAATAGTGTTTTTGTTGTGTCTCAGCAGATTGAGGCTCAGTTTGCAATTTTGCCTTGCTTTCTGAAGCTGGAAATGGACAGAGAATTGAAAGTAGAAGTGTTGCCAAAGTTCATTATTATGTGGTTTGGAATAAGAATCTGTCCAGCTCAAAATGCCTAGATGTCTTATGAAACAAGGGTTATTTCCCCCCAGGAAGTTCTCCTCCATTTCAGCATGTAGAATAAGATTCTACATAGGTGCTGCCATGCATTCCAGGTGGCCACAGCACCATATAGGTGCAAGCACATAAGTTTTTCCATGGAAACCCTCCCTGGGCACTGAAAATAAGTGAACTGCAGAGCTAGCTGCTTTATAGCCACATGAGCAAAAGTCCGTAAAGTTGCCCCATTCCTCTTAAGTCATAGACAGCTGTCTATGACCCAGCCAAGCAGCCTTTTGTCTGGAGAGCAACTTCCCTATTTTAAATAGCACTTCCAGCTGTTTCTTGCATATGTTTCATGCAGAGCTACAGCATCTCTGTAGACCCATCTAGTTCAGCATTCTTTCCCCCGCAAGGGCTGGACAGATGTTTCCAAGAAGCCCATCTGTAGTACATGAACATGACACCTCTTACCCACTGTTACTCCCTATCAACTGAGGTTCACAGACACTGTCCCTAAACCTGAAAGCTCCACACAGCTATTATAGCTAACAACCGTTCATAGGCCTACCCTCCATTCGTTTGCCTAATCTTTTAAAACCATCTAAGCCAGTGGCTTAGCAAATTCCATTAATATATTAATTATATCTTGTGTGCCTCCCATGTCACTGAACAACACTAGTTAATCTATCTTAATGATAGCTGTTAGCTGTGTTCAGGAAAACCACCTTCTGAAAGAGCTATATATAATGTATATTCTGACAACTCAAGCACATGGCAGGTCAGCAAATACCCAAGCAAACGACATCATGCCTCCCTTTTCTATTGTATAAATGCTGCAAGAATAAGGCCTAGGACCACTTAAAAACCCTGTGACATAGTCACATCAATGTACAAATGAAGAAAAACTTCTTCCACTTAATCCCGTGCAAAATTAAGTTTACCAGAACTACCTTGGAGAAAGTTAGCCATTGAATTCAATGGCCTTCCAAAAAATAGGGGGGTGCACTCAAGGATAAATGGGCATTGGAGAATAGGGTTAGAACAACAGAAGACAGTTTGATTCATATCCACATGTCTATGGAGTTTTGGAACTACTGTTTTCTGGCCCAAGTATCTCAGTTGCTAAATGTGAGGCTGAGTTGAGTTGTCTTCAGTTGTTCCAACCCCTCTTTATTTATTATTATTCCAGCAAGCCTTTTAGGTAGAGATCTTCTTCCACTCTGCATATGTATTGGAATTTATTTCAGATCCATCCATTGCTTAATCATTTGTATGTTTGCTGCCCTGAGCTCCTTTGGCAGGAAGGGCAGTACAGAAATTTATTAAACGAGTAAATAAAAGAGATCAGTAAGAAATGAATAGTTGTGACAAATAAATGCCCTGCAGCTTTTGAGGAAGTCCATGGCCTGAAAGCAAAGTCATAAGGCCATGTCAAGTATTTGAGGTTTGTATCATCATACCATGGAGGCACAGACAGCCAAACATGGATATCTGAATAGGAGGAAACCCCTTTGGAACCAGTATTGATTATGCCATTCCTTCAACAGAACTTTTCCATGCCAAGATAAAAGAATATCATGAGAGAGACTGGCGCCATGCCCCCCGTTTCATTACTCCACTGAAGAATCATGCCGTGCGCCGGGGCCATGATTGCACCATGAGCTGCGCTTTCTTGGGAAACCCCCGCCCTGTGGTTACGTTGTACAAGGGTCAAATCAACATCACAGCCAATTCCAAGTTCTGGTACAACTCAACTAGTGGCGTCTGCACCCTGATGATCCCCACTTGCACTGCCAAGGACACGGGAGAGTACACCATAGAGATTGAGAATGAGCTTGGGCATGAAAAATGCAGTTGCACACTGACGGTGTATGGTAAGTTGAATTCCTTCCTTGGTGAAGGTTGGCGTAGTTAACAGCACCAGCTTCTTAGTGTAACTATATTGAGCGTGAAAAAGCCAGACAGGACAGGCCCCCTCCAGAATGATGTTCTATTGCAGGTGTGCTCTGCAACATGTTCTTCACACAATAATAGTAAATTCGTGGTGGATTTTTTCATTGTTCAGTAATGTTTCTATAATGCTGTGGCATTCTGGCTGTCCAGAAAGGCTATGATGCAACAGAAGGAGGGCAAAAAAAAAGAGAACATTTGTGGCACGAAAAGTTATGGGATTTCGCCCAGGATGTGATTGGACATGAAGCAGAATGGCCACCCCAAAACTTTGGCTGGAGCAATTAGCATTCAAAGGAGAATTGCATGTGACGGTTCTGATAGCATCATTAGCACGAATCATCATGAATGTGCAATAAAAAGGACATCTGGAGGAGCCCAACATGTGTCTAAAAGAATTAATTCTGCCCAAGTTGGTATTTTCTCGTACTAGCCCTGATCTAGCCTGGGCCAGATCATTCATGCTGGGAATAAAAACTTGAATAACCCTCCAGTTTTCCTTTTGGGGATTATTAAGTCAAAATTTCACAGAGCAGATCGAAGGGAGAGAGGGGGAGATAAGTGGCATACAGGACGGGTGATCTATGTTGGGAGTCCTTGCTACCTATCTCCTGCCCTTGCCTATTCTGCCGGCCTTCTGCCCCTTCGCCCCTATCCTCCCCATGTGTCAGGATCCCTGGCTTGTTCTTTTTAAGTGAAAGCTGAGAGTGATGTTTCCAGGCACGCTCAGAAAGAAACTGATACAGCACCAGTAGAAGGGATCTATATTTGGCTGATACTGCTCAGCTTTATTTTTGTATCTGTGGCTACTACTTCAGCAAAACAGGCTGATGAGAGTCAGTAACAGCCTGCAGTTTCAGTTCAGTATCATCTGGAGAATGGAGAAGTCATCCAGCTTCAGCCTGCAGTCTGCATCATTACTTCAGCAAAAACAATGGTTCATTGGAAGTCACCCTGTGAAACTGCCTCCCACCAACCTTTTAAACCTCTGGAACTAGGGGAGAACAGATTTCTCATTTCTCCTATCTTCAGTTCTCCACATTTCCACATCAGTTTCAATTCATCTGCATTTCCATGTGCATTTCTCCTAATACACACATTGTTTGTACAATTTTGACTAATGCACACATTTTTTTCAAGGAATTTCCTCTAACATAATGACTCTTTGTATGCTTTTTTTCTATAAGTTTTCCTAATATGCATTTTTTGGTTAGAGAACCGCACTGCATAATTTGGGGAAGTGCCGATTTTGAAGGATAGCCGTTCTTTTGGCTCATGTATCATGTTGGGAAGTGTGAATTTCTCACCATCTGGAAGAAACCGGAATATATTTTCAGACTAAACAGTAAAATTACCTATCTGCATGATGATAAACTTACCATGCTACTTGAAACTTACTGTAGAAGTAGGCATGAATGGAATTCAGAAAGTTTAATAGACAGCCTGCCTGCTGGTGAGTCACTAGGTAATAAGTTTCAGACAGATAAGATTGTGTGATAGTATCAGTCACAAGCACATGCTGAAATATGGGAGTGACTGATTTTGATTTGCTTCAGCTCACAAGTGCGCATGACTTCACCTTCCAAAATCTGTGCATACTGACACCAGTTGATACGTGTCAATTTAAATGGTGTTAAAATTATAAGAGGCTGAGTTCCCCTTAACTTTTGTCAGTCTCTTTAGCTATTAATTTTAGAAGGTTATTGGGCGGGGGGGGGGGGAATTATTTGCCTAAAACAGAAGAAAGCCAGGTTGAGGGGCTTGTGGCTCTCATTGAGCCCCCCACCCTCCAGTACAAGCACTGTTCTTAAATAAACATGCAGGAGGAGTACACACCTGCTACAAGCTCTTGACCTCACAACCCTGAACAGAATTTTCCATGAGCTCAGTAGCAAAAAATCCACTAGTTGTTAATATCTGACGGCCTTTCTCTTTTAGATAAAGATGATAGAAGCCTCCTGGAATCAGTGACTGAGAGCCTGCAGAAGTCAAAACACCTCATGTGAGCAACACACAAAAACCAATTTTAAAGTCGGCTGAGTGTTCAGAATAATTATAGTTGCTGTGCATGGCTTTAAGTACCACAACTGTGTTATCACTTGTAGTCATTAGCCTGAAGATGCTGCTGCAGGATTCATTAAAGGCTGCCTTCAAAGCTTCATGACGGCAGATATGGTTGCCAGTACCTTTCAGAGAACTTGGAAATAAAGAAGATCCCAATAGAACTGCTTGTTTTTCTTTATTTCCACCCCACCTATCTCACAAACAAATCAGGATGAACACTCATTAAAGACCAGGTGTAATCTAACCTCTGTGTAAGCTTTGTGCAAGCAAATCTGAATAAATAGAGCATCTATATAATTGTTATTTAAAAAATTAAGCTTAAGCAATTGGAGCCAATTTAGTACCAAATACTTCTTCCTGATGCCAAACCAATTTATCTGGTTTGTGGAGCAAGCTAAATGAAATTCTTGACATCGTTAACTACAGTATGAGGGTCTGGGCATATTTAAATTATGTTTGAAGCAGATTCTTTAAGAACTTGAATGGCCTTGCCTTTTAAGCACATCAAGCTGCAGTTATAAACCTTTTCTCACATAGCAATACTACTGATAGCCCGCTAGTGATGACTAGGCACTTACCAGAAAGGTTTAATAGTGGTCCAAAGGAAGATCAGGGACTGAATGTTAATCTCCTGAGTCCTATTCACTTCATTGTGCATTAAACCACACACACAAAATGCAGAGCATTGAGTGTTGCCATGGAGACACGGGAGCTGGCAAAATCAGAGCAAATGTGCACATTTTGTTAGCATACACTTCACATGCTTTCCATAAATCAGAGTGGACATCAGACCATGCCTGTGAACTGGTAGAGTACTGTTGAGAGGAGCATTTGTATGCATTAAAGTCTTGAGGCTGGTTCACACACACACCCTCACCCACACACCCCAAATGGGCTGGGCATATATGTGCGACAGAGTGCAGGGTACCGATCTCCCCTCAATGACTGTATATGAAACTCTCCTTGGAGGAGCAACTATGAGGCAGTTTTGGGAGCAGCAGAAGCTAAATGGCAGTAAATCCCAGCTGAGCTAATGGACTGGGACTTGCAGCTTTTCCTCTTTCCCTCTGAGGTGAAGATTGTTCTGGGAGGGCAAGAGCCCAGTAAGATGGGCAACAGATCAATAATAAAATTGTTGTTGTTTTTAAGCTGCAGTGGATAAGGTCACCAAGGTGAATTATTCCACTTCAGGAGCAAATTTTGCAGCTTCCTGATATTGGGAAAATGTGACACCAGTCTGACTCCTGCAGGTGCACACAACAGAGAAGTCAGGCACGAAGCTTTTACTTGCCAATGTAGGCTGTTTGTGTCCCCAGCAATCGCTATCTCCATCTCTTGGTGACCAGAGAGATTAGCTTTTAATCAGGCGCCATGTAAACAAATATCCCGACGGGCAGTGACTTTGTGCAGTTCTCTCAGTTTTCCTTCCAACCATATACTTGCTCTTGGGAATCGCAGATGAAAGCAGGTGAAACCTTTATACCAGGGGTGAGAAAAAACTTTCAGAGAGTTATATTTCCCTTCTGGACAACCCTGGGGTGGGGAAACTTGACAGTGGTTGATGGGGCAAGAGAGGAAAATGAGTGGAGCAATGAATTTACATTTCACCTTTGCATAGAAGGCTAGTTTTACACACACACACACACACACACACACAGGCAAAACCTGCTCTATCCAGGCAAGCAAGAGGCATTATCAGAGTTCAGTGACAAATGCCAGCCTGGCAAAGCACTCAAGGGGGGTCCAGAATTGGGCCGGTGAGGGTTATGGCCTGGGAAAGAGTCCTGAGGGCCACATAGAGAAGACTGGTTGGCCAGAATTGGCTTCCAGGCTTGAGGTTCTCCAGCCCCACTTAACAATTTTACAGCACCGCATTTGTGAGCAAGGCTTATGCATAACATTTTGCTGCCTGAGGCAGAAGAGCAAATTACACCTCCTCAAATCAAGGTAGATCAAGCCCTTGTTATCTTGGCACCTGAGGAAGGAAAGCCACTCCCCAAAAGGAAATATACAATAGGAATGCAATAAACAAATTAACAATTTGCTGCTCTTTCATGACACTCAAAATAGACAGAGGTGGCTGCATCACCCTGCCAACCATAACTATGAGCTGTTTTTCATTAAAGTTGGACTTCCTCTGCCTCTATGGTTTTAGCAGGAGCATGGCAATTAACAAACAAAAACACACACAAATATATTAGCCTTTCAGGCCAGTGAGGGTTTTTTATTTTACTTTTAGTACATCTATATGCGCAGAGTGTTTTACATTAAAGGGGGGGAATGCACACAATAGAACACAATGGAACAAACTGAAAATAAAATAAATTTGAACATGAAAAGAAAAACACCAGTGTTTGCATTGTATCTGCTTCAGAGTTCAGATCAATTTAGATTTCATTGCAGCTATTTGGAACCTACAGTCTATTTTTATGTTTTTTTTTGCGTAAACAGTTGAAGCTAGTATAAAATGATTTGCGTCGTGTTTGCATAATGGTGAAAACATTGTTAGCATGTGGGGAAAACAATAATTTGCAACTCACCAGATGAAGTTTGATCAAGCCCAACTTGATCGATACTGGGAAGTAGTAACCCTCTGAAGCCAAAATTCTATTGGGGAGGGTTTCTGTGAGTAAAATAGTACAAATGCACCTCATGCAACCTCTGTTACATTACCACACATAAATGCTAAAGAATGTACAATTTCTGTTATCCAAAACCTCTAATTATTCATATGCATCCACCCTCAGTCGCATGCCACTCCATATTATTCTGTGGAGGCTTTTCATTCAAACCTGGGCCTACTTTACAACACCCTTGAGAGTACGCAGGTGTAAAGCCATTACCAAAGGCCCTGCACGATGTCACAAGGCAATGCTGCTCCCTCTGTTGGACTCTGGCCCTTTCCTAAACCTACTCTGCACTTCCAGTCCAGCAACAGCCATCTCTTTCGTGGCCAGGTGCACACACACACACAGTCCGCTGCCACCTGCATGGAAATCTGTGGATGGGAGTGTTGCTAATAAAACACTGTCATTAAAAATAGACCAGAATTAGAGTGTCTCCCGCCTGCAACCAGATGAGAAATCAGGAAAGGGAGAAGCTACTATACGGAGAAGCTCCCGTATGTCCCTGCTTCTCTGCAGTTTTGATAGGCGACATGGCTGTTTTGGTCTGCTGCTGTAAGGAAAGAGTCCCTGGTTTTTCTGGCTTTTCTGCACTACCTTTGAGAGGATTGTCTCAAAGTTGGAGAAATGCTGTCATAAGAATATTTCATCTTAATTCTACAGTGGTACCTCGGGTTAAGTACTTAATTCGTTCTGGAGGTCTGTTCTTAACCTGAAACTGTTCTTAACCTGAAGCACCACTTTAGCTAATGGGGCCTCCTGCTGCTGCCACGCCGCCGGAGCACAATTTCTGTTCTCATCCTGAAGCAAAGTTCTTAACCCGAGGTATTATTTCTGGGTCAGTAACCTGAAGCGTATGTAACCCGAGGTACCACTATATAGCCCAGTGGAGTGTTATCCATTGCAACTTCCTTTTCTAGATAACACGTTCGTGTAACAGATAAATTCAATGCAACCCTACCTCTTTCCCCAAAGTTTTCAACAGCGTAATTCTGAACACACTGTTCAGGGTTTGCTGCTGTAGGTCAATGCTGGTTTGAAATTCAATTTGATGGGTGTCCAATTTGCAGGGTCTATGCAGCCAAATCTGGGCAGGGGTGGAAGTGCCGCTATTACTCATCTGCTTGAGATGCAGTGTAATTGTAAATATTCCTACTAAAATGCACCGAAAAATTAAAATGGCATGAGATAGAACTCCTATGGTATTTGGCCATTGTGGTATAGTGTTCTGGGTGTAGTAGTGTTGCAGCTCTGACCAAAATCCAGAGGCACTGAATAATATATTCAAGGGCCTATTCACACATTTCATTTTATATACTGACCATTACATTCATTTAGAACAAAAACAATAAAAAACGCCTGTCTAAAAGTAGTATTCACTGATGCTGGTTTTAAAAACAATTGTGCAAGCTCCTAAAAGTGGCTTTTAAGTAACACTGGTTTAATATATAATAATAATAGTGCTTATGAAAATGTGCCCCATTTGCGAGGGATTCAAAAACATTAAATTTTCCTCACACCACCCCGGTGAGGTAGAGAAGCATTGCAATTAATTCAGTGTTTGCTATCCGAGGAAAGGGTGCAGAACCCAGGTCTTCCACTGATGCAAGCCACTACAGTTCCTTTAACTTTAAAGGCATGAATGAAGCTTTCCTGAAGCGGCACTCCAGTCACAGTAATCAATGAGCAGAAGCAGCCTTCCCCACGCCTAACAAGTGCAAATGTTGGTACAAATCTGCACATTCCCATCCCATTGCAATATTCAAGCCCCATCAAACCAGCTAAATGTGTCTTCTCATGCTCCAGGGAACACAGAAGTCATTGTGTACAACTAGAGTAGGGCTGGGCAATGTCACAATGTCTGCAGTAAGGCTGGAACTAGATAGAGGCGAAGTAGAGTCCAAGCCAACAACAGCAATAAAAGCCAGCTTTGGAGATTTCAGGCAATGAAGATTAGATCTGATCATTCTAGAGATTAGATCACCCTAGATCTGAGCACACTTTTCACATTGTGCCTTTCCTCAATGGAGATAATTCTCTTTCTCCTTAGATGCCAGCGGTCACTTTACAAATGGCCATGATGCCCAGGACACATAGCCACTTAAGAGCCCAACAGTGCTCATATAAATGGCAGCAGGAGTAATTAATGAAAAAGGAGAGAAGCCTGCTTCTTTCCTGAGGGTTTAAAAATATCTACATTTTTTAGGCATGATTTCTTTAGCTGTCATGCACCCACCACCCCACATTCACTTCCTAACCTACCAATAACAGTAAAAACAGATCTTAAGCTGAGAGATTTGTGTCTCCAGGACGAGGTT